CGGGTCGGACCGATTTGGAGAGGGGTTCAATTAGTGAAGTGATATCAGTAAAATGATATTAATATATCGAGGAGTGGGGCAGAAATGGCAAGATGGCAGGTCAGTCTAAGTCGTGATTCGAGCCATGAGTGGTGATATGAAGATTGCTGTCTATCGATTCGGCATCCGGTACTTCCGTGCAGTAAGCACTGTCATTCCTTCACGATACCATTGCCGAAAACTCTTGCACGGTTCTCAATCATGCATTAGCGCGGGTCTTGGTTAGAACCAGTAGAAACAAGCACTACTAATGAAAGTGCCAAGTTACGCTGCCCCACCGGGCAGAAGGCTTAAGAGTCATTCATTCTTATCTCTCCTTAGCTAAAATTCCGGCCACTAGCCTTGTTGTAAGCGAGGTAGGATTGCAGGTAGCGAATGGCATCACAGACGCCATAAACCTACTTGTTTAGTATTGTGCCAACCTGTGCGCTGCCAAAGTGGCTGCGCTAGTGAGTGCAATTCGGAGATTGTCTTCTGCTCAAGGCGGAGGGCTAACTACCCTCCTGAGTCTCAGCATATGACTTCCGCTATCTGGTAACGATCCTTACAAATTCCTCTTCTCTCGGGCACTATGAAAGTGCAATAAAAGACAATAAAGAAGTGGGTTCAACCACCAGGGACAGTGTTTGCCAAAGAGGTTTAGACATGCCGAATATCCCGAGACCGCTAAGGGCAACTAATAAATATAGCTTCATACTAAGCTCCTCTACTAGTATGCCCATCAAAGTCTCAAATATAGCCGTCGGAATCCGATGCAGCTTGCCATCTTCCGTTGGTCTGTTCTCATTTTCCGTACAATGACAACACGCAAAGCGATGTTGTTGCTAGCATGTTGCAATCTCCTGGGAGAATGATTCCGCATGGTGTGATCTAGCAAGCCTGGATATGAGGAGATACAGTATGGAGCAAAAAAAGATAAATACTCCCACTGGACCTCCTGAATATTCTCCATCATCTCAATCACCACAGCTCTCTGGTATCCACAGTTCTATCAGACATCCAAGGTCCAACAGTAACCCACTTTTCTATCAAAATGAAGTTCACTATTGCTCTTGCTACTGCAATCCTTGCTGGCACCAGCTTGGCTGCCCCTGAGCGCGGCCTCGCAGCTCGTGTCAAGGCTCGTGCGGCTGCTGCTCGGGGTTCTCGCCCTCTTCAAGCTGTTCAGAAGCCAGCAGACGTGACAAACAAAACAAATGTTCAGTACAGTTCCAACTGGTCCGGTGCTGTCCAGGAGAACCCTCCCTCTGCCGCTGCCACCTACACCGCAGTGACTGGTACCTTCACGGTCCCTCAACCCACTGGTGGATCCGGTAGCTCTTCCGCCTCGGCCTGGGTTGGTATCGATGGCGACACCTACAGCTCGGCCATCCTCCAGACCGGCGTCGACTTTACTGTGACGAATGGCCAGGCCTCCTTTGATGCGTGGTACGAGTGGCTGCCCGACTACGCTTATGACTTCAGCGGCATCGACATCAAGGCGGGCGATGAGATTGTGGCCATCGTCGAGTCGTACTCCTCCACCAGTGGAGTTGCCATTATCGAAAACCTAAGCACTGGCCAGAAGGTGTCTAAGGATCTTAGCTCCTCTTCTCCCCTTGGCGGAATCAACGCTGAGTGGATTGTCGAAGGTAAGCCTTTTGTACTCTAGATACAACTCTGTTCTGTGAACATGGCCTGACCCGCTAACGAACAATTTTAGATTTCGAGGAAAACGGCTCCTTGGTTAACCTGGTTGACTTTGGCACCGTTACCTTCACTGGTGCCGAAGCAAAGGCTGCCGGTGGCCAGACTGTCGGTCTCACTGGTGCTACCGTCATTGACATCGTTCAGGGTAGTACGGTTGTGACCGATGTGACCATTGACAGCGACTCGGAGGTTACCATTCGCTATGTTTAAGGTATAGGGATTGACTTGACCTGCCGAGAGCTTGTGAGCTGTTGTTCTGCAATCATACCGTCACTTTAACATTGAACATGTTGGAGTGTGGTTGAGGAGCTGGAAGAATAGAGGCGACACTGAGATGGAGAGATGCAGGTAGGGCTAGCTATTATATCGGGAATTCTTGAATTTGGGTTAGTTACTGGGTCGACAGTTTAGCCTGAGATAGCTCATAATTCAAGACAATTGATTTCTCCTATATCCTTCGCTACATATGCCTTGGCTCTCTTGCCAGAAGACACAGTTACATAAGAGTATCTTCGTTTCTTTCCCCATTACAAAACTGCTAACAGTGTTGGAGCAACATTACGAGCCGTGAATGGGTCTCTCAAGCATTGAGAGAGAGACTTGAGAGCGTTCCGAGGTTTTGCTCTAAACCACTTCCTACCATGATTGCAATCAAAGTTTCTAGGGGTGTTGCTGTTATTGGCCTTGTTTTTTTTCCCCTGCTACCATTCCCTGGTAGAGCAAAATGATCGACATGAATTAATTCGAGAATACGAGCTCCCAAGGCTCCCAGGCCTGATGACTAACCTCAGGCACCGACGCTGGTTGCCTAGGAGGATGCCCCATTTGAGAGCCAAATCACCACACCAACTGCAGCGATCTCAATCGAAGATGGAATTTAAATTCCCCATCTCTTCCCCAAAAATAGCTAACTTGCCAGTCAACACCATGGAGCAGAACCGGGTCGTACTTCCCGGCTTCGGCCAGCCCCTGAAGACTCATTTACCCACAATTGAAAAGGAGGGTCCGTGCAAAGGCCAACGTCGACGATTCCTTCATGCATTGTGCGACAGTTGCTATAGTGTGGGCGTCTCTGTGCGGGAGCGTCGAATGCTAGATTTCATCAATAAAATCACTGATAAGCCAGAGTGGGAGAGGAAGGTCTTCGACGAAGACATTGTGAGCAAATGGCGCGATGAAGCGTGTGTACACAGCGATGAGCTTGAGGATTACTATCTATCCGCTGCGATGTTCGATTATGTGAGTTTTTGCTCCGTCGACATTCCCGTACGGTTAAGCCTGTCTAATAACATATAGTGTATGGAAGAACTTCGCGACAAAGCCAAGTACTTCAAGGACTCCCAGGTGGTGTCTGTCTATGACTGTGAGACGGCAATCGTGAAGTCCGACTCAGCAGTCACATCACTCTTGGCGGAGTCGCTGCGCAGAAATGTGCGTGTCTTGGAGGACGTCCCGGAGCATCTGAAGGATTGGCATCCTGGGTCCGATGAAAAGGTCCTGGATTTGCTTCACCCGTCGCTGTTTCCCTTGATTTATGGACGATCACGCGCACTGCCGTATGGGACTGTGCCGCTCGATGATTGTGCCCGCTTCACTGGAGAGGGTGAGATAGTTGACCCCCAATATAATGAGCACGAGAAACTATCTCAGCGACGGGAAGGGTCACTGCCGGAATGGGGTAGCTTCCAATGGCTCCCATCCAATGTTGAATTCGACAAAGACGGTATTCCCAGAATTGTCAGTTATGTAAACAACCTGCACCCCAGGCGGCACAAGGAGCTGTATGGAACGCTGGAGAAGTTCGTCGCGGCTGCAATTCCCCTGTGGAATGAGTGTCTTTCTTGGGATGAGACTAGGTTGAGGATTGAATTCCGTGGAGGGTCAGACGAGGACATGATTATTCCTGAGGGAGTTACCTTCACCCCAGACGAGGACGAAGTAGAATCGCCCGAGAAGATCCGGCCGTACACGTACGAAGAGGCGCTCAAGGATACGGAGATCTGCTACACAGATGGTTTCGATGTTTGGTATAGGGACAACCGCGTCTTCATTGAGAGGGAGCCGGAGCCATTCCAGTCTCGCCGGCAATGGGAGGAGAAGGCCGAACACCGGGCCACCGATCTGCAAACGCAGTTTGCTGCGTCTGGACTGCAAGTGATCTTTAAGCTCGCGAATATTCACCTCACCCCTGAAAAACCAGAGTACGACGGTGGTACGTGGCACATTGAAGGAGCGATGAACGAACACATCGTCGCCACAGCTCTCTATTATTACGATGAGGAGAATATTACACCTAGTCATCTTGAGTTTCGGCAATCTATGGACGCGCAAGATTTTACGTACAGACTTCCTCAGGTAAGTGCCTGATCACTATAGCCCATATTGAGCTCGAACATTGATGGAATGTCCTGCAGAATGAATACAAGTCCACCGAAATCTTCTATGGAATTGAAAACGAGGAGGCTGCAGTACAACTGCTCGGCAGTGTTGTGACCAAACCTGGTCGACTTCTCGCTTTTCCAAATGTCCTGCAGCATCGAGTTCAGCCATTCGAACTGGATGATGACACAAAGCCTGGTCATCGAAAGATTCTGGCCATGTTCTTAGTGGATCCATATATACGTGTACTCTCCACAGCAAATGTGCCTCCCCAGCGAAAGGACTGGTGGACAGAAGAAGTTCGCAAGGTACCCCCGTTTCGGGGCTTGCCGTTGGAACTGTTCAATATGATCATTGACGAAGTCAGAGACTTTCCACTTAGCTGGGATGAGGCGGTGGAAGTTAGAGAGGCCCTCATGGATGAGCGAGGCGCACTAATTGACTACACCAATGATGAGGTAGAAGAGGTATGCCATAATCTACATTGTCCTATCCATATATAGCACAAGGCTAACTAGCTCTAGAATACTTTCAGCTTCTGTGAACATTAAACCTGTTTTGCGCTTTTTAAGCTGCACGCTTAGGACTCCTCCCGTATCCAGTTACAACTCAAGTCTACACTATGTTTTGCAAGTTACTACAAGTAAATAGCCAGCAAAGGTGGTTCGTTGAGTCGATGATTATGATATTTCACGATTTTGTTAAGTACATAACCTTCTTAACCTCGGGCTCCCATAGAGAGCTAACAGAGAAGAGTGCGTGTGTCCTATTCCACCATAGAAAATAAGAAAGAATGGCCTATGGTGTCTGAATTCATGGAAGAAGATTATATTAGAAACACTTCTGAGTCCAGGCTCAGGCTCATTTGGTAGAGTCGATAACCGCAAAACGGACTATGCATGATCGATAGGAGAGGGACCCGCGTCGATGGGATAGGTGAAGATGTAGTTAGGGCCATCGGCCATTAAGCCATCACTGCCGGGACGCATCTGCGAGGCAGGCAACCAAAGCTTCTTGTCCGCTGTCACCCACATCAGGTCCGTCCAAAGAAGGGCGTCGTCTTGGACAAGAATGGTCGCACGGCCCTCAGGGGTGACCTTCCAGATGGCAAGGAGGTTGGTGTCGCTGACGTAGATATTGCCGTCGCCATCGATAGTGGTTCCTCCAGTGCTGGGCGTCAGGGCGAAGGGCTCAGCGTAATCTCCGAGCGAGGCAGCCAGTGTCGCGTTGGTCAATGTAGCATCGACATATGAGGTCTTGATGCGGTACAGACCACCATTGCAAGGTTGATAATACAGGTAGATTCCATCCGGCGAGACTTCGATTTGGTCCAGCCCGACAGCGAGAGTACTACCATCGCCGCCGTATCCGGGTACCAGTGTCCCGTTGTACATCATCGGAAACCAAGCAGCGGCTGAGTCGTCGTCTGCAAGGACACGCACACCATTCCCGGTTGTCATGTTCAAAACCAACAGAGCGCCGGCTGTATCACTCAAGTAGGCCACGTCTCCAGCCGCGTTGAACCGAACATCATCGATGCCGCTGTCGTCTGCCTTGATGTCATCCAGGTAGTAGATTTTATCAACCTCGTCACTTCTGAGGTTGACGCCCACCAGCTTGGTGGAGCCATTAATTCCTTGCGAACCGCCGTCAACCAGCCAGTACCGCCCGTCGGGCCCAATCCGCGCGCCGTCAATGCTGACGAAGGTCTCCCGGGGGTTTGAGCTCGGGTTGCTTGCATTGTATGAGTTCCATGCCGCATTCGGATAAAGCACGGTTGTATTGTCACTCAGAAGCTCCACGGCCAGCGGAGGCTCCGTTGTAGAGTACCGTTGGGACAGAAACTTGCGCCCGTTGGCGGAGATACTGATGCCCTGGGTCGCCCGTTCAAGGGAGTAGACCAGTTCAAGTCCAGGTGCGTATGCAGCCACCAGCGGAGCTGTGATGCTCAAGAGGGAGGTAAACAAAAGACCAGACATGATACTATTGGTGAATGCTAATGTAGTTCCGGCTAGATATGGCTTGGAGGATCGGGCAGAGTACGGTCTTTATACATACATCTCCCGTCACCCATCTCTGGTCACCGACATCCATTACCAGTTAGTAGTTGCCGCAAGACGCGGGTTGTTTGCAATAGAGATCAGGCGATTTTCGGCCCTCTTTTTACTCTCGGGCATAGAGAGCTCGATATGCTTGCGTATCAAGGACGCTCGGGGGTTCCACTACTGCCTCATTTAAACATTTTGTAACGGATTGATGCCGCAAGCTAAAGCAGGAACCCACCGTCGATTACGCAAGATGTTCCATGCCAAGCTCAAGCTCGGAAATGTGGTCCATGACCAGTATTAAGGTGGTTGATGATCTTCGTCGGCGTTTAGATGTTAGGGCCCACCCCCGGCCGGCATGAACAGAATGGGACTAGTCTCCGTTACAACTGTATATCCATCAGCTAAACGAAAGAAGCATGATGCACTATGTGCTAACACTTTCGAGCAGAGCATAGTAGACGACCATGCCGAGGACTCTTTACAGAGGTTTCTAATATCTAAATGGAAGTAGAATATTCAAGACACAATTCCTGTGTAGGCCGAGGCTATTGACTACTTCTGCCGATTGCCAGCGGGATCTGTAAGTGATTGATACACTCCCTCCAGTTGCAGTCCCAAGGTGAGTTGGAATGCTTAGGTATTCAATCCAAGGACCCTCTGGAATATATCCAACGTATGCTCCCATAACTTCGTCGGGTACTCCCTCTCGCGGTAGTTCCTCATCAACGTTTGGTTTGTCACATCTTGTCCATCATAATTAAGCAGATACGAGCCACCACCAAGTTTGCCGATCGATGCCACTGCGACCCCAACGCCGTCAGCCGACAAGTCTCCAGCGTGTATTGCAGGTGGATATGCTGTAGATGTGGCAATAAAGACGTTACGCTCTCCACTCTCCTTTTCCGATATCGACATGAGCTTGGTCACGATGCCAATCATTGACCCGAGTATGTATCCAAAGCTGGACTTCATCAACGGCGTCTGCACAACCCCGGGAAATGAGTGAATGAAAGTGACAGAGGGGTGTTTGGCAGCCAGGTACTCCATCGCCAAAGAGTTCATGGTCGCCCCGTATGTCGCGGCAGTGCCAAAGGAGAAGGAGACCTGAAGGTCAAAGTTGCTCTCCTCGATTTCGCCCTCTTTACCTGCTGCTAGGACACTGACTACTCTGGCGGGAATGTTGGCAGCTTCGAGCTGAGGGAGGAGGTTGTAGATAAATCGCATTCGCGCATAGTATCGGAGCACGTGGTTGTTTTCGAGCCCTTCCACTGTATCTGCAACACATTCGCCCTGGGTCACTATGGGAGGACAAGGCGATGGTATATTGCTTCTTACCATTCTTTCGCGTCGCTAAGTGGCCTGGTGTCATGAATAACAGGTCCAACTTGCGCTCTTTCTCTTGGATCTTTTGGCAGGTGACATCAACTTCGCGAAGGAGTGATACATCTGACTTGATGAATTCGAATTTTCCACGTGGATTCAACGTATTGAGCTCCTCTATTACTCGCAAGCCAGCCGACCCATTGCGACCGACCAGGTAAATTTTGGGGGATTCAATTGTCTGAGCCAACTGTTTCGCTGTTGCGGCGCCAATTCCACTCGTTCCTCCTACAAACACTGCCACCAGTTTGGAGCGTCGCCTGCCCACGGTCGTATTCGCTTGGCGCGCCCGTTGTAGACTCTCCATGATGTTGTTTTAAAGACCTTAGGAACTAACATTGACAGATAGAACGCGAAGGGGGCATAGACAGATAGCGAAATGAAGGAAGGGATAACAGCAGCCACGCGACGCCCCGCCATCAACACAGGGATGAATAAATACTGTGAATATAAACAACCTTTAACACATCTTGGCCAATCTGCAAAACGGAACGCTTGCAGAGTAGTTCTGAAACAAGGTGTTGACATGACATGCGGGCGCGTCAAGGGAGCCCTTCATTAGCCCCTTACTTCGCTATCTTCGTAGGAATTGATCGCCCAGCTGCTTGACGCGAAGGATTTCATTGTCAAGAGTTGATGCCCCGGATTCTACGGAGTAGTCATAGTATTATCTCTCTGCCCTATGGCTTAACTTGAAGTCATCACCAGGCCTAACATTTTACCAACAGTCTTTGCACCATAAACATAAACTTGGTACTACACATCGTGATCTATGAGCGCCCTTCTGTTGCCTACTATGCAACAACACGTTGCATGTAAATTGGAACATTTGGTTCATTCATTCTGACTACATCAGTGTGATATTCACCTTACATGCTTCAGCGTCACGTAACGAAACTAGCGCGATTAGAGTGAAGAGTCAGTTGATGTTGACTAACCGTTATCATTCCGATACATCTGCCAGTCAAGGCGGGTAGATGGCAGAAGGAATAATTGTGTAGTTCTCCTTTAGTAAAGTTCTTTTGTATTCTTTGACTTAATCAAGTCAGACTTCAGCCCTTTGGACTGCCGTGTTGTGTGTTCTAAGCTGCTAGAAAACCTTCCGATCTGCCTACTCAACAACTTGTTACCCCGAGACTATAAAATGCATTGACCATGCCTGTGCGGCTGCTGTATTCTTTATTGCCCATGGGTATCTTGCCTATACAAGGGAAACATATCTAACCATGTTCATTGGACTCAATGCCCCATCATGTGGCTCCTCCAAGAAAAATAGTAGACCCGGCCTGTAGGACTTAGCAGGATAACAAGAGGCAGGATTCGACGTCTGCCACACAAATAGCCCGAGGGCTTATTCAGAATAGCACGTAACTAACCATCAAGAGCAGATGATAAACACAGTCGAGTTAGTATCGAGTTCCCTCTATTAGTGTGTTTGAATGTAGAGAATTGTCGGCAGGGCTGCTAGCGTAACAGAATTCATTGCGGCAAGGGGAGACATTGTAGGAAGCACAACATGGAAGCCACAAATGAAATTAGCTCCGAGTGACGAAGCACACGGAGATTAATGAGGGTATCGATTGGCATGCTTTTATGCACGGTATAAAGTTATAAACCACCCGGGATAAGTAGAGCAAGGTTTTCATGGCCTTCCCTTTGCTAGAAGAATATTCCTATTGGTCACTAAGCCCTATAGTTGAGTTTAGACTAATCTTAATCAGTGAGTAGCAGATTTTGGCTGCTCAGCCAGCTTTTTGTGCTGTCGTGATGAGGCATTGAGGACGCCTCCGACTTATAGCAGTGGCGCAGGACTTCCTGGACAGCTACCCAACAGGTGCGTTCCTCAGTTCATCTAAAAATCTTTTATGCACAGGATTAATTCTTGGCAACAATCGCATGTTGATTTCTGCAATCGAAGAGGAGGCTGATTCCCCTTGGCAACTAACCACAATCAATTATATTCATTTGATCCCTCTCTGTACGCCCTATGGTTGGTATCATAGTAGCTTCCTCCACAAGTAGCATCTTCGCACCTACTATACCTACTGGGATACATATCTATAGTATGAGTCAGGAAGTAACCACATTGAAAGTATTCCTCTATATCTTTGGATTTGCGCTTGGTCTTTTATATTCGGACCATTCTTGGAACGCAAGAGTAGATGTCCCCCACTAGTCATAGGCTTCACAATACCGTCATTCTCTACCACCATTTCTGAAAGCGTCTATCCGCTCTTGATTCTTCGTTTCTGTGATGGGCTTTAGACCTAGGCTGCTAACAGTGGCTGGACCCGCACTGGCCGATATGTTCACTCCAGAGCAGTGGGGCATTCCCGTTATAATCTTCTGCTTGATAGTATTCATCGGTCCCTTAGTAGCACTATTCGCAGGCGGCTTCAGTATCATAAACCAGTCTCTGAGCTGGCGATGGGCTCTTTATATCCCAGAGTTCTTCAGAGTTATTGCGGACGGACTCCTGACCATCTTTCTACATAGGACATATAATCTAGTAATCCTGACAGAAAAGGCATACCGCCAGCGCCAGGAAACTGCCAACTGATATCTCTACTCCCTACATTAGGGTCAACATAGTCGATATAGCTAAGACGTGGAAGAATCGGCCTACTCTGCCATTTAAAGTAATAGTCAAGGAGCCTATAGTCTTGTACGTATATATCTTTGGGGGTTTTGTATACAGTCTCCTCTTCCATTTTCTGACGGTGTACCCCTACATCTTCAAAGTTACCCGCAGTACAAGCTTTGGGGTCGGTGGGTGTCCATATATTGATGTAATAACCGGAACACTGCTGGATACTATGGCTATTGCAGCCACAGATCTGTGGACGTTGCGGAAAATAGAGCAGAACAATGAGGAAATAAATGATGCCGCAGTGGCGGCTCACAATGTCCATCCTGGGCTCGGTCCTGGTCAGTAGCGAGTAGGCCTAGGACCACTCTTGCACAATTTTACCAAGACCTTCCATTTTCAGCCGGGTAAATATGATGAATCATCATGGTTTCTTACAATTAAAGAACATTGGTTCATTAGTGTTAGCACTTCGCATAGTCCGAGTGCGACGCAAATGGTCTCCACAAAGTAAATGGAATCATTTTAGTCCCACAGCTTTAAAGTGACTCAATATTTATGAATAATAGGAATATAAGGAAGCTTCCACTTTGGTCAATGTCCTCTTTCCCTCACCGCTCTTGTGCCGCTAAAGGGGACCACTCACTAGTAGCTTCCAAATGACCATGCGTTTTGTTTCGTTGAATTCAAAAACTCGGTCAGCCAGAGCATAGTCCCGCATCCACTGATGATCAGCGGAAGATCGCTTCCTTCTATAGCAGAGCCATAAATCGTCCTTCTTGTACTAATTTGCGCCACCAGTCTAGGCACTTCAAACCCTATGACGGTGCGGTGTATCTACTATTAGGTAGGTAAATAACTCTGTACGAGATGAGGGGCAGTTCACCCGATATAGGACCTGACTGAGAGCTCGTAAGACTGCCAGGAAAGAAGAAAAATTAATCCCTATTTTAAATTCAAACCTCATATGTCTTTGAATTTTTAATATTTTCATTTCGAGATGTGGGTATATATCCATACTTGGGTGACATGCCTTCTACGTGACATGGTTGACCCTCGGTGAAACCGACAATGAACAAGGAATGGAAACGATAATGAAATCATATTAAAAATAGATCTTTGCTGAGCTTGACAGAAGTCGTAAGGGGCCCTAGGAAAGTCAAAGCCTTGCAGGGCAGTCGTGGGAAAGAGTTCATGCAAGGGGGCAGCGGTACATTCAGTCCAGCCAAAGTACGTTAACCGATGGTATTGCTCAAATATGACTATAATAGTGGAAAGACGCAAGGGATGAGGTAGGAAACATGTGCGACCAGCAAGGAGAAATGCTAGTGGACCAGATGACAGGTTTAGGCAGCGACTTCTTCGGCTGCATGATTTTGTAACTTTTCCTGCCTCTCGGCCTTGTATCTCGCGGCCCTAGCAAAGGTCTCCTTGTACGATGAGGACACCACCTCCTGAACGGTTGCAGGGGGATATTTACCCGGCTCACCATGTTCCTGGAATCCAGGCAAGCATGTGCATACGAACTTTGGATTCCCGGTGAAGAAAAATGGGATAGAGTAGCGATCATTACCGGAGCTGTTGATCACTCGATGCAGGTTCGATTTATAGACCTCGTTGGTCATGCGAGAAAACAAATTCCCTAAATTGACCACGTACGCCCCAGGTATTGGCTGCACCTAGATAGGCAACATCAGTATTGTAGAGCTGGTGCCAGGCAAGGGGGGATGCATGTACATCAATCCACTCATTGGTTGTCATGTCGAGTACCTGGAGCCCGCCTACTTCATCTTGAAGCAGCAATGTAATGCAACTGAAGTCGGTGTGAGCACCAATCCCCCGCAGCCTTTCTCCCACCACCTTGGGTTGCGGTGGATAATGCAGGTATCGCAGGGTTGCTACCGCGCCATCGGTCAGAGAATGAAAGTACGTTTCGTCGTGATTCATCGTGAGTGCCAGGACAGCCATGATATCTTTCGCAAGGTCAAACACCGCGTGATAGTATTCCATTGTGCTTTGCTGGAACTCCTCGGGATCAGGAATTGCACCGGGCCATTGGTTGGGGCCACTGTTGAGAAGCCCCTCGAGAAAGTAAGGGTGATCTGTAGAAATCTCCCGTCCAATGTACAGACCCTCCTTTAGGTCTGGACTCGCGCCTGCCTCATTCATCTGAGATTGAAGAAGCTCATACCCGCGGTTAAAGGTGTTGTTCTCTACCAACATCAGTGCTGGTTGTGTAGGCGGATGACCTAAGACATACTTTTATCGATTTTTAATTTTTCTTCTAGTGGGAGGCGGAAGAAACGCTTCGAACAGCTCATTGCACGCTGTTGCAGTTCCCGCGAAATGCGATGGCCGGTGATCTGGAAGAAACCATTGTACACACAGCTCTGCCACACCTGTTCCACCAACTTGGCCTTGGCCTTGGGGTCCTCACCGTAGAATGCTGAAAAGTCGAGGACCGGAAGTCCTTGTGGCGAAGACATGACGGGCCGTAGAATGGGCTATCACAGCTGAGATGCAATTTATGCCCCTGAATGTCCGGCACGAGATTTATAGCCTCGAGTGAACAGGTCCAGTTCCTATTAATATATGAACACGGCCTGAACATGCAGCTTTTTCGCCTAATGTAATATGAACCGGGCCCATCGGGATAGCCTTGGCGCGGTATTTTTCTCCTGGCCTTATTGGGCATTCCACGGGATCCCTTCTCATGGTCCAATGCACCAGCGATACGTAATATATGGAGGTGTGGAGCTGTGAGAGGCGCTATGACTGCAGGATGGCATGGGTTGGAAGCCAAAGGTAACGGACTTGGTCGTGCATTTCCAGCCGGTCTCTTAGAGTTTAAAAATTCTGGGATAGCAAACATTGTGATATCCTTTCATGATCAAACGTTAGTATACCTAACTTGAACCACCCGTATTGTGAACAAGAGGGCAAAGACAAAGAATCCCCCAGCCACTAAAGTTGTCACAATGGCTAAGGCCACTACCTCCCAGCAGCCATGTTTCTTCCCACCACTTGTCTCGCAGTTTGGGCAGCAATCAGCCCGACCTGAAATGCCAGAGCTACGAAAGTCTGTCACTGTACCACTGAAGGGTCTGGATGCGCAGCTGCTAACTTGTTGGCTTCATTCGGAAAATGTCGATCTTTTATCTCTGCTGAGAACGGCCTGGGCAGTGGTACTGCGAGCCTATACCTCTGGAAATCACATTTGCTTCGGTCTGGTGGATTTTGAAGAGGAAAAAGGACCTGCGAGTGACTGGCCAGACTTAAGAGAACACATCAAGGTCTACGAATCTACCATCACTAGCTTGACATCAATCCAGCGGCTTCTCCACCATGGGGAGCACTCAAACGCGCTTGAGAGCTATGGGTTCATCACGGCTGATGATTCTCTGCCCGCTCATAGCTGGCCCTTTAATTCTATTGTCTATATTGATTGCAACAATCTTCGAAAGGGAGCTGGGTCGATGTGCATATCACTGACTAGTATGTGCAGAGAGGGATTGAACGAAGTACGTCCACATTGTAATTTACGTTACCCAATGACATAACCCATTAGGGAATCATCCGAGCGACACGTTGCTAATTTTGCCTGATTCTCTAGTTTCAAATTATCGTCCGCCTCTGTCGCGATGAATCGACCGGTTTACTTTCAAGCGTTATCGACTATACGACCACGGTCCTCTCGCACGAGCAAGCCCTGGCTGTGGCAGAAACGCTGAACCAAACCATATCAGAAATTGTTCAGCACACAGATCAAACAGTGGCAACCCTTGATATCTGCACCGAGTCTGACATCAAACGCATGGTCCAATGGAATCAAGCCCCTCTGAGCATGCCTCGCCTGGAACAGTGTGCATTCCAGCTGATTTCCCGACGGTGCGTAGAGCAGCCCGACGCAACAGCAGTTTCGGCATGGGACGGTGAACTGACCTATTGGGAGCTCCACCAGCGCTCCTCCACTCTCGCTGCTCAATTAGCCGGTCTTGGAGTGGGTTCTGGAGTTTTTGTGCCTCTCTTTTTCGAGAAATCCAAATGGGCGGTGGTAGCGCTTCTTGGAGTGATCAAGGCCGGGGGTGCTTTTATTCTGATGGATATATCCTACCCACTCAAACGCATTCGCGCCATCTGCCAGTCAGTGTCGGCCAAGGTGGCAGTTGTTTCCCCAAAGCAGCAATTACTGGCACGGGAGATCGTACCTCTGGTGGTGGCATTTGGGGATGGCTGTGCGGAAGGCCCCCATCTTTCTGCTTCTGCCAATCTACCACCACCACAAGGTTGCAGTCCTGAAAGTCCACTCTACGTGGTTTTCACATCTGGGAGTACAGGCGATCCTAAGGGTGTGATTATAAACAACGTCTCCTTTTGCTCATTGTATGAGACGGTTTCCCGCACTTTCTCATTTAACCCTTCCACTCGTCTTCTGCAGTTTGCTTCACATGCCTTCACTTTATGCAGCCGAGAGATGTTGCTGATTCTGATAGCTGGCGGTTGTTTATGTATTCCATCCGAGGGGGATCGTGTAAACGATCTTGCAGGGTTTATGTGTCGCCATCGCGTTAGCTTTGCCATCCTAACTCCATCTGTGGCAGGTACTCTTTCTCCTTCCTCAGTTCCATCACTCCAGAGGTTGGTGCTGGGAGGTGAGGCCGTGAAGCCAGCTCATATTGCTACATGGGCTGGTAAGGTCCACCTGATGACTGGGTACGCGGCCAGTGAAATCGCAGGCACAGCCATTGTGGGGTCTAATGTTCAACAAGATAGCGATCCCCGTAATGTGGGCTTCGCCTGTGGTGCGGGCCTCTGGGTGGTGGATGCTGACAACCCTGAGCAACTTGCGCCAGTGGGGGCAGTAGGAGAACTTATATTGCAGAGTCATGGGCTCGCAGGTGGCTATTTAAACGGCAATACACTAGTGAATCAGCCGTTCTTTCACGATGCACAATGGCAGAAAAGACTGCCCTCGGAGGCCCGGACCACACGTCTATACCGGACTGGTGATATGTTCCGGTACAACATCGATGGGTCTTTACACTATGTGGGGAGAAAAGACAACCAGGTCAAGGTAAACGGCCAGCGCATAGAGCTAGGGGATATTGAATCGCACATCGCGACCTCTTGCGCAACCGTCCATAGTTCAGTCGTCCTCCTACTCCAACCGGATCAGCAGGCTACGAGATCATTTCTGATCGCCTTCATCTGTCCTACGAAAGCCGCACGCTGGGGCGCCACCAGCGATAGCCCGCTGGCAATTGTCGAAACCCCAAGTAGTCAGTTTTATCTCGATATTGAAGAGATTATCCACGAGCTGCAGCGGTCTCTGCCGTCATACATGATACCATCGATCTTTGTCCCGCTTTTGTCTATTCCCCTAACCCTGACAGGAAAGGAGAACCGTCGCCTCTTACTGGAAACGGTGGCAACATGGCCCGAGGACAGATTTGCTACGTATCGGTGTAGGAGCCAAGCTTCGTCTATGGATAAGGCCCCTGCCACTGAACGAGATGACCAGATTCGTCACCTAGTTGCTAACACCCTGAAGAAAGAGGCGGAGGCCATTTCGATGGGAAGCAGCTTCCTAGCCCTTGGCGGAGACTCTATTTCCGCCATGCGCCTCGTAGCATTAGCGAAGCAAGAGGGGCTATGTCTCACAGTTGGCGATATTTTTAATTACCCCATATTGTCAGACCTGGCAACAGTTGTGCGAAAGGGTACCAGAGAGCAGCCGCAGCCAAAGCAATATAGTTTCAAAGGGCTCAACGCTTACGGTGGGCTTCTCCGAAGATTGCCCGCCGAGATAGCTAATAATATTCATGAAATCATTCCCGCAACTGCGTATCAAAGGATGACCCTAACTGAACTACGCCCAAGATATTTGCGCATTGCCCTGCCTAGCAATGTAAACCGGGACAGGCTTCTGAGCTCATGCCAGCAGCTACTAGACAGACACACTGTCCTACGCACCATTTTCGAAACCGATGGTGAAACCAACGCCTCTCAGGGCGAGGTAGTCCAAGTCATACTCCGCCCGTACAAATTGAGATTTATTGAACATCATGATATTGATGACTTGGATAAACATTGCCTAAACGAGACACTCATGAGCCCTTCCCCGACAGGGGGAGGATTGCAATTCCAGGCTCAACTGCTCACCATGCGGGATTCCCGCCTGTTCCTTGTGCTTCGCTTCATCCATGCCCAGTATGATGGAATATCCCTCCCGGTTATCAGTGAAGATATCTCTGCCGCTTATAATGGTCTTGTTCCCTCCCCAACTGCGCCATTTTCCAAGCATGTTGAAGCTGTATGGGCTAGTCGCAATGATGAAGGTCTTGAAGCATGGAGGACCATGCTCAGAGGGTCAGAAATGACCATTCTGAAGCCGAAGCAGATGGCCACCAAGAATGTGGAGAAGGCCATACACGACGCACGCGCAGTGAAGGTAATAAAACGGATACCAGTAGTTTCACCTCCAGAGAATATCACGATGGCGTCCTTAGTGAAAGCCGCTTGGGCACTGACATTTGCCAAATTTGTCTCCGTGAGAGACACCACAACCTCGTTTGCTGAGGCCCCCCTTAAAGACATTGTGTTTGGCCAGGTTGTCCATGGGCGAGGTCTAGGCGTTGCCCATGAGAGCCGTATCCTCGGGCCATGTGTGAATACCGTTCCCGTGCGTGTTAACCTCTCCAGGTATACCAGCAACCATGACTTGCTGAGCCACGTTCAACAGCAACACCTCGCCATGATGCCATTCGAAAACATCGGTCTGGATGCTATCATCCGAAACTGTACGGATTGGACGCCGGGAACTAAATTTGGTAGCGTACTGCGGTTCCAGAATTTTGACGCGAACCTCTCATGTGTTTTTGATGGAGTTACCTATGACGCTTCTGTTTACCATCTTCCCAACCGGCCATCAGAGAAGATTCATGTAATTATCATGCCTTCTGCAGATGGCATGCAAGTCATCATGAATGGGTATGATCATGTTGTCGGTCAGAACGAGGCAGAGGACCTGGTAGATTGCTTCTGCACCGCCATTCATGATCTCGCTAGGACACCTACCGAGTGATACCATTACAAAACCTGTTTTCTTGGATTATTTTCGAGGGCAATGGCGAATCGCAGATGGTGTTTGAAATGCATATCCCCTTGAAGACAATGTATGGACATTCACCTTGGTTACAGTCCCATGGCTAAAGTGGTCCGCCTTAGGCTGCAACTCGATGTCTTCATATTTTGACTGCAGCTTTCTCTGGGCATTCTTTAATTCAGCTTTCCTAAGTTGTAGTCTTAATATAGTTCCGAAATCTATATTTTAAGCCTTTTGTTCTTATTGTATTGAAGTTATGTAACATATATACATCAAAGCCGTACGGAGAAAGAATATATAAAACGGTAAACGAATCGCCCGCTGTCAAGGAAAAATACACAATTCATCAATTTCATGTATAGAAAGTATATTGAATGATATTCTGTGACGATATTCCCATACGGTTCAGATTTCGACGGCCATATCGCTATATTGGCATAAATTGGAGACCAGGGAACAGAGCTCGTGGTGACAAGGTCCTCTCACAAAATCTCGGGCAAATCCGAGTTGATTTTGGCAATACAATCCAGAATGTTTCCTTAGTCATTAGTGGACTGCCCCACGATGAATGCATGGCGTCGGCCAGGGGGACGAAATGAAGATCAATACTGCCCCTGGCATGATGTGCATTCTCCATCAGGTACATCGCCTTGCCATATACAGCTTAGCCGAAGACCTTCCTTTGCAGTGCATAATCCCCTATCCACCAATAAACTGTGATACGCCTTCATCCAGTTTCTCAGCCTGACAAGATTGGTTGACTGCGCGAATGAGGCGACTGCCGATCCTTCCGAGGCAGGATAGTAAGAATGCCAGGTCAAAATTTAGCCCCTTTGCCGCCTTTCGGGACCCTGCTGGGATGAAAGAGAGTGCCATGGGTCATTGCTACCTTGTACTTCGTGGCAGTCCATCAAGCTGACCGAGCCTTCCAACTATGATCCCTGATACTCGAGAAGCACCGGTGGTCGAGTCGACTAAGCAAAATCAACACGGAGAGTCGCAGGATGGAAAACAGTCATTCTACTTACAGTGGCGCAAGTTGAACCCACTACGATCTCGTAGCACCCCTCCAGTGCCACAGAAAAGGCAGGTGTCTCGAGAATATGCCGCGGGCTTTGCAAGTCTTATTACCTTTCAATGGGTTGCTCCAATCGTGAAGGTCAGTTCACTCAGTTTCTCGAATACTCGCAGATTATACGGGCACAGTCTGACCATATTAATAGCTCGGTTACAAGCGGGAGCTGGAGATCCAGGATATTTGGACGGTGAACCCAACTCGATCCGTAAGTATCCTTTCCGATAGGCTGGATGAAGCTTTCCGCGTGCGGCTTAGAGATGGAGGGAAAAGGCCGCTAGCCTGGGCTCTATATGACACACTAAAAGTCGGACTGTGGGTTGCCATATTATCTCAGATCCTTAGTATGTGTCTGTTGGTGCTGGCGCCCTTTGTTGTACGACTCTTAATCGAGTTTGCGATGGACGCATTTGTCTCTCAACACAACAGCCTCCCGGGACCGAACCTTGGCAAGGGCATGGGCTTAGTTATCGGCCTTGTTGCCATGCAATTGGTGCAAAGTCTCTCTAGCAACCAGGCATTCTATCAATCTTTGATCGCAGGCGGTGAGCTGAAGGCGGTCCTCGCCCCCAAGATGTTTTCCAAAGCAATGAGACTATCTGGTCGTGCTAGAGCCGGCAAAAAGACAGGCTACAGCGATGGGCGGATAACCACGTTGATGGCCGTGGATCTGAGCCGTCTCGAGAAAGGCTGTGCAGTGCTCCATATACTTTGCGCCACTCCAATTGCCTTGATCATTGCCCTAATCACCTTGTTGGTTAATATAGGCTACAGCGCCTTGGCAGGATATGCCTTCCTTGTTGCTATGACATGCTTGCTCACTTTTGCTGTGCGGTCCATTATCATTCGACGCAGGGCGATAAATACCATTACAGACAAGCGGGTTGGTATAACACAAGAGATCCTGCAGAACGTGAGGTTTATCAAGTTCTTTGCGTGGGAGAAAAGTTTCCTGGGGCGACTTCGAACGACGCGACAGCTTGAGATAGACTTACTTGGGCGTTTTCTGGCGACACGGCACTCGATCACTGTTTCCTTTACTACTATGGCGAACTTCGCCTCATTGCTATCCTTCATGACATACGCGCTGAGCGGTCATACCCTTTCATCCGACCGTATATTCGCCTCCCTTGCAGTTTTCAACGCCATTCGACTGCCACTCAGCATGATGAATGTCGTTGTCACGTCTACCACCGATGCTGTAACATCTCTCAATCGACTCCAGGAATTTCTCCTAGCAGAGGAACGGGAAGACTTTATTACATGGGATAGGGCCATGGAAAATGCATTTCAATTGGAAAAATCATCATTCACGTGGGAGAATTCACCGGACGTGGATTCCTTTCCCGTACCAGCCGCTGGACCCTCGACAACATCACCTTGGAGTGGTGCCATTAAGGCTGTTAGTGGAGCAACGGACAAAGCACCATTCAGGCTCATGGATATTGACTTGCAGGCCTCCCGGGGGGAGCTTATCGCTGTGATAGGCACTATTGGTAGTGGCAAGAGCTCCTTGTTAGGAGCTTTAGCAGGTGAAATGCGGCTAACGGCAGGTTCAGTACGTATGAGTACAACCCCAGCATTTTGTCCCCAGTACGCGTGGATCCAGAATACTACAATTCGAAACAATATATTATTTGGCCAAGACTATGATGAGGTCCGGTATAACCAGGTTGTCGATGCTTGTGCTCTCCGGGCGGATCTGGCTACGTTTTTAGACGGAGATCAGACTGAAATAGGAGAGCGAGGCATCACACTGTCCGGAGGTCAGAAGCAGCGTCTAAATATTGCCAGAGCTATTTACTCTAACTCCGATATTATACTCTTGGACGATCCGCTATCCGCATTGGATGCAGACGTCGGGCTCCATATCATGAATCAGGCGATATGTGGTCTGCTTAAAGATCGATGTAGAATACTGGCAACACATCAACTGCACGTCCTTGCTCATTGTGATCGAATTATCGTCATGGAGGCCGGCCGGGTTGTTGATATTGGTACATTTGGACATCTAGTACAACGGAATGAAGTACTCCAGAGTCTCGTATCGGTCCATCGTCAGGACGAAAAGGAAGAAACACCAGGTTCACCTCTGGTTGGTTATGCAGCCCATTTACGAGAGGCTAGCCCTAAACCGAAGGTTGAAAATGGGAATGCTGCGCCATTGATGAAGGAGGAGGAGAGGGTGCGACATGCAAGACGGAGAGACATATGGAGAGCATATGCCGTATCCTCCGGTTCTGTTGCTAATATTTTCATAGTGTTGGCCCTAGCTGTCCTATCTGCTGGAGGAGCCATTTTGGGCGGGGTGTGGTTGTCATTTTGGGCTTCGAACAAGTTTCCACAGCTGGGTTTGGGCCAATACCTGGGTATATATGCAGGTATCACAAGCGGCCATGCCGTTATCCTGTATCTGTTTTCGGTATACGTGACAACCTCTGCAGCCAATGCTAGCAAAACGATGCTCGAAGATGCCATGGATCGTGTTCTCCGGGCACCAACCTCATTCTTCGACACAACGCCGTTAGGGCGTATGCTCAATCGGTTCTCAAAAGACGTTCAGGTACTGGATAATGAATTGGGTGAGACAGTACGGCTGTTTCTGTTTCTCTTCCTCATACTTGTTGCTATCATGGTACTTGTCATTGTCTACTTCCACTATGTGAGCATCCCTCTTTCTTCGCTCCTGTTAGCTCCTCAGAAGTGACCATTTTTCGATAGTTCGCTCTTGCAGTGGGGCCGTTAGTAGCTATTGTTATTTTTGCTACAATATATAACCGGGCCTCTGCTAAAAGTTTGAAGCGACATGAAGCTGTTCTCCGTTCGGTTGTATTTGCGAGGTTTAATGAAGCTATCACGGGTGTTGCATGTATCAGAGCGTACAGCATGGAGAGGTATTTCCGACAGAGTATCGGTAAAGCAATCGATTCTGCAAACGCTGCCTACTTTCTCATGTTTGCCAACCAGCGGTGGCTTTCGGTTCGCCTGGACCTTGTCTGTAATACATTACTTCTAGTAACTGGGGTTCTCGTCGTCACATCTCGTTTCGATGTTTCACCCAGCATATCTGGCTTAATCCTTTCCTACATGCTTAGCATTTCACAGACTCTACAATTCTCTATTCGTCAGTATACAGAGCTTGAACAACACATTAACTCCGCCGAACGACTCCATTATTATGGGAACTGTCTAGAGGAGGAGGAGGAGGAGAAAAAGGCCGCTCTGCACCTAGTGGAGGTTTCGAACACCTGGCCAGAAAAAGGCCAGATTGTTTTTGAAAATGTCCAGATGCGTTACCGTGATGAGTTGCCCCTGGTGCTCAAGGGCCTTACGATGTCCATCCGCGGTGGGGAACGTATCGGCGTGGTAGGGAGAACGGGGGCTGGAAAGTCAAGTATCATCTCAGCTCTTTTCCGCTTAACTAAGCTCTCAGGTGGGAATATCTGGATTGATGGTGTGGATATAGCTACTGTTGAATTGCATACTCTACGATCCCGGCTGGCTATCATACCACAGGACCCTACTCTCTTTCGGGGTACTATTCGATCCAACCTGGACCCATTCGACGAACATACAGATCTAGAACTCTGGTCGGCACTCCGGGAGGCACATTTAGTGGACCCACCGTCTGATGGTGACGAGGATGCATGTCAGGTAGTCAACGAGAAAGCGGCAGGTACCGGCCAGTTGCATCTTGATTCTCCAGTGGATGAAGAAGGGCTCAATCTTTCTCTCGGTCAACGCCAGCTAATGGCTCTAGCCCGAGCTATTGTGCGGGACTCCAGGATCATTATCTGCGATGAAGCAACTTCTTCCCTTGACTACCAGACAGATCAGAAGGTCCAACAAACTATCTCCAAATTCCATGACAAGACATTATTTTGTATTGCCCACCGGCTACGGACCATTATTCACTATGATCGTATCTGTGTCATGGACAGAGGATGTATCGCAGAGTTAAACACGCCTGTGCGTCTCTGGGAGCAACAGGGTATCTTCCGGGAGATGTGCAACCAGAGTGGTATAACACGTGGGGAGCTAGAGATAGCGTCGCTTGGATTCTAGATGCGGCTTTTGTACTTCCTCCTATGAGGAGGTAATAATACGCAAAGCCAGGTTTGTATTTCCGGCAATTGAACACCTCGAGTTGGGGCAAGAAAAGGAAGATGTTTTATAAATCAACTCGCGATGGCTAATATTGAACATGCTACTAAGTGAAGATAGTTTTCCCAGCACTGATCATCATCTTATTCATTCTATTAGCAATGGGGAGAAAACATTGCATTCGGCGCCAGCACTTCTCTGAGAACTGCACTCTGGAGTCTACCCAAGATTTCGTAGCCTGATGTATTAAGCTACTGCCAAGGACAAAGGTTTGCGTATAACCCTCTATCATAGAACTATTAGGGGAAAAGATATATAGGGAGCTATAACCGACATTAACTATAAAGTTAGTGTTCAAAGGGATGTATGGTAGAGGAGCACAACATATATGTACTTGAGACTTCCGTGACAATCAAAGAACTGTTTAAGGTAAACCACAGTAAAAAGCTATACCATTGTAATTTGGGCTATCAAAGGCACCAAGGATTCTATCTCTGAACCCTCTAGAATAGTAATCCAGGTGTGTAGGTAACAGATAATACTCGACATTTAGAATGACTTATCGCGCAGCTCGTCATAATGTAGTCCCACGACATGTTACGGGCAACACCACATTCCGTATAGATATTGTAGCCATAACTCTTGCTCTGGACAGTGAACCGTGTAGCTATATCTTGGGAAATAGCTCAATAGCTAATCCCACGCCTTCCAGCGATATTGAGGACTTGGACGAACGTAGGAATGCCTCAGAGGTCACTTATATATTACTATAGTATGCTGAAGTATTCGTTACCTAGCAGTGCCTAGCAGTATGTGGAGTATCCGTAGACATTGAGCCTACCCTAATGATCGAGATCTAAGCAATTTCCGTTCTTTTATGTCTAATATTACTCCTTCAACATGGATAGATATAGTTGAGTAAAGCCCCAAGCGATAAGAATGTTGAATTGAAAGCTAGTTTCACGCACGTCCACGGCCTTATTCAATGGCACTACCGTGGTATTAATGACCAAGCTCCGCCTTTTGCGCCTTGAGAACATTATCTAAAACATCTGGATACCATTTGCGCGCCACGTCTTCGTGCTTGATGACACGCGCCATGAAAAGGCCGCTGCCAGCACAATCGCGGAACATTTCCTCGAAGAATTTCTCTGCGTCTGACATGACCTTGATCTGCTTGGCAAGACTTACTATATGGGGTGGCATATCTAGGGTCATCTGCTCTCGCGTCAGGTCCAGGGCCAGAAGCTGGAACATGGGAAACGAGAACCGCGGACCCAAAGGTTGGCCATCACGAGCCACGAAGTTCTTCTCCTCCAGTCTGACTCGATGCGTGGTGGCTGTCACCACACCACCGGTCAGTGCCTCAAACATGCGACCGATGTTCACAACCAAGGTTCCAGGGACTGGGGGAGCAGGGATCCATTCCCCTGATTTATTCTGAACCTCGAGGCCCTTGTGGGGCGTTCCCTGCAGAAGGAAGGTTAAGAAGCTGCTGTCCTTGTGTGGTCCGATTCCCTGAAAGGAGCCTAATGGCCCATTGTCGGCAATGGAGAATGGAGCAGGGTACTTGGCGAGCTTCAGCCTGTCTTGCGGTTGATCGTCGAAGAAGCGGAGAAAGGCTGTTGGTTCTAGGTCCAACGCTTCCGCTACAAGGACTTTGAAGTCCTCACCCAGCGCCTGGATGTGCTTCATATAATTCTCCATCGCTTCCCGGAATCCTGGAATCGCAGTCTCGTTCGGCCACTTGATTATATCGCCCACCTCAATTAGCTATGGACCATCACAAAAGTCGCAGGAGGAAGATATGCGCACAAGATTGGGACCACTCATATTGCGATAAGCGGGCTCTTCGTCCCCTGGAGCAGCTAGGTCCATCCCAAGCTGGGAGGGGAGGGAACATCATTAGTGGTGTCATTTTTACCAGAGACAGAAATTATGCTTACATTGAATGTCTCGCGGTAGTCAGTCCGCTGTGCTGTTTTCTCGTTTTGCTCGCGCACATAACCAAGGAAATGCTTGCTATGCAGCATCTCAACTTCCAGGCGCTCCTTCAAGGGCAGATTGAAGAATTTCATCGATTGCTCTACAAAATGCCGCTCGACAATATCTGGGACGCCATGGTTCTTCACGTAGAAGAATCCGACTTTCACAATAGCATCTCGGAGGTCTGACAAGAACGAGGGCTTCGTAGCGGGAGACTGCGCCTGGGCCAAATCAATGGTTGGAATTTGAGTAAAGTTCACGGCCATTTTTCACTATTTCTCGGGTAGATCACACAATTGCTTCAATCCTGCTTCGATGAATCGATGGGGATCCATTTATCGTACATGTAAATACCGTGCATATACTTGCCAACAATAGCGCCAGCCGCAAAGTGTCCCGGCCGGCCTGCTTGGAGAGCTAAAATGTTTCGCCCTTCCTATAGCTATTGAACCAGATTTGGGCGATGCAAGGTGAGGATAGCTCACACTGGGATGGCCCACTTGTGCTGTGCATACCGCTAGGCATACTTCTTTGACATTCATTTCCTAACCTAGCAGTTTATCTCGAATGGGAGGTTGATACGGAGTAAAGCAGCAAAAGAAAAGTGAAAATTGAGCTGAGAGCCAGGCAACCATGGGCAAGGCAATCTGCATTGGATCTAGCGTCAAAGTATCTCTCGATCGCATCAAGAATCTTGGGCACGGGTGAATTCGGAGGTTGATTTTGACCGCTCATTCCGAAGTACTATGGATAGAGTATGTTGGGGGAATGTGATAGATCCGCGGCCAAGGCTCATGAAATAGCCATGGGACTTACAATCTGCATTCATAATCGTTGACAGTAGAGCGATCACTTGGTGCCCTGGGCCGCTGCTGCTGTTTCTGCTCCTTGAAGCAAGGGTCAAGTGCAGCCCGGGTCAGCCAGCCACTGTATGCAAGGGTCGTGGAAGTGCAGCTCAATGCCAAGCATGACAGCGAGAGATCTTCATACCAACCAAGCTTTGAGCAGCTGTAGCGCGCAACTGCACGCCGTGCGGTGTTCACACAAAGACTAGCTGGGGGAGCGATAGGATATTACCAGTCTTTCTAGAAAGGTTCGGTTGGGAACTACACTGGCTACGTGGATACGATAGCCATGCTATATAACTGTGACGACGAACAACCTAGATGTATTGATAGAAAGCTATCTATATATATAACCGTCCGTGACAGCAGAGTGGTTGTTAAAAGAAACTTTTCTTTTTGAATTTGAGCCACAACCACGATGGCAAAAGCAGAGCCAATTGCTATTGTTGGACGCAGCTGTAGATTCCCTGGGGGGTCTTCTACCACAGCGCGACTATGGGACTTTCTAGTAGAGCCTCGGGATCTTTCTTCTCGGCCACCTTCAGGACGGTTCAATGCAGATGCCTTCTATCACGAGGACCCAAGACGCCTTGGAACAACCAATGCCGTCAAATCCTACTTCCTTGACGAACCAATAGACCGATTTGATGCACCTTTCTTCAATATCTCAAGAACCGAGGCTGAGAGTATCGACCCCCAACAGAGACTGCTATTAGAAACCGTGTATGAAGGCTTAGAGACGGCTGGATATCGCCTGGAGGATTTATCAGGATCATCTACCGGGGTCTTTTGCGGTATCATGTGTGATGACTATCGAAGCATGCTCTTCCGAGACTTGGATACTCTCCCCCGATACGCTGCGACAGGAACTTCACAGGCTATCGTGGCAAACCGAATCTCGTACTTCTTCAATCTCTGCGGGCCGTCAATCACAGTCGATACAGCATGTTCCTCCAGCCTGGTAGCTGTGCACTTAGCAGCAAGGGCATTGGCAGACAGGGATTGCCGCGTTGCTGTCGCGGCTGGGACTAACTTGATCCTGGCCCCTAATGTCTTCCTCAGCGAGTCAAGCCTTAACATGCTGAGTCCAACTGGTCACAGTCGCATGTGGGATGCCAATGCAGACGGATACGCTCGTGGTGAAGGCGTGGCGGCTGTGGTAATGAAGCGGCTAAGCGATGCAATCAGAGATGGCGATCATATCGAGTGCGTGGTGCGCGCAACGAATGTGAACCAAGATGGGAGAACTCCGGGTATTACCATGCCATCTCCAGAGGCACAGAAAGATCTGATATTGAAAACATATGCGGACGCTGGATTAGATCCTCAGAACCGCCCGGAGGATCGGTGCCAATACTTCGAGGCGCATGGCACGGGGACACGGGCCGGAGATCCACAGGAAGCTCGAGCGATTCACGATGCCTTTTTCGGGTCGAGTACTTCGGCTGCCCAGGAAGGTAGTCCCTTGTTGGTTGGCTCCGTGAAGACGATCATCGGCCATACAGAAGGTGCAGCAGGCCTGGCCGGTTTACTCAAAGCGTCCCTGTGCATCGAAAACGCGACCATCAGTCCAAATATGCACTTTCAGAATCTCAATCCTGATATTTCTCCTTATGCAGACTCACTGCGAGTGCCCACCGAAGTCCTCCCATGGCCGATCCTTCCACCAGGAGTGCCTAGGCGTGCGTCAGTTAATTCATTTGGCTTCGGTGGGACTAATGCCCATATCATTCTGGAAAGTTACAATGGGGGACCACGGAGCCATTCCTCGAAAGGTCCACTGGCCATTTTGCCCTTTGTCTTTTCAGCAAGCTCTGAGTGGGCTTTGGGGCAGCTGCTGGATCGCTATCGTGCCTTTCTCGATGAAACTCCCTCTGTCGACTTAACAAATCTGGCATGGTCACTGTTCGCTCGAAGGAGTCTGTTCAGCCACCGACTTTGGCTCTGTGCATCATCAGCTACAGAGTTAAGAGATGCTATACAAGGAGAAATGTATTCCCGGCAATCCGGCACCCCTACAACTATCATGGGAACCCCACGCTGTGGCCCAAAACGCATCCTAGGGGTATTCACCGGCCAGGGAGCACAATGGGCAAGGATGGGCATGGAGCTAATCCAAGCATGCCCGGAAGCAGTTAGCTGGATGACTGAAATGCAGAGATCGTTGGACGAGCTACCAAAGCAGTATCGCGACACAGGCTTTTCGTTGATGCATGAGCTCTCATTGTCCCCAGACACATCACGGGTGAACCAAGCCACCGTGTCGCAGCCCTTATGCACCGCCATCCAAATAGTATTGATAAAGGTTCTATCAGCTCTAGGAATAGAGCTCTCAGCTGTTATAGGGCATTCATCCGGGGAGATAGCTGCCGCCTATGCAGCAGGTTTCATCACGGCCTATGATGCAATTCGCATCGCCTACTTCAGGGGGGTGTTTTCGCGACTGGCGCGGAGTAACAGCGGCCAGGCAGGTGCCATGGCAGCCGCTAGCCTATCCCACGAGGAAGCAGAAACCCTGTGCAGAGAGTCAAAGTGGGCAGGTCGAGTGACAATTGCCGCCTATAACTCTCCGAGTAGTGTAACGTTTTCCGGAGATGCTGATGCAATCCATGAGCTGTGCAGCATGATGCAGCAGGAGGGCAAATTCTGCAGGGCGCTGAAGGTGGACACTGCATATCACTCAAACCATATGCTTGCTTGCTCCACCAACTATAAGAATGCCCTGGCGGATTGTGGCATCACGCCGACTCGTAACAGTTCGGCCACCAAATGGTTCTCTAGCGTACTTGATGGCCGCAAAATGAGCCAGCATCATCGGGAACTACTCTGCTCGGAGTACTGGAATGAAAATTTGGTCAGCACAGTTAGGTTCAACCAGGCTGTGGTTGCAGTAACCCGCGAGACGCCATTTGACCTTGCTATTGAGATTGGGCCACATCCGGCTCTGAAGGGGCCTTTCCAGCAGAGCTTAGTAGGATCCGAAATACCCTACACGAGTATGCTCAAACGTGGCTCAGATGATATGCTATCTGTCGCATCTATGATAGGAACCTGCTGGGCCCACCTAGGACCGGACTCGATTCACCTGGAGGAATATACCAAGCTTTGTGGCAATTTCCATGCCCCACAGCTCCTGAAGCGTCTCCCATCGTATCCATTTGATCATCGGGAGGGATATTGGGGCGTATCGCGCTTAACTAATGCAGCACTTAATCGTAAAGATACACTGGATGAGCGCTTAGGAATTCTGTGTCCAGATTCTGGTGAAGGTGAGTGGCGTTGGCGCAACCACCTGCGCCACGAGGATGTTCCATGGATTGATGGACAGCGTGCTCAGTCAAAGATCCTATTTCCCCTGAGCACATCCGTGGCCATGTTGTGGAACGCTGTGATGGTTATTACAAATGCCCAGCCATTTCGCTTCGTCGAAATTTCCGACGTTGCAATGCTGCATACAGTTGTGCTAGATGCTCATATGGAGCAGAGCATCGAAACATTGTTCAAGGTTGACGTGTTGACTGACGATAAGAAGCTCATGCTTCTGGGATTCACCTATTTTATGGAAAGTGAAGGTTCTATGCGGCGCTGTGTCTCGGGGAAGGCGTCGCTGCATAAAGGAGAGGAGTCCCCTAAGCTGCTACCCTCTCAGCCATTTGATGTTAGCAGCCTGACACTAGCAGACCCCGCCCCATTGTATTCAACACTCGCTAAGCTAGGGTATGAAGTCTCCGAAGAGCTCGTGATTTCCAAGCTGCAGCATAATGACCCTCATACCCGCGGATTCTTGGTGAGCCCGCAACAGACGTGCCCTAAGTCTCAGGCTCACTATGGAGCGGTCATTGACGCTTCAATTCAGACCCTTCTCGCAGCTGCAGATGCACATGGTCCAACGCCATTATCGGGTCCTTTTGTGCCGAGTAAGATTAGGCGCATTGCTCTAAATCCCATGGTACTCCACTCGCGCATACTAGGCAATCAAGTGGTATTCGACAGTATCTTAAGCAATTCCACTACCTATGAAATAGAAGGCGACGTCGATCTCTTCGCGGAGGGGGGACAAGGTATTCTGCAGGTAGAGGGTGTTACTCTTGTTCCAGTCACGCAGTCGGAGGAACGGAGCTGCACAATATTCTCAGAAGTAGCCTGGGGTCGCTTGAACCCATATATTTCCGCAGAATATACAGACCTGCGTATCGGACTCGATAATCAGGACCCATCGACACATGAGCGGATTGCCCTTTGCTACATGGCCCATGCGGCCAAGCTGGCCCCACAACACGAACGCATTCACATGGATGCCCAGGCGACAGCTTTGTTGGATTGGATCGATAATGTGCTGCAGCAGACAAACTCCGGTGGTCATCCGGTCTGTCGTAGGGAGTGGATGGCCGATACAGTCGAACAGATTGAAGCCCTAGCGCCTGAAGGCTCAGGCTATAAAACCTATGACATTCTGCATGCGGCTGGCAGAGACTTGGTTAAGGCAATACAAAAGCAGGGCGAGGCAGATGGATCAAGCAAGCATTTCGATGAGTGGCAAAGACATTCCGTTGCGATCCGTGAGCTCAGGTGTGGCATGCAGGATGTGCTCGAGCAGATATGCTTCCGATATCCACATCTAAATATTATCGAGGTGGGAGGGTACATAGAAGCAAAAAATGCTGTATCTCGTATGGGCTTCCCCTTTAAGTCTTATACACACACACGGCCACCCAATGGCTGCGTGGAGAAGCCCAGTGACCTGGAGAATTCACATGAGCATCGGATGATGGAGTTTGATGTTTCCAAGAACCCTGCGGAGCAAGGCTACGCGGAGCATTCGTATGAGGTGGTTCTGATTCCCAATGTACTTTGTCCCACTATATCCCGCGACCAAGCATTGGTGAATCTTCGTCGTCTCTTGAAACCTGGTGGCTATTTATTGGCTATCCAGGAGACGAATCCATCTGTACTCCATGCCACCCTTATTGCACCTTCCCTGGGCCTTGGCCGAGAGGAAATATGGACACCAGACAGGTGGCACTCTGCCCTTCAGGACAGTGGCTTCTCTGGGATCGATACAATAACTCCGACCGTGTACAAGTCTCTGCAACCATACTCTTTGGTAGTGTCGCAGGCCGTTGATGATACAATCATTGCCCTCCGCGACCCGTTGATGAGAGCCGACACAGGCCCGGATGACCGTGACCTCTATATCATTGGGGGCAATACCCCAGAAACCGCGAACCTTGTGCAGGGGCTAGACGCAATTTTGACCCCAAGATTCAGGTCATTGTTGAAAGTTCCGGAGCTGAAGGCATTGCGCGCGATAGGCCACGCCAGGATAAATGTCCTTTACTTGGGTCTTTTAGATACCCCACTATCTGAAGACCTCGATGAAGATCAATACAATGGGCTTCAACATATGGTGAACATAAGTGGCAATATCCTTTGCGTTAAACGAGGCACTAGGTCCAGCATCTGGAACGAAGGACACTTCACTACTGCACTGCGCAGTCTCGCTTCACAAAAACAACAACTTCGCCTCCAGTGTCTTGAAGTGAGCCATGACACCCAGACGACTGCGTGTAGCGTTGCAACAGCACTTCTCCGGCTAATCAACAATCCACTTCCTAATAATCATCAACTCCCAACCCATGTATGGAGCAGCGAGCCCCATTTACTATTGGAGGGTGGGGTGGTCTACATCCCCAGGATCAGGCATAGTGAATCAATGAACCAACGGGCGTCTGCTGATCAGCAAACCACATACCAAGAGGTTGAGCTCTCGAAGTCTGGAGTGCGTCTTGTGTCTAATCCCGGCCCTCAGCACTTGGTCATACAGTCAGCAATGCTGGACAAACCCAAAAAGACCCGGGTCCAAGTAGTATTTTCTTCACAGACGGCAATCAAGATCGGTAGTGAATGTTTGTACCTCGTGGTTGGCAAGGTGCTCAATGAACAGTCCTCTGTTATTTGCTTTTCGGACGAATGTGCGTCGGTTGTGTCAGTTCCGTCTTGCTGGGTCCAGCCTTTCGAGTGTTCTGAGCGAGACGGACCGAAGCCCCTGATGGCTGTGATTTTGGCCCTGGCAGCTGTAGTCGCAGTCCGTCTCGCAGGCTCGAACACTACTCTCGTCGTCCACGAGCCTTGTAACAGTCTTCGTGCGCTATTGGTAGCCTATGCGCATACGCAAAATGTGTCATTGCTGTTCACGACTGGTAGATCTGAACCCCCCACATCCGATCACTATATCCATCCATTGAGCCCCAGTCGCGCTCTTGCCAAGTTACTTCCAGATAACGTATCGATGATCTTAAGGTGTGATGAAGAAGCCGGGGGCATATTCTCTCGCTCAGGCTTACCGCTGGCTCCAGGTGTTCTTGTGACAGAAATTCGAAACCTTTTTTCCTCTGAGCCATACATATGCGGTCCTGAAGCCAACAATTCCACAGCTGCAGACTTCCTCCACTTGGCCTTGGGACTGGCAGAGAGCAGAGATATCGCAAATGACTCGGAGCCCAACGTGATTGACGTGCAACAGCTTGCTGCTTTGAAACATGACACTGGACTACCGGCCGTGGTTGATTGGTCTAACCCTTCCGTGGTTCGAACCATCGTGCAGAAAACTAGCTCTGAGCTTGTGTTCTCTGCAGAGCTGGCTTATCTCGTTGTGAATCTGGACGGGGCAACTGCTAAGCCTGTAGCAGAATTACTCGTCCATAAGGGTGCCAGAAAGGTCGTACTCATAGGGTCATCTTCCGGCGTCGATCAGGAGTGGATAAATGAAATTGGCCTGCTAGGAGCCAGGTGAGCATTTTGAGCATGTAAGTGTCCACCCAAGGTTGAACGATGGCCAGGCCTTAACACACACCTACACAGGAATATCACCGATCGTGAGTCGGTTGCTGCAGTAAAAGCCACCATCATTCAGGATATTGGCCCGATAGGAGGTGTTATGAGTAGGGTTGTTACGATACTTGACCCTCATGTTACGACAGATACAGCCTTCCAAAGTGCATCACGTCCTGAAACCCACGGCGCTAGAATTCTTAGCGAAGTTTACAATGATAGGGAACTGGAATTCTTCATTCTTTCTGCGCCGAGTGTGTGGCCAGTTGGCTTTCCGAGTCACGATTCTACTCTAAGTGACGCCGATTTATTCGGCATTGCACATGAACGGAGGAGTATGGGATTAGTAGCCAGCATAATCCATTCCAAGTCCCTTGCGGAAATGGCTCTTTCAAAGCAGGAGATTGGTGAAGTATTGGCAGAAGCCATCATTGCCGGCCGTGTGTCTTCGCAGGGTCCCTTAAATGTGATCCCCGCGGCAGCTATCGGCCAGAGCAGGGAATATTCACATATTGATTGCTCCAAGAACCCAATCCTTTGGTCTATAATCTGTCCCAAGCTCACTCCTTCACCACCAGCGGAAGGGCAGTCCAGAGGGGAAGACCTCACCCTCCAAGAGGAGATGGCCAGAAGTGATCGGGAGATTGATAACTTGCAGAAGATCATCCAGGCGAAATTTATAGCAAAGCTTCGGAAGGCTCTTCGCTTAAGGGAAGAAGAACCTATTCTTGCCAATACCGCATTATTTGAGCTAGGGGTGGACTCATTGGTTGCTACCAGCCTGCGGTCATGGTTTGTGAACGAAGTGGGTATCGACATGCCAATCATGAACCTTCTTAACAACGATTCTATTGGTTCATTGGTCCAATATGCTGTTAAGGACTGGCTTGCCCAAACAACGAAGAAAGATGAACGGGACTCACCAGTTTCTTGGGCACAAGGACGATCCGAAAGCTCCGGCTCCGCTTCACCGACCACGGGCAGCTCGGGGGCCGTATCCAGCATGGGGGACACACCATTGTGCAAAGGACAATATTCACGAGTAGAACACCTATCATATGCTCAATCTCGCTATTGGTTTCTTCAACAGTACTATGAAGACCCAACAGCATTCAATGTCACCCTCCTTTTTACTATGGACGGCCAGCCATCTGAAACGGATCTCCAAGCAGCTATCCAGACGGTCTGCCAAAGGCACCAGTCCCTGAGAACGTGTTATCTTAGTGAGGGAACAGAGATGAAGGACGCGTGCCAGGCCGTCTTGCCCATCTCTCCCGTGAATTTGGAAGTGTGTAATATTGAAAACGAATCCGGCCTGTTGGATCAGTATACCAGAATCTGTGACCATCCGTATGACACAGAGAAGGGAGAATGTATTCGATTCCGCTTGGTCAAATCTACTGCCACAGACAGCGCATTCTTGATCATTGGCTACCCTCATATGTGTATGGATGGTGCGAGCTGCCTCATCCTCCTTGATGAGCTTGATCAAGCATATAGGAAGGTCTCGCTTCCATCAGCTTCTCGCCAATATCCAGACTTTGCAGCTGCACAGAGAGTCTCATATGAACAGGGAAAGCTGCATAAAGAATCAGACTACTGGAAGAAAGAGCTGAGCCCGTTACCGGAACCAGTTGCACTTCTTCCCATGACCAAAGTTCGCACTCGTCCCCCCCTTAAAGAGTACGACACGCACGAGCTCCAATTCTGTATCTCGAATACCATAATGGATAAAATTAGATCTCAGTGCCGTAGGCACAGAGTCACTCCATTTCACTTTTCTCTAGCGGTATTGAGGATTCTTCTGGCTCGCCTTACCAAGACCCAGGACTGTTGTATTGGTGTCGCTGATTCCAATCGACTGGATCCTAACAACGAAAGAACCGTGGGGTTTCTGTTGAACTTGCTGCCGCTACGTTTCCGGACGCTTCCAGATAATTTTATGCAGGTTCTTGCGGGGACTCGGGAAGCATGCTATGGTGCGCTGGCTCACTCTGCGATGCCCTTCGATAAACTTCTCGACGAATTAGCAGTCCCTCGGAGCAACACACATAGTCCGCTATTTCAGATCCTGATGGATTGGCAGCCTCGCCTTGGAGGAGAAGTGAAAATAGGAGACATAACCTCATCCTGTACGAAGATGACTGTCGGGCGAACAATATATGACCTTACACTGCTCGTCACCGAGTCTGCCCGAGGCGACGCGACGATTCACTTCCGCACACAGAAAGCACTTTATTCTAAAGAGGGCAGTGAGGTTCTTGCCCGGAGTTACATTAACCTTCTGGAAGCATTCACAAATGATCTTGAGCTTCAAGTAAATGCTCCATGCATTTGGCACCCCTCAGATCTCGACCGCGCTGTTGAGATTGGCCAAGGCCCGACTTACAAATCACAATGGCCTTCTACTGTATCAAGGAGGATTGAGGAAATCTCTATCTCCCAGCCCAGCCACACGATTGCCGTAATGGACACCCAGGGTCGAAGCTTCACCTATCGGAGTATGATGGATCGTGCGCGCACGTTGGCCTTTGCATTACGGGATGCTGGTGTCAGCGCAGGTTCCTTTGTTTGCATATTCCAACACCCAACCGCGGAATGGGTGTGTTGTATGCTCGCCATCTGGTGTCTCAATGCAGTTTATGTGCCCCTTGACCTACGTAACCCCCCCAGTCGACTTATGACGGTGATCGATGACTGCCAGCCAACGGCTATATTCTGTAATGATGAAACCGACCCCGATGTTAGAGGTCTCGACTGCCCTGGTACCGTGATCTTGAATACCTCAGAGATATGTGGCTACAGTGGCAGACACTCAAATTTCCAAGATACTTCGAATCCAGATGCTCCTGCTGCTGTGCTTTACACAAGTGGATCGCTGGTAAGCCTAAGGGTATTCTGCTTCGACACGCTAGTATCCGCAATCAAGTCGAGGGATACACACGGCGCTGGGAGTTGGGACCTGAGGTAGTACTCCAACAGGGTGCCATGACATTCAATCACTCGTTGGATCAGATATTAACGGGTCTGTGTACTGCTGGCCGGGTGGTGGTGGCTACACGTGATATTCGCGGCGATCCTGTGTCGCTTACGAAGTTGATTGTTGATCAACAAATCACTTATACCAAAGCCACGCCGGCTGAATATTCAATGTGGCTGCGGTATGGGTCTGCCTCACTGCGTACAGCTAGCAGCTGGAGACATGCTTTCGGGGGTGGCGAGCACCTTACCACTACACTTTCCCAGGCATTTCAGGCGTTGGAACTGCCCCATCTTTCGCTATACAACTCGTATGGCCCAGGAGAGATTACTATTTCCTCCCACAAACTGAAGATTGATTACCAAGGGCCTAGTGCAACCCCGGATGATGTTTTCCCCGTCGCTTCTCGTTGCCAAATTATACCACATATGTTGTCGACGAGGCCATGCAGCTCGTTCCCCCCGGCGTCTCCGGTGAGATTTTGATCGGGGGTGCCGGCCCGTGCTTAGGGTATCTTCACCGTGAAGCCTTAACAACAGAGAAGTTTATCGAAAACAAGTTTGCATCATGCGAATACTCCCAGTCTGGTTGGACCAGAGCCTACCGAACTTTCGATCGCGGCCGACTACTGAGTGATGGCTCCCTAGTGATCGAAGGTCGTTTGGACGGAGACACGCAGGTGAAGATCCGTGGCATCCGTGTTGAGCTTGAAGACATCGAAAATAGTATCATCCAAGCTTCAGAGGGTAAGGTAGTGAATGCGGTTGTTTCAATCCATGGTGACGATAGCCAGCTGCTCACAGCTCATGTTGTGCTTGCACCGAGTATACAAGGGGACACACCCTCTAGCCTCGACAGCTTCCTGCAGCAACTACGAGCTATGCTTCCCCTTCCACAGTATATGTGCCCTTCGGTCTTCATACCAGTTGATGACTTCCCTCTTACCATTCACGGTAAGGTAGACCGAAAGGCCATTCGTTCCATGCCACTGCCACAAGCATCCAGGAGCAACCGCTCTGCTGAGGAGCTCTCCGGGACAGATGCCATGCTCCGGGAGCTCTGGGCTCAGGTTCTGGAATCGACCTCACTAGATGCTACCGCCGTCGGTCGTGAGGATGACTTCTTCATGGTGGGAGGAAACTCTGTTTTGTTGGTCAAGCTCCAAGCCCTCATCCGACAGGACCTGCGGGTGTCTGTACCGTTAGTCGACCTTTTCTCAGCTAGCACCTTGGGTGGGATGGCTGGGGTTGTACAAAGTGCGATCCCCACCGTTGAGCTCGATTGGATGGAAGAAACGTCACTGCCAGACCTCGCCATCAATCAGCAACTGCCGCCGCCGGCAACAGATCAAGGCATTGTCGTCGTCTTAACTGGCGCCACAGGCTTTTTAGGCCACATAGTTCTCCAACATCTCCTTGCCGCGCCTACAGTGTCTCATGTATATGCTGTTGCAGTCCGTACCGAGGGCAAAGGAATTGGCAGACCTCTTCCTTCGGTTTCTCCTAAATTCACCGTGCTGGAAGGTGACCTTAGTCAACCCATGTTTGGGCTCGATGAAAGCACCATTGCTATGCTGGCAGATTCGGCCCACCTCATAATCCATTCCGGTGCCAACCGGTCATTTTGGGATGCTTATCCCGTCATTCGTGGCGCAAACGTAACAGGCACTAAAAATGTCGTCGCCCTTGCCAGCCACCGGAACATTCCAATCCATTTCCTTTCCAGTGGGGCAGTAGAGAAGGTGGTTGAAAGCAATGACACGCCGCCGACAGATGGCCGTAATGGATACCTCGCGTCTAAGTGGGCAAGTGAGAAGATTCTAACAAGGGCGAATGAAAAGATGAACACGCCAGTGACCATTCACCGCCTAACGCAGGCTCCGAATGTGCAACCACCGCCGCAGGAAATAATCGCCAGCTTTTCTAAGATAGCGAAACAGATTAACTGTATCCCAACGGCACAGGGATGGGGTCGTCTCATCTCCCTTCTGCCACTCGGAGAGCTGGCTACATCTATTGTTGCTCGTGCATTGGCCAGTGTCGGCCGGCAGAACTCAGTGACAGTTTCAATCCAGAAGCATATGATCTCGACCACATTTGAGTTATCGGATGCAGCAGAAGCTGTGGAACGGGCAGTTACAGGGCCTAGTCGCATGGACTCTCTGCATATGCTTTATTGGCTCGGTAGAGTAAAGAGGGAATCCAAATTCCCATGGTTTATCGCTGCCCAGGATGTCATTGTTAACTCGGAGGGCCAAACTGTACGTGTGGAGCTGGACTAGTAACGAAGGAAGGTACTTCGGGAGCAAGATGGAGATTATAAATATTTTCTGCCTGCCAATGTATGCAGAACTCATCATCGCTGCACTACCCTAACCCACAAGGAGTGGAGCAAAGCAGTGTTTAGAGCCAACATGGATTAGAATATAGATCTCTCTCACATCTGGTATATTTAATTAATCTCTTTTTAGTATTTCTATTCACTTCCGATACTTTAAATATAAAGTGTTATATCTATATCTCTACTAATAATCTATCTATAAATTAATAAATTTATAGAAAAAAACCTTTGTCTCTTGATATATTAAATTTATATATTCTTTTACGTTTAAATACTAGATTTGTTTAATTCTATGTTTATTAGTATGATAGTATTTTAAATTTATGATAAATCGATTTTCTATACCTATAATAAAGTTTTAAAACACGCAGGGATTCTTTTTAATAAAAATTCGCAGTCTTAGAGGCTGGGTGGAGGCAATATAGCTATGTGTAAGGGGCCATCGATATTCCAAGTCCAGTCACATACGAGCTCATCAGACACTGTGATCCTTCGTATTATTGACCCAACACCTACCAAGGGAAAGATCATCTTCGATCCTCGGCTGGCCAGAATTTAATCTCAGCTCGGGAAAACCCGCTGCAAACCCGCTAACCGTTTTCGATGCAAATTGCGCGACTCACGAGTCTTGAGGACGCTAAATATGCAGCTAGGCCTCAAGGCACAATCAGAACCCTGACCCACCACTTCCGCCCAGTTCTTGGAGGTGCGGATACGAGGAGGCTCATTTAGCTGGAGTAGCCCTAGCGGCGCTTGCAATGATTGGGCCACAGAGCTGTAAATAACACTCCGGCCTCCCACAACATGATGCCCCGTAGTTTGCATCTCCATCTCCCCCGTGGGCAGCTGGTGTCTTTGACCCTCTATTGACCATGTCTTCTGCAAATGCCGTCTACACTGGGGTGTGGACCAACTGGTCCCATGGCAAGATTCGAGGTGCCACTCTCACCCTTCCCCAGGAATATGCGGGCCTGTTGACGGCGTTTCTTGCCATCTTTGTCTCCTTCGCGGGAACTATGATGTGGCGGATTCTCTGCTTTATCATACACCAAGCCAACACCACACAACCGTCGGAAAAGCGAGATTTCTTACACCACAGTCGCCAGGTGATCCTGCGAAACAGCGGATCAGGGACGGCAGCAGCATGGGCATTCACCACGCTAGCATGGAACGCGGGCAGAAAGGCACCGCGAGGCTTACTCCGGACTCTTCCCCTCGTGCTCCTAGCACTCCTCAATGTAGCCTTGTTCGGAGTCTCGGGTGTGTTCACCTCGTATGTGACCAAAGTCCCGGGCAACACAACCATCATCCTGGGTCCCCACTGCGGTGGGGCTGTAGGAGGCCCGGGGGCGGATACGAATGGGATCTATTTATCCAAGTTGTTGGAAGATACAAAACAGGCATCGGCCTATGCGAAGCAATGCTACCAGGGCAGTTCATCTTTAGCCTGCGGAACTTACGTTCGCCAAAGCCTACCTTTCACGACCCAACAAAACGTTTCCTGCCCGTTCGCAAAGGGCCTGTGCAGGTTTAATGATGAATCTGCCTTTGCAATGGATACGGGCTTGTTGGATTCGCATGATGACTTTGGAATCAACGCCCCGCCCAACAACCGAATCAAGTTTCGACGGCTTACGACCTGTGCCCCGATCTATGGCGCCGAATTTGGTAGTGACCGTGATGAGCCTGGCCTGGGTCCGGTTGTTTACATCAATGCTGGGTTGACTCCGCAGCTGGTTGAGATCGGCAATAACTGGACATTCTCCTATGTTGCTCGCTCCGCGTTTGATAGGCTACGTGGATACTCGCTGAGGTAGGGAGGCTATGCTACCGAGGACACTGAGACCGTCATCCCAATCTAACAATGGATATTAGTTCTGTTTACGGACAAGCGGACCCTACCGGTGTTCTCCATAGTACTGGAGCTATGTGGTATCCCCACCCAAAACTGAATCAAACCGACTCGGATATCACCCTAATGATGCTCACGCAAAATGGTATTTATTATCGAACGCCGAGCGACGATCCCTGGATAGCAGCCCACCAGAAGCTCAACGGAAGCGACGTGTATACGGGGGACTACACGGTTAGTTTGTTGGGCTGCATCGACCAGTATCAATTCTGCAACCCCAACGGAGAGGGCGATACGGCATGCAGCAAATTGGGAGGCATAAACTCTGTGGCTAAAGACATGATGGATCGATTCGTTTACTTTAATGGGGATCAACTCGCGACAATTGAGCGGTTCTTGACGACAACGCACTTACATTCAATGTATCAAGCCGTCCAAGGCTGGGGAGGCTCAGCACTCGACAGTCAGTTCCCTATACCTATTTCGTAGCCCCAAAACCATTGACATAAAGCTAACCCGGCCATCCCACAGTCGGCCAAAAGCTGTACAACGGAATGCAATACTCTGTCCCTCCTAACCAATGGCAAATCGAAGTCTCGAACTGGTTCGCCCTCTCCCTCGCCAAATCACAAGCGTGGGCCATCGAATGGGCGACCGAACCCCAGAACTTCGAACGCCCCAGCGAAGGCGAGGATTCTATTTGGGAGTACAGCCCGCCCCCCACGCCCGAGGCCCAGTCTCAATGTAGAAATCAACTCGTCCACAACTCGGGAGACTACCAGAGCTTGTCGGTCTTGGGAATGAGCCTGATTCTGGCGCTGGGGGCGTGATAATCCTCCTTGGCTTGTTCCTGGATGCCTGTGTGGGGTCGTTGCAGCGTGGGAAATGGGAGTACTTACGAGATCAGTGGCAGATAGAGGAGACGCTGGGATTGCATGGCGCTGCTTATCGGGCATTAGGGGTCTCGACGAACTGGGGAGATGAAGTGCCACCCAGCTCAGTGTTTCAGGATCTCAAGTCTGCCACGGATGGCCATCATTCAGTCCCTGTGGCAGGAGCTGATCCTCAGGGGAAGTCCGATGGTGGCATAACTGTGTCGGAACGACATCAGTCGCATCGTGATACTGTAGTTTAGGTGTATTGGGGCGAGAAGCGTTAATTTGGGCTTTTAGCTATTTTTATTTTAATATTGTGTATATTGGATGCAGTCGTTCTATTATTGATATATCCACAGTGGACAGGGGATTTTTCCGACCATTCATATCCACTGCCCCTATAATCAATAATGATGTACTCTGCAATTTGTTAACTATCTGCTAGTCATGTTTAGATGTTCTTCTCTTTGGTTGTAGCCAGGTAACCGAAATACGTTTAGGGAGGCAAATAGAACGGTGCATCCGCAAAACGGATGGACACCGGACAGCAAGCAACAATACTTGCTGATAAGAAAATCAGTAGCAAAAAGAATTGGTATAGTAAAAAAGCAAAAGAAAAAGATATGACCAGACAGGGGTTCGAACCCTGGGCCTTATCCGTGTAAAGGATACGTGATAACCAACTACACCATCCGGCCGATATCGGTGAAAGTAGTGTTAATAAAAAGTCTCAATACCGGCTTTATACAAAAAGCCGTCTTTTCTCTACTCAAGCCCTACCCTGGAACATCATTCAGTCCCCAGAACGGCACTCGTACGCAACCTCTTCTCTCAAAAATAAAAGCACTGTGTCAAATACCATTAATGATTTTTGTTTGGCCATTTACACTGTCAGATAACTCTCTGTCATCTTTTCATTGATGCCTCGCGTCTTTCAACAATGGACTGGTCGTTTTCTCGCTTTGCCTCGGTCAGAACAGCATACCCGAGAACAAGTGATGCTTTGGTCGAGAACATCTTAATCAATTTCCTCGTACATGAGAAGTTTTAAGCGCCTAGACTACTCGGGGTCCTTGAGTCATATTGCATTGCCTGCGCAAGAGCAAGTCCTCAGCAGAACGGTATATAACGGAAGTCCACTTCCAACAAGGAAATGCATCTGGATTGGTGCTGTAAGACCTGGAAAGTACTAGTAGTCTTGTTACTTTCTGATCTCTCGGACCACCTCCCTTGCAAACGAATTTGATGCTGTATCTTTCGTTTTTTTTTTTTTTTTCTTTGCTTCCTTTGTTGGGCTACGGGGACTGAAACGTTCAGCAATGATAACCACGAGAAGGCGTTTCATCCGGAATCCAACTTGAAAGGATCTGAAGAGGATATAAGTTCCACCCCTCACCCTGTTCTGGAAAACAGACCACAGTATTTTGTATTCGCCATATTCGTACATTACTGGTAGCTCTGCTATATATGCCAAAATGAGACCGAACCAGAAGCTAGAACATAACGTTGAGCCGAAGGCCGAGAGACCGGGAGAAGCTTTCCCCAGAACGAACCCGGTACGTGGGAAGAGTTTCAGAAAGACCTTTCTCATGAGAACTTCAGTGGTTGCCTCTGGACAAGCTGCGCAAGACCTGGATGGAGTTCCCAGGGAGCCAAGGGATGATGAAGAATATGTGATGAAAAAGTTCAAGGAACATGTTGATGCCTGCACAAAATGCACTCCTAACAAACTATGTGAAGATGGGTACGGCGATGAACACACATGTCAAAAACATGCATTCGACGTAATTCAGTACTTGTGCTGTATCAATGGCCGGGCCTACTCTTTAACGTATCTCAGCGAAGTGAGCATCCCCACAGAGCGGAAAGCTGTATGGTCTCTTCTACGTGCAATGGAGGGCGGTCTTCGTTTTGATGGAATCGAGGAGGCCAAGATCGAGGAGGTACAGAAATACATTGATGAGGTCAAAGAGATGTGTAAGAGCAGAACTGGGAGGCAGGATAGTGCCGCTGGTCCCAATCCAGGGGAACAGTGATGACTTGGGGAATAGGGTCATGTCCTTTAACCATCACACAAGACACCCTTCCGCCTCAAATAAGGTTAGAAGAAGAATTTATGATTTCCATCCTCAAAAATATTCAGCAACCGTGTGACGAAGCTCGGACGGATTACACGCTTCTTAGTTCTTGTGCACAGTCAAGCGTCCCCTGGATTGAGGACCTTGGATTTCCTAGGGTCAATATAGTTACATCAGAGATGTCAAGGAATCAATAGCTGGATTAGGTATTAATAGGTTGGCGTGGGTTTCCTGCCCTATTAGATAGGCTAAGCGAATTCGACCGGGGTAGTACGCGGCTCCTTAACGATATTCCTGTTGATCTGATCTCCCGGATTGTACTCCGTACTTCTTCTCTTTGGATCTCAACAAAGGTGACCCATGCGTAACAATTCAGTGCGACCAGTGGATTAGGCTCAGGATCTCTATTTACTATTGGCAAGCATTGAATAATAGGTCACCCAAATGGTTCGAGATTTAACTCTCTTTTCCTCTTTGCTGGCAATTTAGTTATTTCCCCTCTATCTTCTAGTAAACTGTTCAAAGTGTTGTCTGCCTGAAAGAAAAAGAGTACTAGATGATATTGAGCATACCACGTTTTATTTTGTAGCGGCTGGTCGCTTATAGATGACAAACAAGTCCTTAGCACCGCGTGAAGTCTTTAGCACCGTGTGATTTTCTGTACGCGGTGTTCGGAGCTTTGTTGACTCTGGATGGCTAGGGGATGAGTTACCGATAGTATAAATGGGTACAATAGTTCGCTCAAGCCTTTCCTCTTTTAGAAATATCACCCTGAACTCGGTAGCCTCTAATACCTACCTATTCTTAACCTATCAGTCACTCATAGCCATGCATTGCTTTAAGATCATCCCTATTACCTTCCTTACTGCGCTCGCCACTGCAGCAGCCATCCCTTCCAGCAGTGATGTACGTGTTGTGGTATGAGCTATACACTCCAAAAAAAGGACTGTTTTCGCTAATCGAACCGTGTCTAGGAGGGCTTGAATCATTTGGAAGACCGCGACTCACAGCAGGTCGCCCGACAGGCCGTCCAGAACGCCATCACCGCTGCGCAAATGCAGGCAGAGCAAGACGCAGCTGCAGATGCCGCGGCGAGACCCGGAAGCAACATATAGTATGTCTAGTCCTTGCGACGGTGGTGATCGTCTCATTTGCTAATTGGGCCTTTCTTGAGTGGCAGTGCCCATCTCATTCTATAACTTTATTTTCCTTCTAGTAGTGAGCGGCGTCTTCTCAATGGCAAGGTTCGGCCAGGTTGATAGTTTACTACGTGCTGCCCTGTCACCTAAAAGCTCGAGCATTTGGTGGTACTTTGCTGCTTCAGACCGTGTACCTTTGACTGGGACTATGCTGTACTTCATGACCAACAATGCGTTTTATGCTACATGAAGGGACATGCTCATTGGCCTCCAAATGTTATAGTCACTCTAAGAGCTAGAATGAGTTCTTTACTATATCAGATGATTTTCCTTAGCTCACACAAAAGCCCTCGATCTCATTTGCACAAGCCATTCACATTCCCCCAAGAACAACCTGGCCAGTATCCTGAGGCCAACCGACCATACCATCATTCCCACCATCCTCCACCACAAAGAAGTCCTTCACAGTGACATTCCCAGCCACAACCCTCTCCCACACCTCGGGAAGACACGTCCCCGGATTCAAGACATAGCACCTCGGCTCCGGCGTTGGAGGAGCAATATTCTTAATATGCCAAGTATCCTTCGGGCCACTGGTCCTGAACTCCTCCGTAGCAGATCGTAGTCCAGTCGGGATATCCGACCCGTCGTAGCACGCATGAAAATCTCATACGCCGCGACCGGCTGATACGCCGGTACTTCGTGACCTGCCTGGTAGACGCGTGTGAAGCTATAATTGCCCAGTTGGCGAGTCATGCCCTTGACACCTTCGGATGTGACTAAGGGAGAATACCCGGTGTTGGCGAACTCTGCAGCGCGCGAATACGGCACTGCAAGACTGGCCTTTTCGCCGCCGACCCAGTTGCAGGCGTAGTCGCGATCGCCGTACATCATGTGCACCTTGACGCCGCTGTCAAGCAGGTGGGCTATCGAGTCGAGGAATCCGCCGCGCGTGATGCTGGGTATGTTAGTCTGTGGCTGAGTATACGGTTGAGAAAACGTGGTTGGGAATGCATACTCGTAGGTCTTCTCGAACTGTTTGTGGACGACGGGGGCTGCTTCGGTGAAGTTCACAGGGACGCCGAGGGCCTGTAGCACGGACTCTTGGGTCAGGTAGCCCAGCATATCTGGACAATTCGATTGGAATTAGAGCTGACAGCAGGATTGGGTCCCGTGGTTGGACTTACGATGCGCTGGAAAAGGGTCGTTTTTGGGATGCGAAATATCATACCAACTGCGCTATCAACCGCAAGGAACAGTTAGTAATATGTTGCATCTTAGGGGGTCCAAGCACATACGTTCAGCTGCTGGTATCGAGCAGTACCACCTCCCTCACAATCTAAATCGATGTCTTTGCATATCTCGGAGATATTTCCCCTCCCAGCAATAGAGTCCCAGTCTTTCAACGCTGCTTGACATGCTATAGCTCTGTCGCGACAGCCCCCGGGACGTGCCCACTCGTGCATCAGTGAATCATAAAGCGACTGGTTGAAAATTTCGAGGCCATATGTCTGTTTATGTTAGCAAGTACCAGCAATTAATTTCCCAGGACGCGGAGGGTCCTAGCAAGAAACATACGTTGTTATACCCGATGGTAATATAAGATTCTCCTTGGACCACAGCATCAATAAGACCATTCACGATGCCCAGTGTGTCGAGATGCAGATACTGTGCACCACTTTCCGCGGTGCCCTTCGCAAGCCGGTCATTCTGTTCCTGGAAGAAATCGAAGATCGCCGGCCCATAGTGACCTCCATAGCTCTCAGTCCAGAGAGAAATGCGATCATCAACGGGCTTGTAATGAGGAAACTCGAAGAACCAGGTTTGGGCGAAATGCCATAAAGCATGCGCCGCAAGCGCACTGCTGTTCGCGGTCTGTGATAATTCCTGACTCGCAAATGTACCAACACGATGTGTGAAGTTCGATTCAGGTGTCTCTATCGAGAAATCCCCTGGCACAATCGTCGTGTCTACCGCGTTGTAGTCTACGATTAAGGTGCCGTTAGTAGCGACGTCGTAGGAAAAGCCAACCTGCATGGGCTGGTCGAGGAATAAGAGATTGACCTCATTGTTCCAACTCCAAGGGTTCAAAATCGTAGTTTTGGAGTCCGAGGCCACCGAGCAGGGGCCAAGTTCCTCAAGAAGCCCCATGAACGAGGAGCCGCCGGGACCGCCATTGAGCCAGATGGCGAGGGGCGCGTTCTTGGGGTCCTTGCGCGCCTCAAAGAACCAGAAAAATCTATTTATACACAGTCAGGTCTCTGAGCGACCGCCAATGCCTTGAGGGTATGACTGTACGTGTTCATGGGGTAGTTCTGTCTGTCCCCTATGTCGTCATCCAGAAAGCCGGGTGGGAGATGGACATAGCCCGAATATGACCGGACATTAGGTGTTGTTTCACATATTCCGGGCTACTAATTAGCGACCGGCTGTGTATCAAATGGGATACCTACCTCCTTGAATGAGATGGATACATTCTCATGTAGCTTAGACTTGACGACGGTCACCCCCTCAGGTGTAGGGGGAAACTGCGCTGTGGCCACGCCGAGCAGGGCGCCCAGTCCCAGGCTGAGAAGCATCCTGGAGAGAAGTAGTAAAAGTAATGCTCTCAGCTTGTGGGCGCTACAGCTTTATGTAAAAAGAAACGAAACAAATCCAGCATATAGATAAGCTTTTGGCGATAAGCCTAGACATTCCGGAGTCCGCCGGAGTACTTTTCAATGGCTTATTTAGTGACCATCAACCAGGCAGAAATGGCCAGGATTACATGGCTAGCGGCGCCCTAGGTATACTATAACAGCGCTAGAAGCCACCACCCACAGCGAATAAGCTACGGCAAGACATTTAGTTGGTGGAATGTTTGAACAAAGAACTGCAGCCTCATTAGGCCACCGAATTGTCACCCTGTCGGTCTAGGCCTTCAGAATACTAATCGCTATTTCGCTTGTATGAGGTAGTACTGGATATCTATATCTGATCGATACTCCGGAGTTATACCTGGTTATATCTATCTAATATGATGCATTTCTCGTGTACCAGTTTGGTCCGAATGGGATGCTACTGGGCCATGGAAGGTCCCCAGGAGACTAGGTTTTGGAAATGAAGGGAATCACACTGCCAGCAGTACATACTCACCTCTTCGTATATTGGCCACTATCAACTCCTATGCACTTCAAAAACGGTGGTCTTTTGAACTAGAAATGGGAATTTGAGGAGGAGACAGAATGAGAGCACGACTTAATGCTTAATGGTAATGTCGAGTAATACATCTCAGACATGTAGAATTCTATATTTTATATCGGTATCGATACCACGCTTGAACAGACCTCTAGCACTTTGAGCATGACATTAAACAATTAGAGGGCACTGGCATGAACTCTGGTACTGAAACGCCTCATTTCCGAGGCTCTCTAATCATAGACGCCAATCCAGCCGCCGCACTTATAGAATCACTTCGATCCTCAAATCCAAACTTCTCATAGATAGGCCGACCCTGAGTACTTGCATCGAGATAAGCAAGAACCCCTTCTTGGTCAGCCATTTGACAACCCCATCCAATCAGCATCCGAGCAGCGCCCATTTTCTGATAGTCAGTATGCGTACACAGCATATCGAGATCTCGTATGGATGTCAGTGATTCCTGCGAGGGTTACTTCACGTAGGAAGCCAACATACAGAAATTCTTCTTTCCCCCAACCAACCTGGCACGACCGGCCTCCATATTTCCGACAAATGCGTCGTTACGCTCAGGGTTCATCTCCGGGTGCCATGCGGGAAACCGAGGACCACGCTCTTCAGCCGTCTGTAGTGACCACTTGGCATATGCTGCAATCCGACCGTTCCTTGTATCGACAACCTTGAGATATTTCTCTAGAGGCTTGTGTAGCATGTCGTGGCGGTTGGCTTGGTCCCACCATTGTCGTACACCCGGGGTATTCGGCCAAATGGCTAGCATCTCTGGGGTATTAAATGCATCGTACCAGACGTCAATTAACTCTGGGACGTCCTCGAGTGTTGCATGCTCGAGCCTGAGAGGGGATCCCGAGGTTGTGGTTTGTGCTGTGTTCACTGTCATTGTGGAGGGCTGCCTTGTCGACTGTCGACCGGCGAGAGACGAAGACTGTACAAGGGTTAAGTAATAGATCTCACTAGAGTCCCAACAGCCCAGTTAAGGGTCGGGGCGGACTAATGTTTAAATAAGTCTAAAACTTGGAAGTGGGGCAGCTATGAGGCATGAAGAATTAGAAGGAAAATCATACGTGTCGAGAAATGCATGTGGCTGGGCGAAGAACGTAAATTCAAGCATCGGCGGCTCCACAATGTACAGGGTAGGCACTTTCAACAACCGGTGAGCAGTTTGTCGAGCGCGACATGTCACATATCTCAGTATTAACGTTTATCGTACACGCGATTCTCTTTTCGGTCCCCTAGAGAGGGCCATTACTACCCAGCATCGCTGCTGATACCCCACGAACGTGGTGATGACAGATGAGGCCATCTCCAGGTAGGGGATTGTATGAGCGTGGTCCCAGATGGAGATGAAAATAGTTGTCAGCGTTGGGCGGCCTCAATGCAAGGATTGTGTCGCTTAGAAATCATCAGAGTCGGTGAGACACTGCAGGGTCTTAAGCGCACCTGTTACATCATTCATATGAGCGACACGAACAATGAGGCAAGACTGGCTGTGCATCTTGTTGGTAAATGGTCATCCCTGGGTCTGTTGACACTACGTCTCAGGTGATGCTGCTGACTCGCACGCCTGGCACTGCCCCTTGCGTCTCCTGGCTGTCTGCCAGTCGTCGGTGCCTGTTGTCTCAATTATAGCTAGCTGAATTTATTCCACTATTCTAGATGGGATGTTGGATTCTGAAGGAACATGAATACCTGGTAGTATGCAAGACTGGCGCCCACTCAACCTTTATAGAACCACGCGTGGGTATGCATTCATAAAATCTATCATACTTCAGTCAGTATGGTTTAGTTGATTTATCGGGGGGGTGATATCTATGAAGGGAGCACGTATGGCTATTACAAAAGTATATCTGAAATGCATGGAGTTATTCGACTATATATGACGAAGAGAAATCGGAACGGTAGAGCTGTAGAACTAAGAGTCTAGCTGCTAGTCACATTTTAGAAAGCCACATGCGAAGTTGTGTTGACATGGTATAGATATAACTCTCAGGATCTTGCACAAACTCTACATTCTGCATTTTGGATCACTTTGGTTCGTGCCAACAGTCTGGGCGTATATAGTGAGAGGATATGCTCTGTCTAGAGCTCATATCTCAATCGCTTCCCAGTCTCCACTCAATGAATAAATTCTTCCATATCCTCTTGCAAAGGCGAAGTTGCACAGTCACACAGCAAGGCAGTGGGGCACTGAATCCCTCGATCTGTCAAGTCACAGCTTGACATTCTAGAATAAACTATGGCGCGATCTCCAAATGGGTCCCGGGCCGTTGTGAGACTTGGCTACTATTTATATACATCAGTGTGGGTCGTATGGATACCATGGAGAAGGCTGATTATAGACTGATCTGACGTTCATGCAGAGAGTGCAGCGTGTTTATTATTAGAGGTACGCTCCGCAGTGGCTGGGTATTTGATAATGCTTGGGTACTCCGTAGTGGGTGAGGATGAATAGACTATATTAGCGTTGGAATAAGGATTCAATTGTTGCAGAACCGATGACGATCCGTGGACATGCGCATTTCTCAAAGAATGCAAGAGATAGGGTTGTTTAGCTCCCTAGCATGCTATTTGGCTGGATCATGTACAGTCGTTAGTTCAATCGACAGCATTCGTTACATTACTAAGCGGAGCTCCCGGGCATGCCAAATGGTGTACACGTGAGGCCGACTATTTATATCGATGGAACACATTCGTACGTCTTTCATAGTAGCTTCAACAAGTGCAAGGCGCAGTTTTACACTAAGAACTACCCTCCCCATAACTGAACACGTTGAACTGATCTTAATTTCCAGCCTGGAGATTGCGGTGAAACAGACGACATGGCTGGCCTTGGTAGGAGGGAATACGGGTGCACTAGCAGAAGATCGGCTGTTGAGATTGACAGCATTCGCCGGCCAACTGTTAGCGGCGGTGGGGCGAAGGGGGACTTGTGGTTCCTGGGCTAAATTCTTTTCCTTCTCCACGCGTCTGTGTTTTTTTGCTCGGAGATAATGGGATACCGTGTGGCTTGCAGAGAGCAGATGCAGCCACGGTGCAATAGGTCGGTTTGCCAGGGACCTGTACAGTGTAGGTCATAGGTTCAGAGACTGTAGCAGGATCATGACAGTGCTGATCAAGCACGATGGGATGTGGTTCGAAGAAGAGGAGACGCAGGACGGATACGACGCCGCGTCTTCCGCGTGGATGTTGAGCTCCACTCTCTATCGCCGACCCAATCAGGGGTTGTTCGGCCATAAAAATAACTGTCAGCCCTAAAGTTGGTCGTTGAGCACGTACGACGCCAGTCACCCTAGACGAGGAAATTTTAGATTCATTTAACTCCAACTCGCTAGTATTTGAAGTCGCGCTATGTTTACTCACACGAGCCATGCACAATATTGCTTGCTCCCCGCTGCATCTCTCTTCCCCCTGACCCTTTTCCTGCCCCCTTAATCCACCTTGGCCGAGACGCCGTCGATATGCGCATACAATCTTTGGTCGTACTGGGAACGGTCTTCTCGGGCGCGCTCGCTCACGCCGAGCCCGATGCTGAACGGTCACCGAAATGGCCTTCTACCACAACAACTACCCTCGTCGTGGTGCCGACACCCGCAATACTCCAAGACAACAATGGCCGAACAAACAGACGTCATGAACATGGCTTGCTTCTAGAAAAGCGAGATTCGACTACGGAGGATGCTGCAACTACTGCAAAAGACGCCGCCAGCACGACAGAAGAAGCAGCAACAACAACAGAGGCGACCACGCAGGCTGAGACCACCACTGCCCCAAAAACTACTGAGGCGACGACGACAACCGAGGATGCTACGACTACGACGGAGTCCTCTACGACCACTAGTTCGAGCACAACTAGTTCCACGACCTCCACGACCTCCACGACCTCCACTACCTCTACCACATCTACCACATCCTCCACTTCCACCACGTCTTCTACCTCCCAATCTACGAGTAGCATGTCAACGACCACCACAAAGAGCACATCGACCACCGCCTCAAAGACCAGCTCAACATCCACCGCCACAAGCACGGTTAGTGCTGAAATGCGAGAATACAATCGTCGTGGACACATAGCCGCCATTATTACTTTTAGCATACTGGGTGCGATCTTCTTTGGTTATGGGTTCCTCCACTGCTACTTGGCATCGCGGAAAAAGCGCCAGATTGCAGCGAGAAACGCGGCAGCTGAGGCCGGGTCAGACCACCCGTTAGTGGCATTGAAGGAGAATGCGAAGTCCCAAACTGAAGTCAATTTTGACCGGTCGTCTATGATGTTCGCTTCTCAGTCTCAATCCCGTACGGACTTGTCTTCCGTAGTTCAACAGGGTGCCGGGGCGCAGGGGTATACCCGCACGGCGCGAACGTCATCGCTGGTAGCCAGTGAGCACTATCAAAGTCCGACAGCAGGTTCCCCCTCCAGTAGGCCTCAGGGGAACTACATCTGAGAGCGAGGAGCAACACCGGAGAACCTCTAGTTTTATCAATCTGCAGATGCTTTGTTCAATATAATGTGTGATACGATACTCACGCCATGTACACTTGCACAAACAATCCCGGATTAGCGATGTACTATTATATCCAATTTTCTTCCTAGTCTGATATTCTCGTTTTCTTTTATCTCTCGCATGATCCTTTGTTTTTAGGGACTCAAGTTATTGGCGACCGGGATATCTCCTGTATATAGTTTTACCCCCATCAGAACTGAAAATGCAATCGACTGCGCGAGCATTTATGAAACAATTGAGCTCCTCGTTATTCTTCCAGATTCTTTTGCCCGCACCAAAACTACGCTTACCGGAGCCCTCACTCTGAAACCCTACGCTCTCATACGACTGAATCAGATAGTCTGGCAACGAGAGACAAACATGAAGGCAATTCCAACAACAAGCCGAGTACCTCTTCCCCTCGTAGACACAACACGCCAGTACAAATACAAACTTCAATCCATATATCGCTACTCTACCCGACTATCTGAGTCTTAAACCCTCATGCTCTCTGGTGGTCCCAGAGCAGAAGCCGCATAACCACCCATATCAACGACAACCTTCTGCAAAACGACACCCGGTTCAAGAAGCCAGAGAGCCAGTTCATGCTCTCCAACCCCAACTACACCATCAAGTTCAATCACCGATGTCCACCCATTTTCCATGACCGCTGTTGCCCATGCTTGCTCTTCCTTATACGGCGGTACGGACGACACAGGCCGGACCGTCACGGGCGTAGCCCCATCTAGTGAATATGCAAACTTGATCCAGCGGGTTGGGTCATGGTTGTGTGAGGCACCCAGGCTCACGATCAGTCTCGTGCTCGCGGAGGAGGTTGTGGTGAAAAGAGAGTATCGTAACGCGGGCCCCGTGCTGGGGTCCTGTGTGCCAATAGTCACGGGCCATGGCTTTACCGCTGAGATTGTCCGTCCGTAATGTGGGATGTTGACGTAAGAGACGCCGTTGCTTGTCTCTGCGATATTGTAGTGGCTGGCTTCAATAGATATAACGCCGTTCGACTCGACGAAGCCGGTGAAAGTGGATGGCACGGTGGTTTTGTTGAGTGGGAGCATGAGAGTTGTAACTGATGTATTGCTGGAGCGGACGGTTAGCTCAACGTAGGATAGACCAGGGCTCACGGAGTTCCAATCAACTTTGATCATGCTCCGCACGTCTGAGGTGTTCCTGGACGCTGATAGAGAGCCCTCGTTGTTTGAGACCGTTACGTAGGATGCGTTGGACGAGATCGAGTATGGGAACGTCTGGTTTTGTCTTGCAAAGATGTCAATATACCGAGTCTCATTAGGTGGCATATAGGGATCCATGGAGAGCAGGACCAGTCGGTCAGACTCCGGGTACGTTGTGCTGTAGTGTTGGATAGCAACTCCCATGGCCTCGTTGCGCTCTGGTACTCCCGTGTAATTCAGGGCAGGCATAACATTGGTATTATTGGCAGGGTCATCCCAGGAAGTGTAGCCGATGTGAACCTGGTTCATGACGGGATTCCACTTGCCTCCCTCCAGGTCGTGATATCGCTGTGTGATTTCGTCGTCCTCTGCAAAGAGATCGTGTACCTCTTGGGCGAGGTAGTTCGCACTGATGCGTCCCTGCTGGTAGTATAGCCCATTCAACGCAGCCTTGGTATAGAGATCCACGACGGTCTTGCCAGCCAACACTGGATGGAGAACCATCTCGAAGAACGGGGTTCGAGTGGGAGCATCTAAAGAAGAGTACACACTCTGCGCTTGGACCAGGAGGTTTTCCCATTGAGCCAGATTAGTCTCCGCCTCGTCATAGTCAGTAGTGCTAAATGCGAAAGGCAGACGACTGAGGAGTTCGTATTTGCGGCGTGCGACAAGTATCCCATATTGGTTTAATATGTCTGCTGTTCGGTCAGCTACCTGTTCGTTGAACTCTCGGGTGGCCCATTTCTTGAGCCAGGCAGAGGTGGATTCTGTGTTGTCAAAGCGATCCATGTCGTACGCCATGTCCATGAAATGTGTCAGAGGGACTTCAAGACCCTTGATGTCTCCGACGTTTGCAATCCATATCTGCCGAGCATTCTTATGGTAGGCGAGATGCATCTGCTCCCATGTCTTGACGAGCTGGATTGTATTGATCCACTTGTAACTGCGTGGGCTGCCGACGTAGTCGAAATGGTAGTACACGCCTGCTCCGGCCGCACGATCGGTCTCATTTGCGAGGGGAATTCGAATCAGATTACCGGAGTTATCATCGGTCCAGAGGAGTGTGACAGAGTCGGGAACTTTCATGCCCGCCGCGTAGTAGTCACTGACCTCCTTTATGTAGATCGTTAGTTGCATGGCGCAATTCCATGTAGTGAAGAACTCACCTTGTAGAGCACCCAAGTCTGCGGAATGCTGAGAGGGTCACTCGTGTTAAAGGCATCTAGTAGCAGAGCCTGTTGAACCCCGATCAGTTCCTCCAGATCATCGGCAGTCAAGGTAGGTGATGCCGCATCTCCTTCTCCTCGCATACCCATCGTCCACATTGTGTCCCAATCTTTAGCCCGGTCAATCCCTTCCTGGAAAAAGGTCTTGATATTGGCTTGATTGTCGCCCCAGTCCCATTCCCCCTCCAGGTATGTTTTCTGCTCTTGCTCGGATCGAGCCATGGGCTCATGGTGGCTCGTTCCCATAATTACTCCATACTCATGTGCAATTGCACCGTTCTCAGCGTCGTCGACGTAGAACATCTTGCCCCACATCGCGGGCCAGAGGTAGTTTCCCTTGAGGCGGAGACATAGCTCAAACACGTGTCGGTAGAAGTCGCTATTGAATTTATCGCCAAAGTTCTCGCTTACCCAGCCTGACAGCGCTGGCGACTCGTCGTTGATGAAGAATCCACGATATTTAACCGATGGCGATTTCTGAACCTTTCCCTCGGGAGACACCCAGATCCCTGTCTTGGTCTTCACGGGGACATCTGCCCACCAATACCAAGGTGAGACGCCCATCTGCTCTGAGATGTCATAGAGACCGTAGATCGTTCCACGGCGGTCACTGCCTGCTACTGCTAGTGCCCAGGTAACATTATCAAAGGGATTATGCACGATTTGGGACGTGTATGATTCCCATTTGTCCTGAACCTGAGATACATCTAGCTTACCATCGGATACGAGGCTATCGATCAGTGACGAGTGTCCTACTGTCCCTGCAATAATCACAGGCTTTCCAGCAGCGGGGTCGGGGCCATCAGTGTCCACAATTGAAACCGTGCCGTTGACGCCGAGCACACGTCCAAAGTCCTGGGCGAGATCCCGTGCTGCTCTCGCGACCCCAATAAGATCATCCTCGGCTGTCCATATGGCCGGGGCAATTGACTGATCCGCGAGCTTGAACTCACTTTCGCCGGAGTTGAACAGGAGATATGCGTAGACCCTAGGAAGCAGAGCCAGCAATACGACCGGAATTGTGGAAACTAGCTTCATAGTCCCTCATAGAGTGACTTGCTCAGCCATACGGGGTTTTAAAAGAAATGACGATGACTAGTCCTCTGGCCTTCATCTATATTGTGTTTTTTATGTACCCCGTAAAGTAAGATGATTCCGGCTAATTCCTCTGACGAAGCGTGTATTCAGGCTGATAATGCCCTCCGCGGAAATTTGTTTCAAACGTCTCCCGAAAAGTCCCATCAATCCTGCTTACCATCCTGCCCCGTTCCAATTGCCCAGCTGTTGGTGTCCGCAACCCGGCCAAACACCGATGGTTGGAAGTCGGCTATTGATGACAATTGCCATTATTATAGAAGCAAGACGGTTACTTCTGAACCTTCTTCAGACTTCCCCACATTCAGGCTGATTAGAGGGAGGATTAACCTGAACATTTGGATGTCTAATCGAAAGGTTTGCTTAATCTTCACGGATAAATCATTACAGAAGATATCATCCACCAAAGAAATTCCTCCAGCTTTCAAGTGACGGCAGTCAAGGATCATATTCCATGCCATGGGCATATTTCTTTATATTCCGCGCACTTTTCAGATCTTTAGTACCAACTACGTCCAGTAAGATGTGGTGGCTTCCCTTGGCTAACATACTAGGCGCGCTAAGTTTGTCATTGGATTTATATATCACTTTTCGTTTGACTGAATATACCTTTGTTCGAGATGCCGGCCAGTGCGAAATAGCTCAAGTGGCAGTTGGCTCGTCCTGTCTACCTGCTCCTGTGCCTTTACTTTATCTGAGTTTGGCCAAGGAGCCCTGTCCAGCCTGGTGTCTACTCTGGACCTCCAAACGACAACCAACTATCTGCTTGTTCACCTTCCAGGTACCATCGTCGCCGGTTACAAGGTTGAATGCGCCGTGGACTCTCCAGCCATGGATCGGAGGCCCTACGCGGTACCATCGCCAAGCGGGCCGTAAAAGCTACCTTAAAGAACTGTCGATATGTTGAGTGTACGGAAAGGTTCGTTCAGTCTACTTCTCATACACATGAGATGATAATATCGCTCTGGTATCAGGATGTCGACTGGGCCATAACGTTGGGCGCAACGCCCCATCTTTTGACCTCGGCAATCCCACCATGACCCTTGTCAGTGTCCCGCGACCATCCTAGCCCCAACCTCGGGCAACCTACCTAGAACACCACTAGCTGGGTAAACAAGTACAGACGGGGCACTAAGACACTAGCTTTACTTACATGTGGCTTCTGTTAGCACACGACGCCCAGGTGACATGTACACACCACGCCATTCTCTTGCTACTTAATCCCTGAAACTTGAGTGAACATGGCCAACGGACAAGTCTTAGATCACAAAATCTCTGGAAATATTTGGCTGTAACCGGCATATGCCAGTCAATATCCCGCTGTTGACAGAAACCTTCCATCTTCACTGTTTTCCCCTGCATGTCTTGATACCTCCAGTTTCATATCGGAACATTCCAGCACATCATCCTCCATCAATGTCCAAAGAGCATTCAGCCCGACTGAACTTCTTACATGCCAAAGGTAACTGCACCAAGTACATTCGGCTTGGACCAAGTCTTCCTTCTCATCTCCTTATTAGACAGCTTGAGGGGACGGTCGTCTCGCACAACCTTCGGACGTGGCATGTCCTGATCTTCTGCTGCCGACTCATTGGATTGGTTGATTGGCCGTGACGGTAGACTATGGGTGTCTATTTCTTTGGAGGAACGGAAGCACATTGTAGAAGCGACGGTGGATATGGGGTGATGAGAGCGAAAGGTTGCTTTCTTGGGACTTGGTCGCTTTGGTATAGTAGGCACAAATCAAGACCTTGTTTGGCAAAAGTGTAAGTCTCTCAGTAAAGAGAGCAGTGGTTTGTTCGGGACTGTGACTATATATTGAGATTGGCTATATCAGACGAATTTATACCTACAACACTTTTAGTACATTGCTTTACGTCATTCGGCCATTGGGGCATCCAGTGTCCTTGTATCCAAATCATTGGCCGGCCAAATTATGTACAATGCATTCCCAAACCAGCATCATGAGTATGAGTAGCGAATTAAGGCGATCGATACTGTGGGCCTGGTGCCCGTAAATGGGGCAGAAGACAAGCATTAGGCTTGGCAATACGACCTATATCCGTCAAAGTCTCTAGCTGTTATGTTAGAAGCAACTGACCCGAGGGACGGCGCGGTACTACGTCAAGGAATAGCCTTGTCACACCAATACACGCCCGACAAAATCGAAGCTTGTATGCCCGATCCGATTTCGTACGAAAAGTACCTCAAGGGAAGCGTTCATAGTCACATGCTGCCTCTAACATGGCCATCCCTGATTGTGATCTTTCCCCACATCGAAGACTCTGTCCTGGCATAGAGTCGCAGAGATCCGCACACTTGAGACAGTACGAGTTGCGGGGCGAAATATCACAACGAAGGACGCCAATTGAATGGAAAGCGGTTAACCCCTCAGCCGCTTGTTTGGACCAGCGAAGGCGATGTTCGGTGGTCACACTTTGGCCGTACTGCTGTATATACCCCCCAACATCTCCGTTACCCATATACTCCAGTGTTAGGCAACATGTCTCCGAGTGCCTGAAAGAACGGTACTGGACTCGTGAGTGCATGGACCTGTTTGTACGCAATCCGCTCACCGCTTCATGATCCGTCCCTATAAAGCACCTGGGAGTGACACCTGACGTTCTGGTATGTTCATCTCTTTCGACATCAAGACCAGTGAGCATGTCATTGACTGACTTGCCCCAGATACACCTTAATGGCTCCATACGAGAAGTCAATAGCAACTCCTGGATAATATCAAACACGCTTCTGCTTACTCGTTCGTCGTCGCCACCCCCGGCAAAGGTATCAACCGACCAAGCATGCTGGAGCGACAGCGAAGGGGGGCACTTCGCTCTCTCCACGATACCTCGGCCTCTTCCGGATTCCAAGCCCATCCCAGAAAGCTCCTCTTCTATCTCAAGAGTCCACACAGTCGACAATCAAGCGGCCGTTTGGCGAGCAGGCGAAGCTTCATTAAAGCGCATCGCATGGACTACCCTCATGTCACTAGAGAACATATTACCCTACAGTTTCTCAAAGACCAACGGCCCCAGGGTTTTGCATATCTAGACGTATACTCTTATTTCGAAACTGGCTCTCGATATTTCCTCATCATGTCGAGGATTCCTGGCCAGCTCCTTGAGGAGGCTTGGCCTACCTTGGACGAGACTCTTCGCCAGTATTACATCTGTAAGGTAGCAGATGTCTGCAACAACTTGGCAGCATGGAAGGGCGATAGCATTAGTGGTGTAGACGGACACCAGCTGTGGGAGCGTTACCTCGTCAGAGGCAATAGCAAGATGGCGGATGCCCTATCTCCACAGCAGCTTCTGAAGAATTGTGCCGATATGTCTATGGACGTCTCCACACTCGTCTTCTATCACTGTGATCTTGGCCCTACAAATCTCCTTGTCGGTACCTCGACAGGCTCGCTGGGCATCATTGATTGGGAGCTTGCCGGGTACGTTCCTATCGAATGGGTTAGAACAAAATTCCGACTCTCGTCAGGGATGAATTTCAACCATGGGGATGAGAACTCCAGGAAGGACTGGCGCCGCAGAGTTGCCCAACACCTATGGGCTACCGTGATGTCATGGATGCGTGGTGGAAGTTTCAGGATTACAAATAGACAATGATAGGAAGTTCATACTCCTCAGTGTCCCTGAGGGCAAGCATACCTTCCTCATCATCACGCAGTCGTTGCAACAGGCTTGCCACAGTTAGTTCAGGTTGATACACCAGTTATATTATGCGTACCACAATCGCCGCCATTAACTTGGTTGACCTGTTCACTGGGGATGGATGCTTAGCGAAGCTATTTAGATGGTTACTCATCAATACTTGGAGGTTAAGCAGACCTCTTACTTAATAAATACTGACAAAGTAGTATAACTTGGGAGACGAAACATGCAACGGATCAGTCACTAATTACCAAGTTAAGATTTGAGGAGTAACAATGGAACTGTGCTAGGGATAGTGCACATCTCAAATCTCTGATCGATCACTTGGACCTTCACCCCTTATATAGTTTTCCAACACGCTATTCTCTTCTCCTCTTTCCCAGTCCTGTATTCTGGGTCTACTTCTATAAGTCGAAGAACCTCTCTCTTTAGCGGTTTACTTGCGTTTGAAATTGATTGACTAACTGTTTACTGTGAAATCGTGGACTATGACAGTACGGGAAGATTATCCTTGCTCATTTAACGGCACAGCATGAAGATAACCCGGTCCAACGTTTTCACTTTCAGCTCTATGATTCCAACTCCTGGACCCTGTTTACGCTACAGTTAGCAATGATTCCTATTCCAACAAAGCCATCCGTCCATTATGCTACAGATCTTTGTAGAGGTTCTGCCACATGAAGCAATCCAAATATAGGAACTAGGCGGATCCTCTTGGCGTCAGGTTTGTGCTTTGCGCATCTAGGTCTCGGGACAACCAGTTTGTCTTCCTATGTTATCCGGGCCATGAGATCTCATGACTCGGATGCACTTCAATAGGCCGAAAAAAGGGCTAGCTGAACAGAGTAGTGGAGATGTTTGAGATAACCCCTGGCACCTTCCCGCTTATTGGAGGAACCACGAACCAGTCGATGAGGGTTCGTATTCGGCAATTCTAGCCCACAGGCCAAGGGAAAAGAGAATTGGCACAGGTGCAGTCTGGCCAGAATTAGGTTGTTTCCTTATGGCTGTGATCAATCCAACTGCATTCTCGCCAATCATTGCAAAGAGGATGTATCGCACCTGCAGTAGGGTATCATTGCAGAGGATATTTGGTGTGATTTGCACGCAGTCGCGAAACAAGACCAATAGATATCCATGATATGTCTCAGATATCTGATTCGAAGTCCACTATTGCCGTGAAGAGCTGAGCTGAGATTTTAGTCTTCCGCTCTCCACTTTTACGATCCCCGATTGAGGTTATAAACTGAACTCTGGTGCCGAAAAGATCGACCCTTCGTTCATCTGTCCATCTTGCTTGAAACCGCATTTCGTTGCCCCAAGTAAGGCCCAAAATGCTTGTCGGGGTAGCTTTCCTCTTCCTGGGAGCAGTCGCTGCCAACCCAGGTTTGTCCAGCCATTATCCTTAACCCATAGAGATGCTAACCGTCCGTCACAGTCATACCCAGGGAGGATGGTAGTTCTACTCCTACTCCCACTCTAACTATTTCAAGTAGTGTACCTGCATCTAGCCCATCCGATGCATGCGCCACCTCGTCAACAAGTAGCCAGTGGCTAAGCACATGCAATACCACTATCTTCTGGCCGACATCAACCAACTACTACTACGGCCCAACCACTGGTCCCGAGGCCTCGGCAGTCTCCTGCAACGCCGAATGGGTCGAATACGACGGACGCGCCAGTGGTTTGGAATCTCTCGGCGCAACGTCCACGTCCACCATCTACAGCACCTATGTTACCAGCACGGGGGCCTGCAACACTCAGATCTGGGGCGAAGGCTGGGACGACCCTCACGCGGGCCCAGTCACCACGCTGTGTGATGGGATTCCCCGTGCCCTTGGTCCTCGAGAGTACTCGACGACATATTGGCCCGGCACGGGGCCCTGCAGCTCCTTCATCGCGACCGAAACCACCACGACCCTCGTCTATCGATCCCCCTCACCAACCCCAGCTGCTCGCTCAATTCCCAAGACTGCATCCCCATCTGGCAAACTTACAGCAGCCTCCGCCAGGCCTACTCTGACTCCGTGACAACTTCCCTCCCCGGCGACACCAACAGTCCCATCCGCCCAGGAAGCTGCCCATCCACCACGAGAAACTACACCGAGAAGGACCCCTGCACCAACTGTCATTACCTGCCCGGCACCGCGACACTCTTCTACTGGCCCGTAACCACCACCAACGGCGACCTCTGTCTGCAGAACGGAAGCACCGTCCCAGCCACCCCGACGGGCGAAGGCCCAACACCGCGGTGGTCAATGGCCACACCTTCGTCTCGCCCAGCATCTACGTCTCCTTCACCAGCATCTACGCCCGCAGCAACCAGCGCGCCCACCCCGGCGGCTCCTGCGGCGGCGAATACGAAGACGTTATCATCTCCGTCGATCCCACCGCCGTGTCCTCCTACCGCAGCCACATCAACGCCAAATACCCCACCATCGGCACCGCGTACCCCTTCGAATACGACGAGTTCCAGCCGCACACGGTCGGCAATTATACCATGCCCCTGATCCCCTGGGAGAAGTACCAGGCGCCTCGCAGTGTCCCTTCCGCGGCGGCAACAAGTGTACCATGATCCGCGATGACTATATGCCCTGGATGGGCATCCCGGAGGGCGTGATGACCCAGATCGATCCCCAATGGACCGAGTGTGATCGCAGGTGGTATATCCCTCCCGTCAGCATGGTGCCTCTCGTCGGCGATCTGGAGTCCCTGCCCACTGGCGTCGCCGAGGCCAGCGTCCCGACGCCTACGCCGGCGGTGCCGAGTCGGGGGTTGCTGCGCCTACGCCGGAGGCTACGGTGTGGTAGTTGTGTACATGCCGTCCGTTCCATAGTTATACATGCCATTCCCAATACGATGCACAACGCAGTACATAGCACACTACCATACTTAAATAAATTAACCCATGTATTAAACCTATCCCCCACACATATACATCCTAATACCAACAACCCCTAAGAGCCAAACTCAAGAAGTCAGCCACCTCTCCACCCTCTTCGTCAACGCCACACACTTATTATCCACGTAGATCGTATAATAATGCGCCGCATACAGCACGACTGTGCCCAGGATAATCCCCGAAGCCCACCACGCCACATGAAACGACATGGGATCGTTCGCGGTCGCCTCCACACTGCCCGGGTAGGGGCTCCCATTCGCCAGCAACCAGAGCCAGTTCCGCAGCGGATCGCGCAACAGATGGTACACGGCCTGGTGCACCAGGTACAGCGAGAAGGAGATCTTGCCGAGATACTGCACGGGTCGGGTGTTGAACGGGCGCTGCAGGAGCGGGGATTCGCCGATCGCGTAGACGGTCAGGGCGGCGCCGACGGATTTCCAGCACCAGTGGATGATCTGCCAGTTGTCTTTCCATTTGGCGGGTTGGAAGACGGACAGGAATTCGTAGCCTGGGGTGAGGTGGCCGTCGTCGCCCAGGCAGAGGAGGTGGTAGCCGAGCAGGAAGGAGAGGATGGTTGTTATCCGGGAGAGGGTGAAGTTCTTGCGGTTGAGTAGGCGCTCTTTCCAGTTGGAGGGGGAGAATGGGAATAGGGGCAGCTTTTCTTCCTCGTCGTCCGTGGGTTGGGTTGGACTGTTCCCGGTGGTGGTGGTGGTGGCTGCTGCGCGTTCAGCGAGCCAGAGGCCCCAGATGAAGCCGAAGATGTCCCAGATGCCGTACCAGAGGAAGTATAGTGCTAGCGCGGGCAGGAACCAGAGTCGGAGCTTTGGGCGCCAGGCGGATAGCGCCATTAGCAGCAGGAAGATGACGTTGGACCCCCGGAATTCAACGGGCATGGTCCACAGCTGGCCGTTGAAACCGCCGTTGTACTCGAAGGCGATGATGTTCAGACTGTCGGTCATGTAGAGGAAGAGCCATTTGATGTGGGCCCAGGGTGCCGTCCAGGGTTCGAGGCCCTTTAAGAGCCCCTCGTCGAAGGTCCAGTTATAGAGATTGAAGAAAAATAGCAACTGACTGATCGTCGCCATGACCAGCACAGGTAGATAAATTCGAAAGGGTCTCCGCAGCACGGCGGAGGAAATCCGTGTGTAGTATTGCTGACTGGGTCGGGCTTTGAGGATATTAATGGAGATCGCATAACCCGAGATCACCATGAATAGCGTCACCATGGCATGGGCGGAAAAGAGGATGCGAATGGGTGGCAGTTGCACGAAGCGATGATTATCCTGCTCCGGGCCCCCCCAGAAGGAGAGGAATGGGTGCCAGACTTCTCCCATGAAATAGTGGTCGAATGCCACGATCGCGGCGGCGATGCCGCGCAGGCCGTCCAGCCATTTAGTGCGCTCCATGCCGGCGAGAGGGAAATCAGGTTTCCTTCGCAGTGCGCTGAACAAGTGGTGGATTTACGAGGACAAGCTTACATGGACATGATTCCAAGGAGTGAGTGATATTCAGCAGAGACCAGGGTCCAAATGACGGGCGAGGGTTAAATGTCACGCCGTGAGGCTGAAAAAGAAGGCGACGAATGGGTCCAGGGGAAAGTCTGGATTTAGTCTCCTTTTTTTAGATTTCGCCCCAACCTTGCAGAATCAGTCTCGTAAATGGTCATGGCACCAATAACCACTAGTCCTCGCGCCAGACTATCTCCGGAGGAACCAATCCCAGAATAATTGGGACTAATTCCAGAGCGCTAGGCGTCTTATGGATCGTTTCACTGCCTCCGATTGCCCACTGTTGAATTTCCCATTTCAGGCAAATTAGGGCTAAGCGGCGCTGCAGCCAATGGTTTGCGATACATCGGATCCACTGGCTGCATCTCTCGTATCCGTGATGGCCGGCGGAACACGCGCTGGGTGACAGTCACCAAAGGACAATGCCAAGTAGCAAGTGCCGAATGCCAGGACCATGGACAATCTCTCCACAGATTGATATGGGATCTCCAGGAATGCGGCTCTGGCGCAGATCGCATCCAAGGCGAATATCTTCGCTGCTGAAGGATTTTCTCCGCCCCACTCTGCAGACACCCGGCCAATCACATCCCCGATTCACAGTGCATATCCACTACTCTTGGACGGAGTAGTGGTCATACTGGTTCGTAGAGTACAAACGAGCTATGCAAAGATGGCCATGGTGCTCTGAGTACATATCTATACGGAGTACAGTTGCATCAACTTACCCTCATAAAATGTCCGTTGCATGGACGTGCAAGGGCGGCGATCCCAAAGAACTATCCTTACCCGATGCGGTATATATATCGACCATGGATGATCGTGATGTGATGCATGAGAACATGCAAAGCGCTAAAGACGCGGCGTTACATTCAACCCCGCCACAATCACATGGAGTCTGCATGAAAGAAACAAAACCCGTTCACCTGGCCCTTTCTCCCTCCCATCTCCAGAGGACTGAAAAAAAATGTCACTGCAAGTTCCCCGGGAACCGCTCCTCACCCTCCTCTTCCAGGTGTGGAAGAAGCACCCTACCAAAACCATCATCCGAGATCTGGCCGACGGATATGAAACTACCGTGGAAGAGTTCTTGAACGATGTACTGGTCACTCGGGAGCGGATCCTCGATTCGCTTGAGCCAGAGGTCCAAGCCCGCCTCAGGAGCGCGGATACCGATGTTTTCGTAGGGGTTCTAGTTGGTCCAGGCCATGAATTTGCCGTACTGGCCTTCGCCCTGTACAGTATCGGTGCTGTCATTGTTCCGCTGTGTAAGCTATCTCCTTCAAATTCCCCATCTAGTGGTGTCATTCTGACTACTTATGTGAATCCATTAGCACCGGCACTCCACCCCGACGAAGGGAAATACTTCTTAGGGCTATGCAACGCGGTACTAATAATCACGGTGCCGACGACGAAGAGCAAAGCCGAGGCCATCTCCGACCTCACCGGCATTCCAGCCCTCAATGTCAACGTGACAGACTCAGTTAGGCCGGACACTCTTGACTTCGCATTGCAGCCGGAAGGAGAGCCCCTGATCGACGCGGGCAAGGGCTTTGTGCTTCTCTACACGTCCGGAACTACCGGTACCCCCAAGGGGGTACTTCATACGCGACGAGGAGCCGAAACAGCCTATGTTACCAGCATTGAATTGTTCAGCTTGGGCCCAAGTGACACCTGGGCACATTATTCTCCGGTTCACTGGGCAGCTGGGTGGCTATTCCTCTTTCATACTATTCTGGCTGGCGCCTGTCTTGAATTTTGTAGCTCCGTGTTTAGTCCAGATTGGCTGTTAGAACGGTGGGAAGAGAAGGCCGGGCCGGAGGATGGCCTAACAGTTGTGTTCATGGTTCCGTCGGGGCTTCAAGCCGTCGGTGCGAAGCTAGAGGCGATTCGGAGGGAAGGCCCACCTGGGAGGTATGACCGTATTCTTCAGGGCCTGAGGGGAACGCGAGTGATCGCCTCGGGGGGTGCGAGGGTGACGCCGGAATTAAGGGATGAGTGGATGGAGCTGCGCGGCGGGAGGCCGTTGATGGTGGCATATGGGATGTCGGAGGTTTTGATGTTCATCGCTGCTGCTGACTGGGACTCGAATGCGGTTCTCCCGGTGGTAAGATGATACGTCCTTGGAGCGTTATGTCGAGGTTAGTTTGGCTGACCCTAAGAAATTAGGACTGCTGTGGTCGGATCTGTAGCCATGTTGACATGAAAATCAACGAGGCCGGCGAGATATGCCTCAAAACTCCCCCCGTATTCAAAAGGTGACAGAATCGATCCTATCCAGATTTCAAATTGACTGACACCCCACATCGAAGGTATATATCGGAAAATCCAACGGTAATGAACGATGTTTTCGATGCCGACGGATACTGGAGAACCGGAGATATGGGTAAGCTGGAGGGGGACTTGGTCTACGTCTTTGGCCGGGCGTCTCAGGACAGTAAGTGAGGCTTTATTGTTATATGCGTTGTCCATGGATTGACAGTTGTAGTTATTCGATTTTCCGGGTGGAAGGTCCTGGCACCGGAAGTCGAAAGCGAGCTGGCTAAACACCCACTTGTATCAGAGGCGATCGTCTTTGGCATCCAGGATACCTCTGCCGGCCAGCTCGTTGCTGCGCTCGTGGTCATAGGTGGTGATGATTCCGACAAGACTAGCCTAGATCTCCCATCAGTACGCAGGTGGTTGGCACTCGAGAGACGGATGAATGCATACAAGTTGCCAACGGTCCTACGAGTGGTTAGGAAGAATCAAGCGCTGCCTATGACGCTGTCGGGAAAATTCATCAAGCGAAAGATCCGAGATATCTTCTTCAGTCAAGAAGAACTCGACAGCGGTCGGGTCCAGGTGCATGGCCTTTCGACTCAGGAACCAGACATCGGCAACCGGCCATTTGACTGGGCAGGAATTCAGGCCAAATGAGAATAGCTACTGGTATTGTAGTATGCAAATAGAGATCGAAATATAGATAGCATAGAGTGACAGCAACTGCTCAGTAGCTCATTCGCACCCATGGAAAGGATAGCCCAGCCAAATATAACCGCGAGACAGCACACCTGGTGATATAACGCTTGACTCCGACCAAAGTAGGAAGAAAGAAAGGAGAAGACTAGGTTTGAATGAAATATCAACGACCCGACAACGCTTTAGTCATGCTCCTTTGCTCGTCGTCCATATCTATGGCCCATGCCATGACCCCTCGTAGTCCTTTCCTGCTGGCGTAGTCAACCTTAATCTTAATTGTCAAGGGATCATCGTATCTAGAGCATCAAGACCAGAACATTAATCAAAATCCCAGCAAAGGAATGGAATGACTCACGAGACCCAATTGTCCCCGCCCCATGTTAGGTGCTGGACAGAGCCAGCCTGGTCAAACACCGGCTTTGCACCGCCAGATATCACATCATTGATCTCTGTTCCAGGTAGCATCGTTAGAATGGTGAACCCGCAGTCAAATATTATCACATACCCGTGTGAGACAAATAGCCTGCAGTCTTGACGCATCGCCCCTCAGCCCCCGGACCGGTAAATGTACAACCAGGTTGCGTGCAACTGCCACTGGCCATTTTTACGCTGCGACCGTAGAAGGCGGTCCCCAAGACAAGTTTATTTGGTGCTACACCAGCCTTGAGGTAATTTTCGACCCCTTTGTTGACGTCGGTCAAGTTCGTATGCCCGGCGGCCTTTTTGTCGCTCTCCCATGTACCGTGGATATCATATGCCATGACGTTAATCCAATCAACAGCCTCAGAGGCTACCTTGAGATCATAGTTCTGCAGGTAATAAGAGGCCAGTGGTGCCGCGAACGTCATAACGTATTTGCTTTGGAACACATGTCGCATCTCCTGCAAAAGCTTCGCGAAATTCTCTTTGTCGGTTGGGCGGCCACCTCTCTCCTCGGCACCAGGGTATTCCCAATCGAGGTCCACACCATCGAAGTTGTATTGAGTCAGAAAGCTAAGCAGGTTCGTGATGAACGCTTGGCGATTGGCAGGCGAGGATACCATGGTAGTGAATACCTCGCGGTATGGGCCGGGGTCAGTATGTGTCCAGCCCTAGAAGATTGTCAGCAGGGAGCATGGACGTTCAAAGGGGACCCTACCCCAAGAGCCACGAGAACCTTCAGGTTGGGGTTCTTCTTTTTGACACCCGTGACCTGGTTAAACAAATCTTCTTCGGTATCCGGCATGGGCAGGACTTTATAGGTATCCGGCGCGACAAATCCAAATGAGAAGATGAGATGCGTGAGCGATTCTACAGGGATCTCCTCCGGCTTCATGGTGGCACAGGCCTTGCCCATATTCCATCCCTGCCAGTAACCCGCGATGACCTTACCGGTGCTGTCTCCTGGGTTGCCCGGTGTTGGTTGGGCGATTGGGGGAGTACTCAGCGACGTACTGGGCACGGTTGTCGGCTGTACTGTCGGTTGGGAAATCAGCAGGGAGCTTGACTTTTTGCATGACCCTTCGCTTGAGGATCTAGGGATCGGTGTGGTTTGCTGTTGGCCACGCTGAGAAGTACTCGGCTGATGACCTGATGTATCCATTGGCGGAGCGCAATTTGATTGGCATCCTGTGCCACAGTACTCACTAGTGGTACCGCAGAAACCCCATTTACTATGTCCCTAGGATTAATCATATGCATAGCAAGGACAAACTTCTGCACATACGAGCAGCAGGCATTGCCAGGGCAGGAAGCACCTGGTGGAGCAGCGTCTGCACCGCACTCAGCCACACTGCGGCCGATAGAGCGACCAAAGTGAAGTCGATGACGCAGGGCTTTGCCATGGAGATTATGTATCATGGGGTTGCCAGCAACCTCTAGTACCCCCTGGAGTGCAAAGAAAGTGATCAAACATTGTAGAAGGAACGGCATGGCCGAAGAATGGTCTCTTCAAAGAATGCAAGAAGTGAATGTTTTCCCCGAAGTCGCAGACTATCAAAGGGCTTGGGGGAGAGAATTCAGGGCTGGGGTAGACAGCGACTAATATACTTTGACGCGCTCTAGTCTATAAACCCCCGCGGCAGAACATGTTCTGTACCACTAGCCGTATATTGTCACCCCTTCATTTCGGGCTGCTGATGAGGCCGTACGAGCATCCAGCTGGTGCGGTAGCACACAATCGAGGCGACCTATTTAGCCTGGATTTTGCGATTGAGCAAAGGTATCAAGTGTCTCGTGTCGCTATCGGCCCGGTGACTCCTGGTATTACCACGAATGGCAAATATGCTCGTGAGACTATTGACCAGACAGTCAGCATTATTGTCAATCGACATCCAGGTTCTAACATCACCGATAGTAGGAAGATCTCTTGCATCATGCAATTATGGTAGTCACAGCCACCACGTATACTACGGGAGTGGAATGATCCATACACGTGGAGTCAAAAGAGATTAAAGGGCGGATCGTGAAACAACGGGATCGACAGCACCGTTGATAGTCCCAGACAGACAAAGAGAAGACGAGATATGGGTCTCGTTACTCAGTTGCACGAAGCGGCGCCTCACTGGACACGCACAATTCGAATGTCCTCTCGGCATTTGGCCTATACCGTCTAGGTTAGCGCCCTCGTCTTCCATATGAGCCACCCGAATGCCTAGACGCGTGCCTGGAAATTGTGAGATCCTTAAAAACGCTCCAATATATGGTTACACCACCTTGACACTGACCCCAGCAGCCGGCGGTGCATGAGCTTGCGTGCATACTTGAGCCACCAAAGCCGAAGGTCAGATGTACAGGTCATTATTGTCCATGTCAGGGGGAAGGAAGACGAAGAAAAGCTGCAGGTGAACGGTAGCCCATTGTGGCTATGAGTTTCGTTTAGAGGTCTATGTTGATTCATAATGAAGACTTAGCGCGGGTCATCTAGTTCTATCAAAATCGAGTAAGCCTTTTGAAATGGAAATATAAATATGTCAACTACAGGTAGGTCAGCGCTGTCCGCTTACGTGCTTTCGGTTGCGGGCTGACCATCTGTAGGAAAGGGTTTGGTTTCTCGTGCAGATTGCTACCGTGGATAGAACGGTGCAAGAAAGGTCACTCGGTACCACAGGACTATCGGCTACATCCTCTACGGCGCCTAGAAGTTCGCTAGATCGTAGCCAGAAGCATGGTGATCAACACAAAGTAACCACCTCGAGGCCTCAGGACCTGAACCAGTACACGGCAATGGGTAAGTGATACATGCGCCCGTACAAGGGTACATGTGATGGATTTCCTATTATTCATGGGTATAATACGCAACGTGAAGCTAGTTATTGGTATTGTCATAGCCGGTTTCCGGCATCAGCCACTATGTGGCTTTGGATATCTGGGTCCATTCATGTCAAGACACAATTTTCCACCATTCATTCCCTTCAACAATTATCCTCGGTCGGTGATGGTCATCCGCCACAGTAATCATATCAAGTCGTGACTGCATGCAACTAGGTATTCGACGTATATAGGGAACTGCGCTTAGTAGCCACCCTGGTAGCCGCCACCCTGGTAGCCCTGGTAGCCGCCGCCCTGGTAGCTGCCGCCGCCCTGCTGGTAGCCACCACCGAAACCGCGGTTGCCGCCGGCAGGTCTAGCGTTGGCCAGGTTGACCTTGACACGGCGACCATCGAGCCTAGATCACACAATCCGATTAGACGATTCAAGGCCATGACAAGGCTGAAATGCAAGGCTTACTCTTGGTCGTGGAGCCCAGCAATGGCAGCCTCAGCTTCCTCGGGAGTACCGAAGGTGACGAAGCCGAATCCTCTGCTGCGGCCGGTTTCGCGATCTCTCATGACGATCTAATAACATGGACTTAGCGGCAAGGGACTTCACAACAGCGCGAAAGAGCAGGAAGAGTCAGTGAAAGGATCGCAAAGGCCAACTTACAGCGTCAGTGATAGCGCCGAAGTCTTGGAATGCGCCACGGAGAGTCTCATCAGTGGTGTTCCAGGAAAGGTTTCTTTTGATTTGGAATTCAATAAGTAAGACAACATTCCACATGTGATTTTTTGATTAAGAATTTTTCATCTTAATTTTATTTTTTCAATAATTTTTCTGAATTCAAGAACTGACCCGACGTAAACTTTCGACATGGTGAAGTTTTGTGATGAAGTACGATAGTACTTTGGATTGTTGGTTTTTTGGGTGGAAGGTAAGGAAAGAAGAAAGCTGGTGGTAGCGGGGGAGACAAAAACAGAATTTTAGCAAAGTGGATAAGGGCGGGCGGTATGGAGGGTGCGCGATATTTATACAGGCGAGAGAAACGACACGTAACAACCCGTGATGAGATCATCCCAGGTCACGTTGGGCATTCCTGCAGGCTGCACATCCTGACTCAGCCTAGGCCATTTGTGTACATAATCTGGCAGAGAGCACGTGCTGTGGTGCATCTGCTCTCCCACCAGAACATTCCCCGACAAAGAATCTCCAAACAATCATCACTTTTAATTACACTGGACAAAAAGTTTTCTCTATCTATGTACGATGCATAGCAGCTACTGTGCCGCAGCAAATTGCCGGTACGCCTGAATAATCGCCTCCCATCCACCCGGATGATTGTACTCGATCGGATTCGATTGCTCGTCCAGGACCATGACGTCCGTCTTGCGGGTGCTGATAGAATACCACACGAGGTTGCTTGGGGAGTTTGCCACGCGCATCATGTTCGTTTGACACGAGCCGTTGCACTGATGGCTGTAGGTTCCATCCCAGGGCCCGTTGAAGAACGCCCATGCGGCTGAGTTGTACAGAAGAATATCCGACCCGCCATCCACGTTAGTTGCCAGCGAGGTACGGCACTTCTGATCGTCTTCGCCGCACCAGGAGAAGTCGGGGTCACCAAACTCGGATGCAGCGGTCCATGGAGCGGGAGCAGTCTGTGTGGCTCCGTCTCCTTGCATATATGGGGACTCCGACTGGAGAAGACCTGCGTAGACATTCTGTGCGTTATGGAGGTTGTAGTTATACAGCCAGTGATGCTCAGACCCGGTCCCAGTAAGCCAGGTTCCCTGGGTGGCCTCGACCAGAATACCACGGCCCGTGGAGATAATCGTGATCGGCCCACCGTCAAGGTTATGATCAGCCGTCCAGCCCCAGAAATTCTCAATGTACGCGGACGATGTCTTTGTGAGATGGAGGACCATGAATGCCGCCATGCATCGGGACATATCCTGGTCGGTGCAGCTGTTGGCAATGGTGGTCTCCGCAGTACCTCCTACGGTGGCGATAGTGTTCCATAATGCCACATCGCCGGGTGCACTGCCTGCCATGTTTATCTCGAGAATCTTCGCGCCCGGAAGAATCTCGGCGACACTGAATCTCATATTTTGAATTTCAGCCACACCCACATCCCCCTCTTGTCCGATCTGCACGACCGGCTTCGGATTGGCGGCGTTTTTGAACGCGTCTCCCGCGCCCGTAATCACTGCCCAGGCCTCGCCCACGATACGAGAGCCCTTCGGAATGACGAGCGTATCCTTGACGAGGTATACGCCGTATGGAAAGTATGTAATCTTACAGTTTGCTGCATTGTCCGCCAAAATAGCGTTCAACGCCGCGCTATCATCCGTGGAGCCGTCACCCTTGACGGTGTAGTCTTTAGCAGCCTTTACATTGACAATCTGGTCACTGCTATATTCGGCGTAGGTGGGCTGCACCTTTGTGAAGTACTTGTTATTTGCAAGCAGCACGCCCGGACGCAAGGTACTAAAACCGGTTCCGCTCTGGTACTGGCCCGGAGTGACGTTTCCCCAGACCCAGGTGTCGACATGCGAGACAGCACCCAGTTTGACATTGCCTTTGCTATCGACCGCGATGGGATTGCTGTTCTCATGCGACAGGTTTTCGATAAGGATCTGGCTATTGCGATTGCCGCTGTCATTGGACGAGTCGTGGAATCTAACGACCGGCCCAGAGTTGATAGAGGAGGAGTCGAGCAGCACGAGACTACCCAGACTGTTGGTAGTCATGTTGATGCCGGTGCCACAGGTGTCAAATGTCGCCTGTTGTAGTAGCACCGTGTGGCCACCAGCTGCTTCGAACGCCGTCGTGCAGTATTTGAATGAAATATTCTTGAAGTTGACCTGTTGATTAGAGTTCTTGATACCTACAGCACCGCCAATGATTTGCTACTTCAGTTAGCATTGGCCCGACTCGAACGTACCGTCTGCAAACATACCACATCGGTAACGGCAATGGTCGAACCAGCCTGGATGTATATGCCGGTGTGGCCCGTAGAGCTGGTCGGCATTTCAATCTGGACATTGGTCAAGCCGGAGCCTTGTGCTACACCCCACTGCAGCGCTGTGATCTTTGTGTCCGCACTGAGAGCCGTGGTGTCCAGCACTACATTTCTCATCAGGGTCATGAAGCTGGTTTCCGGATTTCCATTGCCCGAATCATACCCCATGACCAGAGTATCACCTTTGAAATTCGGCGCAGCCTTGAGCACCGGAGGATTTAGCGGGTCTCCTGTAATGATGGTGCCCACGCGTAGTTCCAGTGTGCTACCCAACTGATAGGTTCCCCCGGGAAGGAAGACCTCGGCCGGATAACGAGTGACGCCGCTGCTTTTACGACTGCCGCCCGAGCCGTTATCGTTGATGGCGTTTTGCAACTTGAATGTCTGATTACCGGACCCATCATTGCTGGCACCGTAATCCAGGACATTACGCCACACAGGGTAATTTGTATTGTTCACGTAGGGGGCATAACCACCAGAATTTCCGCTGTGGTCTTGATCCGCGAGCCAGTAGCTTGTAGGGGAGCTTTTGATCGGGCCTGTGCATGTTTCGCTGGCTGCGACAACTACACTGCCAAAGCCATTTTGGATTTCCACGGAGATCGCATCGGTCCATGTTAAATGAGACACTTGAGCAATGGTCGACGATATTGCTGCGAACGTTGAAGGAATGACGGCAGCGGACGACGAGGCCACCATACTGGCCAACCCTAAGAGAGAGAGGAAGTCACGCATCCTCGGAAAGGAATGAATAGTTTGGCTACGAATGAAACAACAGAAAGGTAAGAGAATGGACGGGTGTAGTATCCCCAAGTACGAAAACTGGCCTGCAGCTGAAACGGGCCATCGCGTTTCCTATATACGACCCGCTGCAGCTGAGCTATCACAATATCAGCCGTCGGCGAGCGAACCAGACCAAGGGACAATATCCGAATTTACCGGGCCACGAGCATGTAAGGTCTAGACTGATGGAAAGTGTGCCTGAGCTTGAGGTACTTCGCAGCACTACGGAGCAGAAAGTGGATCGGCTTGGGCCTGCGAGTCTGCGACAACTTCTGCAGCACGGAGTAGTCCCAACTTTGATACACTTATATGGCTGCAGGAACTGGTGGCCATCCGCTAAGTGGGATCGTCACCTCGAATTTCCTTTTCTTGTTCAAGGGACTCACTAGTTTCCCAATTGAATCTGGCCAGATGCAGGATCAACTTTAGGGCTCAGCATATGGGCCAATCAGGGACGTCAGCAGCCACGCGATGTCTGAATTATTGATCGCCCCTTTTTCACTCAGAAGGGGAGGCACTGATCAAGCCAAGAAGAGTCAAGCACCTGGATTACCTCGGTAGTGGCCGTTACTTCGTTCTCCGGCGTATGTCTGTACATACAGACATGTTTGGTTTAGGTCTACTGTGTGTCATCAGGCAAATACCTTTTCGGGAAACTGGTGTCTGCTACGGAAATGTACATCGACCATTTTGATCCGAAGCACTGTTTCACCTTGCGTGTCAGACCTTACCTTAATCTCAAAAGAGATCATAAACTCACGGAGCGCGAAAGCTTGGTGTCTACCGTTTCTTTTTGCTTTTCTATCGTTTTCTTTCTTTCTTTCTTTTTTTTTTTTTCTGTCTTGTCTTGCCCCCACACACATCTGTCTGGAAGGTAACATTGCTCGATGATACTCAACCGAATTTGTCAATAGCAAGGACAGTCTCGAGTTATATATATCTAGCCAAATCTATAGATCACACTATCGACTTTCGCCACAGGAGCTCCATTGCCGGACTAAAAGGAGTGTGGTTCCGTTAAAATCGTTGGTCTGCTAGTTTATATATATATAACAAAGTAGAAAACGTCCCTGCAGAAACATCGGGAATCATTTATGATAGACACCTGGACAACTTCACTCGAGCATCCTGTACTACTGTTATGATGGTTTGCAAAAGCCTATTTGACCCTCACTAACCCACTGCCCTAGCGATATTGTCCCTTGCTATTTGAAGATCATGATGTACAAGAACCAAGCGGACGTAACGTTTATCATCTCTTGGCTGGGTCGATCTTTGGACGGTCCTACCTTTTCTATCTCAGATGCCAGAACCTGTCAAGCAGAACGGCGCACTTGAGTTATGGATTGCATTCAATGGTAGAGTGATGTAGGTGAATAAATTACAAAAGATGTTATTATGGTCTCAACACCAAAGAGCGATAAAGAAAACAGAAATCCAGTACAACATTCCGATGCCTCGCTTGCAGAATCTATGCAACTCAGATCTGAACTCCATATCCCCGTGGATCTAAGCAGCAATCGGCCCCATTTCCGACTATAAAAATAGTATGTTTCAGGAATGGGGCCAATGCAATTCTCACCAGACGATGTCACCATAATATGAACTGCCGTGAGATTTCTCACCCTCATTTCCCGAAATTGGGGAATGATCGACACGCGCCTGCGGTACTATTGTAAACAACCCTTGCATGCACGCTATTGAAGCGAGCCAATGCCCATGCTGATTTTAATGCACGAGTCAGTGCCAGGGGTCTCAACAATGCAGGCAGATAAGATCGTGCAGCATATAATATCTAAAACACTTCCTGGGTTCTCTCTCCTACCTTCTAGGGTAACTTGCCCAGCATCGTTCTCCAGTCAAAATGAAACTCCACGTATTGGCCGCTTTTTTGGGCAGTGCCCCTCTAACCCTAGCCTGGCTTCCCACCGACGAGGGTCGGAGCCTCTCCGGCTTCACCAGTACTTCCAAAATCCGCGGTGTCAATCTGGGGTCCCATTTCGTCATGGAGCCATGGATGGCCAGTACTGAATGGTCAAGTATGGGTTGCAGCGACTACAAGAGCGAATGGGATTGTGTGCAAGGCATCGGACAGGACGCAGCCAATGCAGCCTTTAAGAAACATTGGCAGACGTGGATCACCAAGGATGATATCACTCGGATGGTCTCATACGGTCTCAACACCATCCGGGTATGTGATAAAAGCCATCAAAATACGTCCTCACTGTCTAACACAGTCTCCAGATCCCCGTCGGCTTCTGGATGTACGAAGACCTAATCAATGACAATGAGTACTACCCACGCAACAGCTCAATCGACGATCTCACCACCGTCTGCCAATGGGCATCCGATGCCGACATGTACATCATTATTGATCTCCACGGACTGCCGGGCGCTCAGCAGCCCAACCAGCCCTTTACCGGTCGGGTAGGGTTTCCAGATAACTTCACTTTAATCTAGACATCCCACTTGAGTGTACCCTGACTTGCACGTAGTACGTGGATCCGCCACAATTCTACCAAAGCGACGAAAACGCCGAACGAGCATACAAGTTCTACGAATGGATCATCGAGAAAGTCAACAGCAACCGCTCCGCATTCAAAAATGTCGGGGCCCTGGAACTCGTCAATGAGCCGCTCCAGAACACAGAGAACGCTGACACAAACTGGATGGTCGAGCATTTCTATCCGTCGGCGATCGATCGTATCCGCGCGAAAGAGTCGGACCTCGGTGTTTCGGATGCCGATGCGTTGCACGTTACTGTCATGGTATGTTCTGTCCTATCCACCTATCTCACGGGAATATTAATGTAGTACACAGGACGACAAATGGGATTCGGGCGGTAACCCTACACGCTCTCTCAACGGCACTCAGAAGGAAAAGCTCCTGTTTGACGACCACAACTATGAGATCTACCTTGTTCGCAACGCCGCGACAATAGACGAGATGATTACGGATGCATGTGGTGATAATCGCAAGTCCAGTGTTAGTCCAAAGGTGGTCGGCGAGTGGAGTCTGGCGTTTGATAACACTGGCGATGCCTTCCTGCCCATGACCGGGGATCATGCGTCGTCGTACTCGAAGTGGTTCTCCGCGCAGCAGAGACAGTATGAAGCGCTTAATGGGTGGGTCTTTTGGTCGTGGAAGACGGATGCCTTGCCCAATGTGGAGCAGTGGAATTACCAGAGTATGTTCCTATCTTACCGTTTATGCAGGGTGGCAGTGCTAACTGGAATGATCAGAGGCCGTCGACGCGGGTATCATTAACAAGGATTTGAATGCGCAGTATGATCAGAATCCGTGCTAGATCGTGGACGGTTCGAGTGCAATCGAGATGAATATAACCGGGGCAGGGATTGACTTCAAGGCTAATCTGAATATATTAAGACGTAGGGATTGTGGAGTGTGCGTAACTTAGGATACATCCAGATGTATTATATTACCAGGGTTGATATCAAATGGACAACGACAATACAATTATAGAGACATGGCAGTGTAATGACCACAATTCTGGGAGCACGGAGATAGCAATGCTCACATCAAGGAGCAAACGGAGTATCAACTCTTCCAACCCCACGCTCAATCGGTCTTGTCCTTAGCAAACCGCCCAGTAAAAACCCGAATGCGCTTTCCCCAGACAAATATCGGGACGCCGACCAGAGCGAGGAACCCCGTGAGAGCGGCGAAGGTATTGAACGTTCCATCGTAGCCATGTAGGGCAATAAAAGGAGCGGTACCATAACTGGTGCCGAAGGAAATGATACCTCTGAAAGCACAGATAATGACCAGCAGTGGGCCAGCACGCGCCGGGTAGCTATCCAGCAGGTACGTGATGGTGACAATATTGACACCAACGAAGCAGAAATAATAAGCCGCAACACCCCAGGCATAGACAAACCAGTGATAGTCATATGGATGGGCTGCTCCTACACCATACAGAGAACTTGTAAACGTGCCCACGATGGCCGGAATGATGAGTGGAATAAGCCGCGTTTCAGGCTCGTGCAGTCCGTTATTCCGCTTTGCGCGGAACTTGACCAGCCAGTCCGAGCCATGCCCGAGGAGAGGCAGCGCGACAACGGCCACCAAGATCTGCCCAAAGTTGATGTAGCTCGCACTGCTGTTCGGCCAGTTGTAGGGAGGCGCGGAGAGGATCGTGCTGTATGTGGTGCCGATGGCTATGTTGACACCAATGACCAGGCCGTTGAGGAGAAGCGCCCAAAGGACGTTGGGGAAGAGGAGAAGCTCTGCAGTTTGCTGTGCACAACGTCAAGGTTACTTACTACATTCCAGAGGGGCTAGCATAGTGGGTGATACACATACCTTGAGAACCTCCCATAACTTAATCCACTCCGGCTTGCCGATCCACAGACGCAAGTCCGACTTGAATGTGCGCGGGGCGTAGTTGATATAGTCCAGCTCTGGGCGCTCCGTGCAAGCAGCTGTCTCTGCATGCTTTGGTTTGTCGTCGGTAGAGCTCTCCGTGGCCATCTCATCACCAGACGAGGACTCTTCTTGATACGCTGACATGGATCGCTCGTATTTAGTTTCCGGCAACAGGAAGATAGTAGCGACAAATAGAGCACCGGCTAATACGGCACCAAGACCATACCACCATTGGGGAGTGATGGCCTCGGCAATAGGGCCGGCGAACAGGACCCACACTGTAGTGAAGCTGACTTGAATAGCCTGCTGACCCATGAGGGCTTTGCTTCGTTCGTGAAGAAAGAATATCTCCTACACATGTGCACAACAGCATCAAAGAAAGACATTAGTCAGGTCACTTGATGGAATAGTGAAAAGGGTCCATTACTCACCTGTGTGATCATGGGGACAATCGACTCACTTTGGCCGGCCGCGAGACCGACTAGGATTCTGGCGCCAAAGTGCCACTCGTAGCTCTTTTCTGTTGCGCACAAAATGGCGCCGACGGCAAGAATAGCAGTCGAGACTAGCATCACAATCCGACGCCCAACACTAATAGCCAGGGGCATTCCAATCAAATTCCCAATTCCCCTGTGACAGAGAGACGTTAGACGTGGGACGAGGCCCTGATGTACACTGAGGTGACTTGGACTCATACATGAACAGGGTTGGGTAGGTCATCAAGTAGGTAATTCCATTATAATCTACCCCCGCGGCTTCATATCCAGGAATGTAAAACCCTAGCAAGCCACCGAATCCTGACACAAGAGCAAGACCGAGGCATGAGACTGTTTGGAGTTAGTGTGTCTGAATTTATGCTCGTCAAAGTAAGCTGCCTACAAATGGATATGACGACGAGGATCGTTATCTTGCGAAGCATGGACAAATTCAACGGATCTGAAACATTGAGCTAGTCAGATAATGCAATGCATGAGAAGGATCGAGACGACATACCGCGAGGATCGGCTGTCGGCGCCGGAATGTACACAATGCTGCCTTCGGTCAACTTCACGGTGCCCATCACATTGGTAGCCCTGTGCGTCTCCGTTTCACCAATGTTGGCTGCCTCGATGTCTTCCACATGGCCAACAGAACCTTTGTCATTCCGAGACATGTTGGCTACAAAGTGTCCCGAAGAAGCCTCCAATTTTAGACCAAACGTCCAAGTCCAACGAAGAAAGAAACAGGGAAGGGCAACGTAAAAGGAGGTGGAGCAGAAAATGCAACAGCCCCAGACTCTGCAGTGGAGAGCTCACGATGTGTGAACAATGCTCATTGTTTATATGCAGACAGCATCGATTGCCATGCATACAAAAGGAATTAAGGTTGACGAATTCATGCCACGACGACAAGAAGCTACCCCGGGCCCCCCACATTTTCCGGGGGTTTAATTCTGGAGACCCCGCCGAAGCTGTCTTGGATGTCCTCGGCCACTAGGCTTGCCACCTCGCTCTGCTCCGAGTTAGGCAGACGTTAATTGGCGTCGTCCGAGGTCGTCGATCGCGCTGGACTGTGTCCTATCTTATGAAGGCCAGACCACCGAAACACGTATTGTCAGGGCTTGCATTGGCTCCTTGAAGCTGTTACTCTCGAATATCTCGATCGTGCGTTTAGGAATGAGTAAAGCATCATAGGGTCATGACGCTGTAGTCGACGTGAATTGAGTTCATTAGGGCTTATCATATTACATATTATGAGAGCAGCGAAATGTCAGACTTCCGAGGTAGATCAAGTAATAATCATGAACCATAAAATTGTAACTATCAATTCTCAAAGACTAGTACATAGCACAACAATTACATTCAGTACGGCTTGACTCCGGCCAGTTTCAGCACCGTGTCAGTCAACACGGGCTTCTCAAAGGGCTCAGTTCGGTACTTCGGGCACACCTCGCCATTCCGCATGGGCTTTTCCGACGCAGGACGAATATTGCTACAATTTCCAACTGTTAGCTGAGCTGTCCATGATACCGTGTGGCAAATGAGGAGACTCACCAATGGGGCCAGTGGGTCGTGCCCATGTAGTTCTCGAAGCAGGTCTTCTTCAGCTCCAATGCCGTCTCGCTAGCAAAGCGTCTGGGAGTCATGCAAATGTACTGTGCGTGACGGATCTGGTTCGCCTCGGGGAAGCAAGCATAGTGGAGTGACCGGGAATCCCACAGGACAAAATCACCAGGTCCAAGGTTGACCTTGATGAGCTCGCACCCCCGTTCCTCAAACCATTTGACATCCTTCTCATGGAAAAGGAAGAGGTCCATGTACTTCAGCTCCGGGGGAGGAGCATCCTCGTGGTCATATTGCTCTCGCTTCTGGGCGAAGAACTCATCGAAGAGCTTGGCAGATCCCTTCATCAGCATCAGACCGCCATCCTTGGGGCCATTGGGGGCAAAGTTAATGAGGCCCTGAACAGCTTGCATTCTGAAAGAGTATTAGCATACGCCAAGTTCGGGGATTGGTTAGGATACCCACCCCTTCCGGTTTGGGTTCTGATCACAGTGTGGCCATGGGCTCCAGTTGAGATCCTTTCGGCGCGGGAGCGAGATGTTGATGCCGTCGAAGGAGCAAAGCAACTCCTTCGTTTCCCATAGCTTCTCGAAGATGTCTATGATAGCTGGCTCGGTACGGGCTTCCCAGGCACTCTTCTCATGAGTGGCACCGTACGAAAAATACATTCTGGTCACAAACATGGTTAACTGGATGCTAGGCCGGGTCTGTCCGAGACAGTGGACTGCTTACCCTCCCTTGAAGCTGACTGGCAAATGGTCTGCGGTCCAGGTGCTCTCATCGTTCTCATCGAAGCCAAGTTCGAAGTTCTTCAGCCATTCAATCTGCTTATCGGCGTAGTATTTCGCACGCTCCGGACTGATCACATTCTTGAGAACAACACAGCCATGGCGGTGAAATTCATCACGCCAATCGCCGTATGTGCGATCGCTGAAGTCAACCAAGTCCTTGATGGTGAAGGACTGTTGGGTTGCTTCGGCGATTTCTTGGATCTCGGTAGTGGTCGACATGGTTCAGACTTTCGCGGTCACGATTCACAATACTTGGTATTCGATACTGCGCCGAGGACTGTGATGCGTTTTGCTGGTTCAGTTTGACGGGGCATTTTGAGAACACTTAAGTAACTGAGCACTTCGCCAGTCACCATGCGAACAATCATTGCAGCATTGCGTCTCCGAGGGGTGCGGGGACTAGCGCCGAACACGCCGGGGAGAAGCCTTGCGAAAGCCATGGCTCATTTTCAGCACTTCGCAATGGGTCATCTTTTTGGGCTCGGCTTGGCCCGAGACGCTCGGGCGCTTATTTAGCACTCGGCGGGTTTTGACTCTGTGAGGCATGTTGACCCACTGCCTTCTTCCACCGAACTTTACCCATGACTGGGTCCTTGGTACACTAGTTGGTAGTGGCTACTAGTCAAACCAGGGACGAGTAGAAACCTCTGGTGGCAGTAGTGGACTACTGGTACAACTGAAGTCAGCCTATGAAAGCATGTGGCACAGTAGGAAGGCACAGTTAGGCGTCGTTTTGTTGCTCGTGACGACCAGAATCAGTGAGGACCCGGGGGAATGCAATAAACGGCAAATAACCATGAATGTGGATTGGTATGTGGACTTATTGTGATGTGGTTTAACACACGCATTTCTATCGTCAATGGATTTGTTGATGTTTTTCAGTTCATGTTTCTATATACGTTTCCTTCCCCGGCTACTCTGTTTCTTCCGGTAGCGCTATCAGCCCTGTTGCGCTTTGTAAACTATATACACTGATATTACCATATGCTAGACCCTAGAGAAACCCGACTCAACATGAAGAAGACAATAAGCAAACTGCAAGTAGCGCTACACTCAGACTGATTGTCCTTGAAGGAGGACTGGCGATTCGTGACTGGCACGTGGTAGAAGGTGAAGAGGCTTCCACTGCGAGGGTCTAAAGGTCTTGTTGACAGCTATTCCCTGTGCCCATAACTAATCACCAATCAGCACGTTGGCTTTGAAATCCGCACATGAACCATGGGCCCGGTACCTCCTGTTCTCGCTCGAGCCTGCCGTAGCTCCTTAGACTTGATGTATGGCAGATAGAAAGGGCCGCATATCAAGACTATTAGTGATGTCTGGACAGCAAACCTGGTGAGCGACGTAGATGGATGCATGGTTCAAGGCGTGGGGAAATGCAAACAGTACCCGTTGTCCCTTGGCGAGAGACCTGCAGTTGGAAGCCGTCAAGAGTTTATATTGCTACTGTTATTAAGCGATCTATAAGGAGAGAAAGGATGTGGATGACCTCGTGTGGCTAAGAGTGTAGAAGCAGTAGCCACGCCCAGGCTAACGCCTATAGCCATCCCTCGAAATAAGATCCACCAGATATCGCACGTCTCTCGAGATGAAGCGCACCGATTGGACCCGAGCCTGCTTCGGCAAATGTGGAGGAGCCATATCCGAGGTCATTTGCCGTCACGAACGCTAGGCTAAATGGCTAGCGAGATCGGCATTCGAGCCGTCGCCTCTCGAGTCTCGACATGACCCTAGCTCCAGACCAAGTTCCTGCGACAGTTTCCCCCGCATTCTACTCTAATCCCCCGCTTTTGTGGTGGGGATTCCAATCGTGAACCGGGGATTACCAAGTCGTGCATTGCCGTTGCTTCTCTCTATCGTCATATCGCGTCCTCACGCGCATGTGCAGCCATGGTCACACGGAGTGCTTCTTCATGTCAATGCTAGTGGTCGCTATTGCTTGCTCACTATCATGAATAGGCCACCAATATGCCTCGGACATTCATTGCCCCCTCTAGGATACGACGTAGAGATTGATGATGGATCGACCTCCCCCGGCCAAGCGGCCCCGGCTGTCGATGGCATGCAATATCTGTCGGCAGCGAAAAGTGAAATGCGATGCCGAGTATCCCAAGTGTCGCAATTGTCGGATACGGAATCAGATTTGCGTGACGACTGACCCTCAACGCCCTGGGGTGCCAGGAGTGAGAGAATGGCTAGAGATGCCAGAGAAGATCAATGGGAACACAGGGACGCAATGTGACGGATTGCAGAAGGAGCCAACGTGTCGCCAAAATGATCAAACCTCGCCCCCAAATACATCGCCTCAGCAGCAACCTCAGTCGCAAGAGGGTCAACCCTCTCCATCTGTGGGGGACAACCTGGCAGATGAAAAGGTCAACGAATTTTCCCCAGTGCATCAACCGTTCGATACATCCCTCAATGTGGAGCGTGGAACGAATCGGATGAAAATTCTGGGTGGCAGCAGCTCGCAATGCCTCGCGAAATCGTTGGACGTTTATTTTGAAGCGGCACGGTTAAAGCCAGTGTCGGCTTCCTTTGGTCACGGCATGAGGCATGCGGAGGAGCTGGATATGCCACTGACCCTATCTCTACCAGGTCTGCCTGGCCGGGACTGTCGCGACCGATATGCGCGGATATATTTGGCCCGAATCCACCCTACCTATCCCATTTTCTCCCCCAATGGGTTTCGCGAAAGTATGGAGCAGCTTTCCACAGTCGCCGATTACACGCACCTCCCTCGAGACAACGTTCCCATACTTGTGCTTGTCTATCTTGTGATGGGACTGGGCTCGGATGAAGAGGCTCAAAGTGTGACGGAAGTCGGGGAGAAATATCTTCAAGCTGCAGCCGGGCTTGTATCTCACCTCGTCGCGATACCCTACCTGCCGACGGTGCAGGCTCTGCTACTTCTGACACTGATGTATAGAGGTCGGAACCAGGAGGGCCTGGCGTGGCAAACGTTGGGCATGGCGATCCGCATCGCATACACCCTGGGAATCCACCGACCTCAAACCGGGTCCGCACTGTCCACATCCCACAGCACACCTGATGAAAGACATCTTCCCAGCCAAATATGGGCGGTTTGCTGCTGCTTGGAGCGGATGATGCAACTACAATGCGGCCGCCCTGCCTCCATTAGCGCCGAACACCTCAGTACCATCGGCAGTTTAACCTGCCAGTCACCCTACCTGCAGTGGAGCCTGGGGCTAGCTGAATACCAAGGAAATATCAGCCAGCATATCTACAACTACCATCCTGGGTCGAGAAACGTGCGCCAGATACTTCTGGATACTGCCCGACTGGATCGGCTGCTGCTCTCATGGGCCAATGTCATTCCTCCTGAGCTACGGCCAGGGAACGATATATTCTGCCCTGACGAAGAGTACCATATGGCTGCATACCTATCCATCCAATTCCACGAAACCCTTATTACGCTTCACCGCGCGGCGCTAATCGCCCCGACAGCGAACTTTGATAGAGAAATCGAAAAGCACTGCGCCGACGAACCATCCAAATTCAGGATGCGTAATGGAGAATCGATCTGTGTCAACAGTGCCCGTGCCATCGCTAAGCTGAGCATTGAGCTCTCCGAGAGGGGAACAGCCTCGCGCTTGATTCCAGTTGGGCCGTCCTTGCTCGCATGTATTGTCCTGGCTATTTATCTAATGAAAAACCCGAGATCTCGCCTCCAGACGATGGACCTTGAGGTGAGCGCCGCTGTTGTGTGATCCACAAATATTCCTGCTGACGGTGGCTAGCTCCTGAAACTATGTCTCGAAAACTGCAGACAGCAGCTAGCCCGCTGTAATTCAGATCCCCGATTCATGGAAGGTATGCCCTCAGTCCCATTCTATCTCTCAAGCCACTGGAAGCACACTAACCGTATCCCATCGTTAGGTCTAGCTGCCATGTACGACCAAATCGTGGCCCACCATCGTGTCGTTTCAACATCTGCAGAAAGAAGGCACACTCTAGCCACAACGTATCAATCAGATCAACATCCCCACAAAGCCTCGACATGGCCGCCTCGGAATCACAACCAACAACATACCGCCTCAAACATTGCTATATCCCAAAATCCATCAAATTATACAATACCCCATAGCTTCCTGACCCCTGCAACATACGACGATGCCCCCGCAATGAACAACATAGGACATGCATCATGTAGCGAAGAAGCCCATGCTGCGAGGGCACCCCTGTTTGATTATCTACCGACAACAGGCAAGGATCAGCCTCATAATCAGGGTGATGCAGGCCTTCATGATACAGGTTCCCTGATAGATCAACTGACCTCCTCTGGCGATGGCTCGAATGAGGTAGACCGACTATTTCCCTTTGAGGGATACAATGTAGAAGATTTGTGGAACTGGATGCTGTACTTTGACGGACCACAGTCTGCATAGACGAGCCTATTTGTCTTAAGGTGTTATATATAAGTTTATAGATATGATATTCTTGCTCATGGTCTGTGGACCACTGTTCATGTCTCCCAGGCTTGTATTGTAACGTTATGAGCTGGGGCGGCCTGCTCTCGAAGGTGCCTAAAGCTAAGATGAAGTTATAAGTGTGTAATTTTAAAGATATTTTGGATTAACGACGTATTGACCAAGCAGTCATGAATCTTGAACTATCAGGTGATCATCATAGTGTAATAGCAATACAGGCAGTTTCCTCTTCAAAAATGAATATCAACAGTTCATATAAAACGCGAAACTAAGAGAATTCAACAACCAATATACATTCGACCAAATTCAGAGTGGACAACGAAACTATGTACTAAAAGCCTTGCACTACGTTTACCTGCATAGTACGGGCTGCTGTATCTCTCCACAAACCTATGCTTCCTGCTTGATATACGGAATTCCAGTGAGCCGGAAGGCCCGTTCACCCAGCACCGGATCCTCAGCGGGCATCTCGCGAGCCTTAGGGCAAGGCACGCCATCACGCATGGCAATATTAGTAGGAGCGACATGCTGGGCATTGGGCCAGTGCGTAGTACCAAGACGTTCTACATATGATGTCAGTAAACCATTCCATTCCACTATTACGAGGTCCACACAAGGGGTGGAACATACTTTCAAAAGCCTCCTTCTTCCGAATCAAATCCGCCTGCGAGGCGTCGGCAACAGGCATGTAGCATGTATACACTGCCAGACGATCGTTCTTCCCTGTGGGTGGCACATTGTAATGTGGGGTTCGGCTGTCCCAGACGATCAAGTCGCCCGGTTCGACGCAGACCTTTTCCCACTCCAAGCCGTGGTCCTTGAGCCACTTCATGCCGTTCTCGGTGAACCCGAACCACTCTTTAGTCCAGGCGGGGATACGTGGCTCGTCGGCCATCTCGCGGTGGAATTGCTCAGAGAGCCTGTGGCCGCCTTTGCACACGATGAGGCCACCGTCGTCGGGTCCACCGGGGTTTAGGTTCACTAAGCCTTGAAGACCTGGAGCATGGGTAATGTTTTAGCAAGATGGACAATGATCAGTTACAGGGGGTAGGGGAGTACGTACAGCGGAAGCCTGGACATTCGGGGTCTTGGTCCTGGTGTGGCCAGGGTTTGCTGGACAATGTCAGTATTTGTTTCTCAGAGCCATGCACAGGGGGTCCTATTTACTACTTACTTTTCGGGGAAGTCACCACGCCTGAAAAAGAGCAGCACATTAGTTCCACAAGCCGAAGACGACAGTGATGGTGTTGGAACTTACCCTGGGAACTGAACATTGACCACATCGAACGATACAATCAAGTCCGAATCACCATATACCTTCTCAAAGGCCTCCACTACACCAGGCTCCGATCGGATATCCCATACCCATTTCTCATGAGTAACGCCATAGCTGAGAATCATACCTTTCTCGTTGATCACAGGCAGCATAGCCCGTTTCACGGTGGAGGGGTCATCGCGCTTGTAACCCAAGTCACTGCGAATTATTAGCATACAGGGACACAGAAGAACAGGTTCGCCTGTTATCGAGGAACATACAAGCCTTCGAGATATCCATAGAAAGAGTCAGCGTATTTCTTAGCTCGGTCTAGGGGAACGGCGCCCTTGACCACGGCGTAGCATCTCTATTGAGAGCATCGCGGAAGTCGCCGTAGTTGGTTGGCCGGCCATCAAGGGCCATTCGGCCCTTGGGCTGATCAAGGGTGATTGTCTCCTGGATAGTGGTTGTTGTGGACATGGTGTCTATTGCTTTGAATTGCAGTGATATTGTAGTTCAGGTAGGTAGCTCGGTCATCGACATAAGACTGATGATGCTTATCACAATCGCTGCATTGCAAAGCCTTTTCTACCTAACCTCTCTGGCACTTAGAGTGCTTGTCGCTAGGTGCATCTCGGCGCAGCAGGTACACCCCGAAGGTCTGCCGAACATTGAAACAACTAACCTCATGATCATCACTTTGCCTTCCTAGCAACATTCTCGGGCAGGCCCAGTGTGGACGGCCGAATTCAGCGCTTCGGCGTCCACCGAGCTCCCGCCGAGAGATGATCCCCCACGCAATTAATACTTACGCTGCTAGGGACAATCAGAGCACTATCCCTAGCATAAAGGTTCACTCTTAGTGTTTTCTTGTCAAAAGACAGTGAGTATTGTGTGATCATTGTGAAAGGTATTAGCAGAGGATGAGTCCATTCAAGATAATCATCGTGGGCGGAGGAATAGCCGGCCTGGCTGCCGTAGGTGCCTTTCTGTTTATCACACAACAGGACTAGCATGTTAACAGTTCTGTAGGCGATCGCGCTACGGGATGATGAACGCGATATAACTGTCCTGGAACAATCGTCCATAAGCCAAGAAATCGGAGCATTAATCTCACTACAGCCGAATGCCTCCAAGATCGTCGAAGACCAATGGGGACTTGGATCACGTCTCCGCGAGCAGGGCTCCATGATTGACGAAGCCTTCGAAATCTACAATATCAAGGGTGAACTGCAATCGCAGATTCTCCTCTCAGCCGTTTCATCCAAATACGGCGCCGACAGAGTCTGCTATCATCGGGCCGATCTGCACCAGGCGCTGAGAGAGAGGGCAACATCGCCTGACTACCCCGGTCGGCCGGTGGAGTTACGACTCTCGAGTAGAGTACTAGACTGTGATTGTGAGAACGGCACGGTGCAGCTTGACAATGGGGAGAGTATCCAAGGAGACCTAGTCATTGGGGCAGACGGGATCAAAAGTAGCTCCGCAAGGCCGTGCTGGGCGAGGATATGGAGGCTCGTCCAACGGGTCTATCGGCGTACCGAATGATGATTCCGACCGATGAGCTTGTCAAGGAAACGGACTTTATGCAGGTTATTGACCCTCGGAAATGTCGTACGGCCATGGTCATAGGCCAAGACCGTCGGCTCGTCATGGGCCCAGCACGAAATGGCTCTGTCTATGGTGTGGTAGCTCTCGTTCCTGACGAGAGAATGAATGAGTCTTCCAAGGACACGAGCTGGACAACAAAAGGCGACCGCGGTAAAATGCTGGATACGTTTTCTAATTTTCCGACGTGGGCCCAGAGACCGCTTCTATCTGCCAAGGAGGTTGGTCTATGGCAGCTGCGCGACCTGGATCCCTTGTCCACCTGGTGCCGCGGCCGTGTGCTGTTGATAGGTGATGCTGCACATGCGATGCTTCCGACTCAGGGACAGGGCGCAGGTCAAGCTGTTGAGGATGCCGAAGCTCTTGGTGCATTTTATAAGGACTTTGAGAAGAGACACCCCGATCGGTCCTTGAGCGACGTGCGCAAGACCAACGAGGATATCTTTAACTGCCGGTATGAGAGGCTACCACGATACAAATGTATAGTCGCCAAGCAGCGAAGCCGGGTACAGATTCGACCGAAAACCGAGTGACAATGAATCCTGCTGAGTTCATGGATTACAACTGCCTTTACGATGGTGCGATGGATTGGAATCGTCGGCGACAGGGGCAGGGCTCGGCTGCATCTGTAGCTGCATAATGAAATATGTTATTAGTACAAGCTAGTCGTTACCGTAATAATATAACGCCTTTAAGAAATACATTTCTAAACGCATATCCTCAATTCTTGACCTTCTTCTGATCAAGATGAGAAGTTTATGGTACTCTGTAACCTATTCGAGTAGTTCCCCCACTTCGCAATTTCAAAAACACTCATGTCATGCCATATCAAGACGATTAGTGTAATATATGAATACTAGTTACTCTGCTCAGGCCAAAGATAGCGTGTGAAGCTTAATGACAGTCTCTGGCCAGGGCAGATCTGTGGGAGAATTTAAGCCGGGATACTCCATGAGCAATCAGAGTAAACAGGTGGCTGGGCGGAGCTTGCAGAAAGACACCAAGTCATAAACTGCTATGAAGCTTTATCTGGCTTTAGATATACTTGCATTTGTGTAAACTTTCTATTGACTGGAAAAAGACATAACAGAAAAAAGTAAACTCCAGGTCATCACCATAAGCCATTCGCATAGTACAGTACGTATTCTGCCACCATATACCAGACATAAATGATACCATATCTCCCATCCCTCTGATAGAGTTGAAGTAGACATCAGTGATCTAATTCATTTCTCGCTAATCTCAGATAAATGGAAGGATAACATGGCTGGGATATTCTCCACCGAAATGAACAGTGTGCTTCCCTTTGTTGAGCTCATGCGCTGGACGGGGCTTGGAGAAGGGTGTGATATCTTGCGAAATGCTAGGATACTGGCCGCCAACCTAGAACAAATATGTTAGTACTTCAAGGCCAACTAAAACACGACGAAGGGGGCTATCCAACTAACCTGCAAACTAATAGACTCTCCAGCATCAAAGTCCACTCCCATTGCCCAGATACCGATCTCCAGCTTCGTCACTGTTCCTGGTTCTATCTTCTCCTGCTTCAAATGCGGGTGGAACGGGAATTGCGGGTGGATACTCTTAGTCGAGTCAATCGCACGATGAGAGGCACGGAGAATTCCAACGGGTCCTAGGTGTAGATTCAGACCTGCCTGATCCTTCTCAGGGATGTCATCAACTGATTTCACAGGGGTGGCGTGGAGCGGAAAGTTGAGGTGCATCAAGAGTTTTCCATTCTTATCTTTCTTTCGTAGGATGACGAACACCGTAAAGTCATCCTGCTCCTCGGCAGACATGTAGAGGATTGCTTTCGGCAAGCCAATCAAGCGTGATGGTTTCTCGAAGGTATAATCGAACTCGGCAATGCTGACTCTGGTTTCAGAATCATAGGAGACAGTAGAATAGTCTGTGGCCGGTGCACTCAGAAGCTGTTGGTTCCCGCCTAGATATAAGCTCCTGTACTCTGTTGACGGGACAGGGAAGTCTTCCAGAACGATGTTGTCGATGGCGTCGCGGTCACCAAATTGCAAAGCAGACCAACGAACCTTGGGAGTCTTTTCCCAGCCATTTTCGATGCCTTTCAGATAGCGATCAAAGAAGACAGTGAGTTCTTCCATGGACTCAGGTTCACTATAGAGCTCGTACCACTCCTGCTTGCTCCCCCAATGGAGCCACTTGTTGTCGTGTGGGATTTCGAGATAGCCACGAACAGAACCCATGGTATGAATTGTGCTCACGTCCGATCCACGGATATACGCTGGGCACTGAATCTTCGTCATATCCACGCGCTTGTCGGCCCAGAAAGCATTCGAGGTAGGCGACCGGCGATACATTTCCTCAAAGTCCTCCAATCCGGAATTCTCTTGCCCGCGAACGATCTTCTGCGCAATGAGATCGAAATTGCTCATAAAGAACCAGCCGCCACGGCAGAACTGCTCACGATAGAGATCACCCAGTCCTTCCCAGGGAGCAATGGCCTTCAACGACGGGGGCTGTTGGGCAGCGATAAACCACTGGGCAATCGCCAGCGCGGAGTTGCCAGCCATACCGATAGACCCATTGCACCAGTCCATGGCAGCGATCGCCTCGACTATATCGTATCCATCTTCCGCATCCTGACTACCCATCACACAAATCTGTCCATCACTATTTCCGGCGCCACGTGTGTCCACACTGACTATAGCGTAACCTTTCGGACACCATGCTTGGGGGTCCAGTCCCTCGAATTTTTCCAAGCCGCTGAGGTCAGAGCGCGGGACACAGCAGTTCCACACACACATCGGTAACATATCCAATGCACTGTATTTCTTGCCGTAGAATGACCAGCTCAGCACCGCGGGCACCTTCTCGGTTGAATCTGCTGGGCGATATATATCAACGTAAAGTCGAGCACCATCACGGACCACGATTTCAACGTCATGTTCCACGCGAATATCACTTATCAATGGCTTCGCGTTGAAGCCATTCCAGCCTTTCGGCAGGACTTCTGTTTTCCCAGGCTGGAATTCGACATAACCGTTTTCGCCGACTGTTGGTTTGCCGATTTTCTTATATGCGACTTGTACGGGAGGAGGCATGGTAGGTAATTAATTAAATAAAGTTGGAGATGGCTTCAAGATACTTCTATGAAAAACGATAGTTGGAAAGGCTTTTCTGAGGAGCTCGTAATTGAAATTATTCTCGGCATGTTTTATCCCCAAGCCTTGGAGCTATATAAAATAACCAGACATCAACAAAGTCCGCCGGAGCACCACCATAGGCTCTTTCCTTCCCCGCAGCGTTTCTTACAGACCCAGCAGATAGTCTGTGGGGGTAGAGCTATGTGTACAGAAGCGAGCTACCAAGGGACAATTGCTCGGAGCATCTAGCGTGGACTTAGCGCCCGAATGCCGTCGTGGGGTTGCGCCGAGTCGGGGCTTTCATGATATGCGTCCCACTTCGGGCCTGTTCTCATGACTCGCTGGCACTATTCCTGAGTAAGTTGTTAAGTGCGCTTTGGCCTATCATGAATCATTCTATTCATCAACTCCGTAATATCGACAGTCTCTCGTGATGGAATCATGTGGGGCCGAATTAGGGCTCCGAGCCAATACCATAACTCACTGACCAGTAATCGATTTTTGCAAGTCAATCGAGGCCAGTTAGAGATTAACTAAATTGCCCTAGTTCGGGCCAATATCCCCCGTGTGAAATTAGACTAAGTAGTGCCGTCGAAAGGCCAGACTGGTGCTGAGTGTCTAGATCCCCCGAGTGGGGTATTCGTGCTCTTGGACTTCGGGTGCCCACCGAGGCTCCGACAGACACGCTCACCAAGAACAAACGAAGAATACGATGTCTACTACGTAAAGCATACTGAACATTGCTTCTACCATGCTATTAAAGTGAACGCAACTTTAAATGTCGTCATTGAAGCTTCAAGATAGCATGCAAGATATATGTGAACATGGCTTCTTTCATCGAACAGGGTGTTAATCTGTATGTCCAACGCCGGATGTCACTAGGTGTTCCCGAACGGGTATCCCGGTTGACGGTGGTCAACAATCGAACCTTAGCCGAATGGACTATAAAGTACTGTTGGACTGTAAAAATGAAGAAGAACTTGACCATTTGAATATACAAGCTTTCTTAATTCTCTACTCGGCAAAAATTGCAACTGCTGCCAAGATGACCGTAACATCAGGCTTCGTTTCTCACCCACTCCCCATACCACACGACTCTCCCTTCCCAGTATCAAATATACCTTTCGGCATTTTCAGCACTTCAGAGGATGTAAGTAGATAAAGTAGACTACTTTATTCCACTATAGCTAATCACCTTTGCGCTATGTGCCTAGCCCACGCCACGCCCAGGAGCAGCGATTGGTGACTATGTGATTGATTTATTCCGAGTCGCAAACCGCGGCGCTCTGACCGTTGAGCAAGCCAATGGAGCAGAAAATATCTTCCGCGAGGTAAGGAATGGTAGCATGAATTTGTCCACTCCATCTCACTGAAATGTGGCCGGTAGCCGACGCTCAACCGCTTCGCAGCCCTTCCTCGTCCTGCCCGGTCCAAGATACGGAAGGACATCCAGGAGCTGATTGAAAATGCGGATTCACCATTATACAACCAAATAGAACAGCCCAAGCTACTAATTCCAAGAGCAGGGGCATCAATGCACCTCCCATTCTCCATGGGCGGTTTCACAGACTACACCTGCTCTCTAGAGCACGTCGTGAATGTAAGCAGGAATACCCTTGGAATCTTCCAGGATTCCAAACAAAAGCCCGGCTCTCCATTGCACAACTTACATCGCTAACCCGCGTCTCTCATGTGAACACAGGTTGGCCGCGTAGCAGGCTTCGGCGATGTACCCCCCAGCTTCCGCAATCAACCGTTGGCATACAACGGCCGCGCCTCATCGGTAGTCGCCAGTGGCACGCCGATACAGCGACCATACGGCGTCGGCTCTGACGGACTTTACCCCTGCCAGAAACTGGACTACGAGGTCGAACTTGGCATGTTCATCTCTACGAAGATACCCATTGGTGAACTCATTCCGGCGTCCCGCGCCCGAGACTATATATTCGGGTTCGTTCTGCTGAATGACTGGAGCGCAAGAGATGTGCAGTTCGCAGAGATGATCCCCCTGGGACCGTTCAACGGTAAGAGCTGTGGAACCAGCATCTCTACCTGGGTCGTGACGATGGATGCCCTTGAAGAAGCGGGTGCCATCGGTCCCGCCAAAGCGGATGTTGCTACCGAGGGGAAGTTCACGACGAATCCTTTCTTACAATGTGCGGAAGATGTCTCGATAGATGTCTCTACGTTCATCTCTAGTACGTATTTCCCGGTATATGAGTTCCTGGGCTATGGTGCTGATGGAAAAACACAGGAGGGGATAGCCATCGGACTCCCATCAGCAGAAGTAACTTGAAGCATACATACTGGTCACCATTCCAGATGCTTGCGCATCATACCTCGGCGGGCTGTGGTCTTGCCCCTGGGGATCTGATTGGAACAGGGACACTGTCCTCCTCTGCCAAGCAGGCAAGCGAGGATCTGGACCAAGCGTCTACGGGTCTAGGCCGGCTTGGGTGCATTCATGAACTGACAGCTGGAGGGAAGACACCAGTTCAACTTGCAAATAACATGTCACTGGGCTGGCTGGAGGACAACGATGAGATTACGATGGAGGGATGGGTAGGCGAGGGAAATTCTCGCATCGGCTTTGGTCAGGTCACCGGTAGAATTGCTCCTGTTGCGCAGGCACCGGGAATGGTTACAGCTGCTTCTACCTGAGGTGCCTCTTGAGGATGGGAAGATATAGAATCGAAAAGAGTGGTAGCTCAGAACTTAGGGAACTCTACATTGAACGAAGTGCCACAATGTGAATCCTCTACTGTTTTGAAACCTGTCCTAGTCGCAGATAGCCGAAAACTCTTGTCTCACAGCATCCCCCAAAGCCTTCACAGCCTGTTCAAATTCTTGCGCAGGAGCAGCCGCAAACGTCAACCGAAACTGCAGCTCCCCATTCGGTTTCTGATTAGCAGCAAAGAGTAATCCATTTGTAACCAGTACCCCATTCTCGATTGCATTGTTGTGAATGTTCTCAGAAATATGAGACAATAAATCTTCGCTCTCCGCTGGTTCCACCTCATTCCTGAGCAACTGATGTATGTCCCAGTTCAGGCACAGCCACAAGAGCATTCCATACTCCGGCGGGTGCCAGGTACAGATATACAAGGGTAAAAATCCGAGGTTGGTCTCCCAGTTGCAAGAGGGATGACCTTGCGTCCATGCAGTCGTGAGCCCAACTTTTTCAGGGATGAGCCAGATAAATCTTTGCTTTCAGTGCTGAAATGGTGTCGCATGGACTGCCCGGACTTGGGGTGGGTTAGATGCTGTTTTGACAGAGAAGAGGATATAAGACGGAACGGGGGTGAGGATGGTTGAGGCATGGAAAAATGGGAATAAGATCGAACCGTAGAGTAGGTCGTTAAGTAGGTCTGTCAAGGTCCAACGCCGTAGGGTATGATACCGTCAGATTTATAGTTTGGGAATTTCCCGGGTTGCGTTGCTGAAATAAAGTGCATAGCCTAAAGCAAAGAGATATTACATACGACGAGAACTACGATACAGGCATCGGTAGATAGGGGTTAATGAAACGAAGACGGGGCAGGAGCCGGACGCAGCACTCGCGTCCTCAGCAAGAGAATGCTCCATCATCCAGCAAAAGATCCGGCGAGGCTATGAAGGCGTGGGAATACACATGGGTAGCATTTGACCCCACGAAAAAGAAAGCCGCTGATCGTAAGTGACCACTGGTAGGGCAGAAGAGCATTTTGGGGCTCATCGTCGCGGTCCACACCCAGTGGTATTACGTATAGTGAGGCGCAGACTTTCCATACCTCATATCTTGACCCAATAACATGCTGGTACTTTGTCACCACTTGAGCCCGCTCGCCGGATGCCAGGATCCGCTTTCTATTTAATCAAGAGCCATTCCACCTCATAGTAGTGCGCAAGGAATAAGTTGATCTACATGCATGGGAGAGAGGAGATTGCATATGATTCATCAATTAGATATACATTAGGTACAGCCTCTCCTCTTGCAGAGGCTGTTCCCCGTATTGTAGTACTTACATGAATTAAGTGATTTACATAAAGTGTGCGATCAGTTGAGAAATAACACTTTGTGTTAAAAGACGTATTATGCACTACTAGTTGCAATCTGGAGTGGAAGGATTCCAAAGGGCAGATGACAGCGTATTAGCATAGCAGGATATTCTGAAGTGATAGCTATGGTAGTAACTATTATGAAGTAGTGTATGCATAAAGGAGACTAACAACTGCACTAGACTTAGTTCAGGAGCCTGCGCAGTAACCGGTGGGTCATTTAGTCAACAATAGGAACCTAACAACTGGACGCGCGCCATAAAGATCTACATTGAGAACAAATGAACTGAGAAGAAGAAATACGACACGTGCAGAGATAGGGCCTGGCTCAAGGAGGGGGAAACATTCGTTGCATGAGTTCCTGTACCGTCCTCGTAGTGTCAAGGCTGAGCACGAATGGAATGATGGGTCTCGACAACTGAATACGTCAATTGATCGTCCAGACTAAATCCCCGAGTTATCCTACCCATGCAATGCAAGTAGTCGGGCTAAGCAGTACTTCTCTCACGACGAAAATCACCGATCGGGGGCTAATACACAGTTCTCCATCTGGCGGAAGATTAGCGCATTGACCCAGCAACCATATGGAGCATAAGATTGTTACATGCACACTATGCAGACAGGCTTGGCCAATGAGAGACTCGCCCTAGCTCGAATCATCCGCAGAGCGATGTGTTTGGATACAATTGGTTGTTAGTCGCGCTTCAGCTGAGAAAGCTGAACATCAACTCTACGGGTTCCTACCGCGTTGTTCGCGATCGGCAATCATAGTGCATAAGGAATTTGTAAATACTTTCCGGTTCTGTGTTGGGACAGGAAAGATTGTGCGAGATGTACACTGTAGCTGGAACCCAAGTTACCCTTTTTGTTTTTCTTTGCGCTTGGACATATCAGCTCAGGGCTAGCAGGATCCCTCTACCTCCAGGACAAGTAATTAGTCCTCACCCATTCAGCCCACTGGCGATCAGCCGCATGGTTTAGGTTGCGGCCCGCTCTGAATTTGTGGTGGCGTAGGGAGGGTGATATTCTTCTTAGACGTCGCCTACCAGGAGTAGCGAGACTAGAATTTAGCTGCTGTAAATGACGGAAATCACTCCCGAGCCTAGGGATTCTTATGCAAGAATAGTAGCTATCCTTCCAGAGATGCTCCAAAGCTACATGCTTTCGAAGTTGGTTAGTATTTCCACAGTCACCATTGTGTCAACGACCACGAGTGTCTTTCTAGCGTCGGCTCACCCCATTCCAGCATCGGGACGCAGATCTTTTTCTAGATCAATCTGCAAGGCTCGGAAAGCACTGAATGGGGGTTGTACACGCATACCTACCTACATTGGTCTCCGACATCCTTCTAGTTCATCTGTTGTGGGAGTGGGACCTTCCATGGTTGGTCAGCCTAGACATGCAGGCTTTGGTTGACCTGACCCTGCAAGTTTCTATGGTGGTTGATACACTAGTAAGGTGCGCTGGGTTTCAGTGTCTGACTATGCGTCCTACAAAAACAAGCGGAAATTATATAAAGGCAAAGCACTGCGTGTATTCCAGCAGAAACCTCCACATATATTTCTTCTTCACTTGTCTCTTTCCATACTATACCCACCAAGGCCTTAAGCACTAGCTCTTTCACATTCTCAACTACAGAAACATGGCTCCCAATGTTTTCATCGCAGGGAAGGAGTACTGTGATCGTTTCAGATACCTACACTATGGCGGGCGCAAAGTCACCACCAGTAATCCTCCCGGAGGTGCGGCATTGGTTCGTGACCTTTTGTCTCAGTTAGAGCGCAGGGCTAGTAACGCTGGTTCTACAATCCAATGTCATTTTATCAAGCGTGAAAACGGCACCGCCATCCAAACAGCCCTGGAGATCGAGGAGCTGGCACCAGAACCATCATCTCGCCATCACATCAAGTCATGCCTTCAGCTAGAGTCCAGTCCGGGTGATACCCAAAATCCCTCCGATGCCAACATTGGGCAAAATGATTTGCTAGTGTTGGTGGAGCAACCTGAGGTGAACGTCTTTGGAGTCGACCCTTCGTATCGGATTTTTAAACGATCTGGAAATTTGACCGAGCAGAGCAACATGGAGTGGACTACGCTCGAGAGCTATGCCAAACTGGTTGATGGGAGGAATTGTGCTGACGATGGTTGGGACCCCTTAGGAGTGGTCATCGATGCCGAATACCTCAGGTGGAAGCACGTCGAGATCAGTCGCCATCTGTCTTGGGCACAAACCACAGAGGACTTGCTCCGAAATTTCGTCTTTAAGGAACAGGAAAAACCAGAGCTTGAGGTTCTTCGAAAAACTCCGAATCTGATTGTCCGATTTGATTGTGATGGAGTGATCCACGTTGAGAATCCCACAGAAGGGTTGGCGACAGCAAATCTCTACATTCAGAAGTCGGAGAACTCAGAAGGAGACTTCATTCAGTCCACGCCAGGACGCACACCAGCCATTGCTGCTGGATTCGTGGCAGGTCTGGTTAGACCGTTAGCTCAAAGCAAAGATGCTTACAAGGAAGCGATCCAGGCTGGATTGCTAGCCTCGCACGACGTGGCATTGGCAAAAATACTACACGTGAAAAATGGCCAAGGTGATTATTATGTGCTTGACGATAAGGTTAAAGGAGAGGATTTCCCAGGCGTCCAAGTTACTGTGCCATCCTCCGAGATCAAGAACCAGAGGGGATACCGCTGGAGTATCCTCCAAACGATACTTGAAGGACGATACCTTGAACAACCAATTAGAGAATTTGCCGAGGGAATCCTGAAAACTGGGGTAGATGATAGTAAAATCGCCCTTGACGTTTCGAACAAGCTTTCGGTGCTTCAGCCAGAGACACAAGCCAGAATCAAACGATATGTCGAGACCATTCTGCGCAAGCAGGCAGATGCCCATCTGGCAGTCTTAGCGACAAAGATTGCAGCTTCTGTGCAATCAGGGACTGCAGCTCCTGCACAATTGTCGGGGACTGCAACTTTTGCGCAATCGGAAACAAGACCTGACGTTGAAAATGTGAAACCCTATATTAAGATTGTTCAAAGTGCTCTGAGAAGCTTTCTGGAACTCCAAGCCACAGCCGACGTTGCAGTGGTACAAGACCCAATCGAGACATTTTTGCAGGAAGAATTAAGTCAGGAAGAATTAAGTCAGGAAGAATTCGTTAAAATACAAACCGAAATCAAGCCCTTTGTGAAGGCAACTGTGGAGGGTCAACAACCCGAGCTAGGTGATGCCGACCCAGACTCTAAAATCACTAAGCTGGCAGAGGAAATGGTAAAAATAAAAGAGCCCAAGGGCAAGGAAATTGAAAGGGAAACCAAGGCACTTGCAGACGAAATTGTGACGAAAGGATGCAAGACGGCGCTCGCGCGGATTCCTACTGCGCGGTTCGGAAACCTCATGACGGCAGACCGACAGGAAAAGGAAAGCTTTAGAGCGATCGCCAACTTGGTGACGGAGTACCTGCGGTCACCACAGGAGAAGCCAATTTCGATAGGCGTCTTTGGTGCACCTGGTTCAGGAAAGTCGTTCGGAATCAAGGAGGTCGTCAAAGCTGTTGCCGAACGGATAAGCAACGGGGGAAAGAAAGTCAGTAAGCCCCTGACGTTCAACCTGTCCCAGTTTCGGGAGTATCAGGATCTAGTTGTCGCGTTCCACACGGTCCGCGACAGCGGGCTGTCCAATGAAGTCCCGTTGGTGCTTTTCGACGAGTTTGATAGCGGCTTTGGCGAGACGAAACTGGGGTGGCTTCAGTACTTGCTAGCACCAATGCAAGATGGCAAGTTTTTAGAACACGGTCATCAGCGACCGCTGGGGCCGGCTATCTTCGTGTTTATCGGCGGTACATGTTCAACTTTCGAGGATTTCACCACTGATTTGGCAACCAAAGACGCAAAAGATGCGAAAAAGCCAGACTTTGTCAGCCGGTTACGGGGGTTTGTAAATATTCAGGGGTCGCATCAAAGCCCGACGGACACCGATGATATGTACCTCGTTCGCCGTGCTATCCATCTGCGGGCAATGTTACAAAACCGAGTCGGCTGCAAGGAAGACGAAGAGATCGAGCTGGATGACGGAGTGCTGAACGCACTCCTGACTGTGCCGTACTTCCGCCATGGCGCCCGGTCTCTTGAGTCCATTATCGCAATGAGCCAATTACATGGACAAAAGGTCATCAGACGCTCTGCACTGCCTTCTGCGAAGCAACTGGGTCTTCATGTCGACTATAACGCGTTTTTAGAATCTTTTGAACCCGAAAATCATCTTTCCATTGCGCGAGTTCGTGCCATTGCTCGAGTTAAGATCGCAGAAAAGATTCTGCCGGTTGGAGAGCACTCTTCCGTAAATGATGATATGCGGCGGCGGATTGCAGATCAAGTTTTGGACATGATTTATCTAAACAAGGCCTTGCTAGTTCCATGGTCAAAGACCAAAGATGCTGAGGATGAAGACAAACGCGAGGACCTAGTCAATGACTTGGCCAAGTACCGGTATTACGCCATAAGTCTCAAGGACAATACGGAAAAGTGGGAGGATGCTAGAGAGGAGAGACAGAAGCACATTGAAGCCATTAAATCGTTGTTTAGCCTTTTAAAAGGGTGTGGCTTTGCTGTTCGTAGGGGAAACTAGCCAACGCAACTGCCAATGCGTTCGAGGGGGATGTCTGCCACTACTTTCTCTAATTGTTAAGTATGTTGGATTCTAGTACAATGTATTCATTCAGGAACCCTGGTGCCTGTTTCTTGCATCGAGACAGATATGTTTAGGTAGCCTTTGAACTTTCGAGCTTTTCGATCCATTTTGGGATTTAGCCAACTCTATATGTGTACAGAAGCCACACCTGCTTAGAGCGGTTAAAAAAGGTATATTTTGTTGAATCATATGAGTTCCACTGCAAGACGATAGGTAAGTATGTGGGCAGCTCGCCTCTGCGGTAGATCACTTTTCTGACCAGGGTCATTTCAGTGCATGGTTAGACGTCAGTGTATCAATCGTGCCCTGGATATACCACAGCCTCATATGTAACAGCATTTGCCTAATACGGATAACCAGTGTGTATGAGTTTCATTGCAACCTTCGACAATACATGACGGAAGTGTTCACTGCAGGGATAATTCAAGGTAGGCCGCAAGTACTAATTCGCATCATATATTATATAAACACGTCCTCTTTGATACTTATTTTATTCCACAAAAAAGGTATAGGCGTAGTATGGCATTTGTTGGCCTTAATTTATGTATCCCTCAATTAATGGGGAGGAAACGCGTGACATGGGCTTGTTCTCCAGCTACACAACTTTGCTCTCAGACGCTATATCCGATAAGTATTTGGTATCTATATTAAGAATGCAAGGCCTGGCCCAGAACATAGGCAACGTGTCTGCAAGATCTTTGGACGTAGTGAATTAAGTTAATCTGTTATGGGTCTTGGATGTAAATATGGTCAGATGTACCTGAGTATAGGTGCACAAAGGTTCATATCATCAATGGCACGGCACGCGCATCCGAAAACCTATAGCAAGAAATAGGCAGCAATGCACAGCCACGATCTATTTCTGAGTGTCAGATAATGATATATCCGTATGACGTATTCAGAGATATATCGATGGGCTGTTGTTGGCTAGAACCCCGGTGCCTCTGAAAATTGAGTTATCTGCGACTCAGTCACACATGTAGCGCAGACTGAAGACTCCATTAACGGAGCAAATATACACCGCACTGGCTTGGTACAGGGTTAAAATGCTAACCGAGGATGAAACCAAGTCCATTAGTCATTGCCAAGTGGGTAAGAGTTAGGATGCCAAGCTGTGCATAGATTCCATGTCCAACATCAGTGGACGCAGTGCCCAATGCGACTCCACTACAAGAAAGTTGCGAAAGAGATCGCTCAATTCTCATGGATTCCTTGGTTAATGTCAAGAATATTACTTCGCAGACATGAAAACTTAATCCAGAACGAATTGCCGAGTAAAGCGAGCATTTCTAGATCCAATAATAGGAAGCTCGGGTGTAAGTGTGGAGCAAGGGGGCGTTATTACGCTGATCGATGGAGCTATTGAAACTTCGAGAATGCGTGGAGTCGTGGACTGAGAAAGATCAGGAAACTCACTCCACAGTACCACGTTGCGATTGTCTGAATTGGGTATTGAAGTGTATCTCCTCTCTCTGCTAGTCTGGTGCTATCGTGTAGTTCTCTCCTGACTGAGCGTAGTGATAGGACTCAGTGTGAAGTTAGATTGACAAGGCCCCACTGCGAGGACGGGCACGGTAGAGTCTCAGACTATCAGTGGCCGGTGGCGTTCATAAACTCCGCAAGATTAAGTGATGACAATATCCACGCGGCGTCGGTGATATCACAAAGATTCCCCGATGGCCCCATCATCCATGATTCTCCAGCGGCGTTCAGCCACTGGTAGTGTCCGTTACGCCTTGGCTTTCTGTTGCATGTAACCCTAAAAGCATGCCGGCGTTCGCAACCAGCGCCAGTCAAGCTGATTCTATCAACCGAGCAATTGCCGGCAGTCGGCACCCATACGCATTCGGGGTGGGGAAGAAAGCATGCCAAGATGGCTAAATCTTCAGCAGACCACTCATGGTAGAATGTCTCCCAGAGCTCGTCTATCTAACGACCCACTGTGGGTTATCTTGGCAAAGCCCGGAGAACGGCACAAAGGTCGAGTTACCTTCCTTGACCAGAGTGCCTTAACTCCGCCGCAGATTCGGAACCTGAAACCACGTTGTGTGATGCGTGAACGGGGCATCTTGGCAATTTTATCTGGGTCTTGTGTTCGAAACCATTGTTTCTCCTGAATGCTGAACAGGGGAGATACGATTACGATTGCGTACCTCACTCTGGAGCATGGACGCACTTCATAGGGAGGGGGTTCATATACCCCCCACGACCCGCGTCCATCCCTTTTGCTCTTGCCCTAGACACTTTGCACCTCATCCGTCATGTCCCAATGTCCTCTTGGACTTGGCCTTTGAAAAATGCCCGTCGCTCGCGGTTGAGCCTCATCACCGGCCGCCATCTTGCTACGGTTGGCGTGGTCATCAGCTTTCTCTACATCCTTTATGTCTTCGCGGTCCCGCAACTTTTACGATTTCGCTTCCGCACGGATCTGAGTCAATATGACCTAGGTCTGTATGGGTTTGGCCCTTCTACCGGCTACGTTTCCTTTGACTACGAATCGCCAATTGTCGAAATCACGGAATCGGATTCAGCATGTGACCCGCGATACACTTTTCTTGCGCCGCGCGGTGATTCCGTGCCCCAAGCAGGTCCAATGATTCTCGATGCTCAGGGCAATCTAGTTTGGATGAAGTATAACTGGGACACCACCCAGGATTTTAAAGTCCAGCGATATAAGGGTGAAGATTTCATAACCTACTGGGAAGGTCACGAGATCGAGAGTCGCGGCTATGGATCGTGGTATATGGTATGTTATATCCCACAAGGGAGGATATGTGCGCGACTGACCATGCTAAGCTTGATTCGTCCTACACCCAACGATACGTGATTAACCCCGTCGGCAATTACGGTGGTGACCTGCACGAATTCACGATAACCGACGAGGGCACGGCCCTGGTGACTATCTACGACCCAACGCCAGTGGATCTAACACCTGTCGGAGGTCCGGAACTAGGCTGGATATTCGACGGCGTGTTCCAGGAGATCGATATCGAGACCGGTGAATTGCTGTTCGAGTGGCGCGCCTCAAAACACTATCCTGTCGACAGCACGTACGAGCCCCTGGGCAAGGCGGGCAAAGATCGCACATCAGCCTTTGACTACTTCCACATCAACAGCGTCGAGAAAGATGACCAAGGGAATTACCTTGTGTCTTCCCGGCACTTGCATTCGGTCGGCTGCATTGACTCCAAGACGGGATCTTTATTGTGGACCCTAGGGGGCAAAATGAATGGTTTCACCGACCTCTCCGATGGCGAAGCAACGAATTTCGCTTGGCAACATGATGCGCGCTGGCACGCGAACAACACTTTGACGCTGTTTGACAACGCGGTCCACTCAAAAAATGACCCAGAGAATGAGAGTCGTGGGGTGGCTATTCAACTAGATATTGCCTCCAAGCAGGCAAGACTGCTGGCCGCTTACTACCATCCCCAACAGATGGCGTCCGTATCCCAAGGCAATGTACAGATGCTGGATGATACTGGCCGTGTTCTAGTTGGCTGGGGCCACAGCGCCGCCTATAGCGAATTCAGCGCCGATGGAGAACTGCTGTGCAATGTCCATTTCGGCGCATCAGCCTTCTTCGCCTTTGGGCGTGTTGTCTCTTACCGTGCCTTCAAGGGTGACTGGGTGGGACTCCCTCAGACGACCCCGGATGCTGAGGTCAACGGTGATAAAGTGTACGTGAGCTGGAACGGCGCAACGGAAGTTACGTCGTGGAGATTGGAGGTGTGGAACTCTGACGATTTGACCGAATTCTCGTTTGGTGTAGTGGCGCAATTCGAAAAGATCGGGTTTGAGACGGAAATCGACATCCCTGAGGACCTTGGTCCTTTATTCCGGCTTGCAGCTCTAGACGCAGAAGGGAATGTTCTTGGTGTCACCGACGTGCTCCAGAAAGAGCAAAAGTCAAGATTTGACACGTTTCTCGATCTGCACAATTGGATTCTGGGCTTCGCTATGGTGGTAAGTATCGGTGGGCTGCTTGCTGGTCTGTATCGGTGCTGCTGCTGTTGCAAACTCTTCAAGCTATATCGATCTCGCTCTAACGATTACCAATTGGTGGCCATAAACGAAAATGGTCAACATCCGCCGGTTTGAGTGAACATAGCTCTTTCACTCGCCATGTATGAATATTTGCCTTGGGCGCTAGGCAGCCCATGAACAGTCCTACCGGTCTCTTCCTTCTTGTACATAGTTACTACTCGTATATACCCCGAACAGATCATGGAATTCTTTCAAAGTTTTCGAAACATTCTTGATTTTTCTCCTCGCCGCTCTCTGAATTCCTGTATACAACATCAAGAATACACAAGTTTAATAAATCATAGCCATCCTATTATAATCTTATGTAGTTCTAATAGACACCTGCATTTAATAGGGCCTCTCGTGGAAGATGCTTCATAGATACTACAACTATCCCGTAGTGGCTTACTAAAGAGGCAAAAGAAAGTACCTGACACTACCAATATCATATGACTGCATGGCAGCTATGAATGACTTGTGGGATATTGTGTTCCAGAAAGGAAAAGAGACACCTGGATCAACACATGTTTCCAATGAATAAGGTCTGGTACTGGAAGATCGTTACTCCGCTACATCATGATTATGCAATCCCAACTTTATATCAACAGACTTGGCCACTATCCATCTATATAAGTGGATCTCAAACGCACACCCCAGATCACGCGTTATTAAATTCCACTGATGAATCCTGACCAATGTAACCTACTTTGAACCAGAACAGATCATTTACTTTGTCCTCTCGCGATGTCTTTCCATGAGACCGCCTGCGATATTCACCTAGACCACGAGCGTGGAAAAAGGAGAACTTCCCTAGTCGCTATCTGCAATAACGAGGAAGGATCAGTCTAACCAGCGACATCTTACTCGATGACTTCCTTGGTAACGATAACGGTAAGGTCTCTTTTCTTCTCCATTAGACTTTTGACGCGTGGTAATCTCTACCTCTACTAGGACATTTCGTCTGGGGCGGAAAGAACGTTACCAAAACAAGTCGAAATCTCTCGATAACCAGAGAAGGGTCATCTCGAGTGCCCATCCTGCATGCCGATCTTCTAAACGATTCAGGTGAATATGTATCTGCTCACTGCCCGCTCGATGAGCATATTTTCAACATCAATGGCGAGCTCTTGTTTAAGCCGGATGAGGCTAGGGAATAGTATATGTTTCAGGTGAAAATAGGAGCCTTGAATTTGAATAGCAGGTTTTATGGTTATGAATTGATGTTACTATGCTGGACGCTGTACTAGATTGGTATGAGGGAGAATGATACCCTGTTGACTGACATTTAATGCCGCTTGCAATAGCAGAGCTCTCTCACAGAAAGACATAGTCAATGGTTTTAATATAGCGTCTTCTGCAGCGAAGACAGCCAGGGCAATCGTCCTGTAAAAATCCAAGGAATTCCATCTCGGAGAGGAGCCAAACTAACTTTATGTATTGTGATCCTCCTGAAGGAAGTCCTTGCATAGAGTAAATATTTACCTACTCAACCTGCTTCTGCTTGACTAGGTGTGATCCATGTGCACGCAATATCCTGCACGCCCTCACACCAAGGCCGACCTGATCAGCCGAGTGATGTGTTTCCCATAACCTTCATGACTCCAATACTCATCTCGAGCCGTGGGTAAGCTCGACGATCTTTTGAGCAGCTGCATCGAAATCGGCCTCTAAAAGTATATTATCTAGGCCCGATTCTTGAATCTATATATACCATTAGTGAATAGCAAATAGAAAGAGGTACGAGATGTGGACTTGCCAATTTAACGCCTTTCTCGTAGTTTGTACCCTGTAGTCGAAGGACAACTGGAATCCTGAACCCTCCCATCGCAGCAGCAGCAGCCAGGATCGACTCAGCAATCATATCGCACCGAACAATCCCTAGTACCGGTCCGATTAGCGACGAACTCTCTGAGGTCAAGACATACTCACCGCCATATATATTTATGAACAGCCCTTTCGTGCGGGAATCCCCCTGCAGGATCGAAAATGCCTTCGACAGTGTCTCTTTAGTGGCGCCCCCACCAATATCTAAGAAGTTCGCACAGTTCCCGCCGTACAAGGTGACCAAGTCATTAGTTGCCATCGCTAAACCAGCGCCGTTAACAATAACCCCGATGTTACCGTCCAACCGGATGTAGGAAAGACCCAATTTCGAAGCTTCATATTCATCTTTCTCCTCCGGCAAGTGTTCCTCAAGACTAACCAGCTCTGGCTGTCGGAACTTCGCCGAGTCATCGAAGTTGAACTTTGCATCAAGACACATCAAGGACCCTTCCGTTGTCCGCACGAGGGGGTTCAGTTCGAGGAGAGTCGCGTCTTTTTCCCGGAACAATGTTACTAGCTGACGCAAGATGTGTGTGACCACGCGCATATCGTCGTCAGAAAATCCAAATTGTGCTTCAATATAGGCCGCGATTTCAGGAGTGATTCCGGTCGAGAGATGGAACCAAAACCGCTGGAGCTGGTTCACGTTCGACTCTATATTGACACCTCCATCGTCTGACATGAGGAGGACAGGCATGTACCGCTGGCGATCGAAGGTGATAGCCACGTAGAACTCCTGCGCAATATCGACCGATTTGTAGATGTATAGCTTGTGTACTGGAATACCGCTGGAGGTAGTTTGCTTCGTGACGAGAGAATAACCGAGCATCTTGGATGCGTTTTCAAAAGCCTCGTCCGCCCTTGGGTTGTGTCAGAGCTACAAAAGTATCCCTGGATTCGTAGGAACCTACGAGTCAACAATGCGAACACCACCTTTCCCATCACTGCTATACTTGCCCTTGCCTCGTCCACCGGCGAGTATCTGAGCCTTCAGGACTGACGGAGCCCCTGATGTTGTTGTCTTAGCATTGAACAATGGTCCCGGTATTCCTCCCAACATTCAAACGGCATCGCCAAACCAGGAACTTACCAATCTTGTATACGACATCCCGAGCTGCCTCAGGACTGTGCACTACAAACCCATGGGGAACTGGAATCTCGAACTGGGAAGGGTCTTAACAACTTCATGCTCCTACAGTGGCACACTGCCTTACCTGTTTCAAGAGTTGATGCGAGTGGTGTTCTAGGAGGCTGAACTGGCGCGCATGTTTTCTGAACGGACCATGATGCTGTTTAGCGATTAGCTCCCCGATCATTCAGCCCTAGTCCTACAAGGATAACATGCCTCTCGTACGAGAGAGAAAAGGGACCGCCAGCGCATCATCTTGAATTGTTCCAGTTGGTTTCTAATAACATATCTTCCTGAGTCTCTCCAAGTCCTACCCAGCGGGGTGAGACGACATTAAGATGACTGGGAATAATTTTTAACTTCATAATGACATCAGCACTATCACTTCTTCTCCGAGTGGTGCGGAGTGTTTCCCAGAGTCCGGGACTTGAAAGCTTAAGGTTGGGGTTCCGAGGCGGTTGAACCCTATGTCATCGGGAATACCCGCCCACGGCGATAGCCGCCTATCTTGAAAAGGGAGGCATAGAAGTGATAAAGTACTATTCATTTTTTATATAGAAAGAGAGATGAACGCCATCTTATGTCACGTGCATTCATTGGAGGCCTTACGGATAGCGTGTCATCGTGGGGGCGAAACCCACAGCCTCACCGAAGTTGAAGCTGCCAGAAACAAATCTCAACCCTCATAGGTGATAACAACGAAACCAGTTATTGTCCTGTCTTCCTTTTTCCTTTTACAGTGGTGCAAGTGAATCAACAAAATACGCACTGACTCGATACTCTATCTAACCACAATGCTGTCACGGCTCACCACCCTCTCGAGATACCTGCTCTCTTCTGTCGTGCTACTTGGTGCCTTCTCGCGCTTCACGCATGGCGAGTATACCCCGGGATGGTACGAATTCCAGGAGTATCATGCCCCAGATGACGGATCCACTGTTGCATTGATCACTCCAATTATGGACGCAATCTTTGGTGTCACGCTACTATTCGGGAATAAGAGGTCCCAATATGCCGCCGCAGCTGTAAGCCTTATGTTTTTCACCATAGGGCTGGCCATGCAGGTACTGGCAGGGAAAGACTACAAGGGCGACGTGGCGTTGGTCATGCTTGCGGTGGTAGCGGTTGTGGGTTGTCTCCGGAAGTTGGCCTAGGAAGCAATCTTAGAATACGTATGGTAGCTATTGCAAGCTATTAGTGGATTTCTTTTGCTGTATGGTTCGCACTACGCAATCCATCAGAGTCGTCAACGTCAAGGAAGTCACATATATTAAAGCGGACAACACGGCTCTACTGAACTGTTCTTGGGGAATGGAGGACGTAAAGAAATGGATCCTTCGAGATACATTTCATATATATGGCCCTCGACAATCTGTACCTTATTTCTTATAAAACACCAGCCAAGCCTATCCCTAACCCGGTAATTTCCGGGGGTAGATTTAGAAAATAGAATCTACTCTAAATTCTAAATCTTAGAACTAAAATTTCTAAATATAAAATTAACTATATTTATCCGGTTCATTACCGCTCAGGCGACTTACGATCTTCAATTGTGTTCCTGTTTTGCCAATCCAAGGTCAAATCGACTCAAGACTAGGCGGAGCAAACTCTGTCTTCGCCTTCAACTGTTTCTTCCCAATCAGGCGCGATGCCTTGACCCGAGGCTAGTTTTGTCACTTGGAATGACCTTGGTGGTTCAAGCTATTGCGTTTCTTTGCGCACCGCGGTCCGGTAAATCGAATGGCCATGCGCGAGAGAGCTCCAGCTCTTCTTTCTCGTTGCGCGCATGCGCCCGCACAAAGTCATCTCTCGCCTTTGGGAGAATTCGTTCGAGCTCCGCGAATTGCGCGTGGCTCACTAATCCCCGCCCCTGGAAATACTGGCTACCGATCATGCGCTGCACGTCTCCCATCAGCGCCATTGCTGCCGAAGCGCCTGCGCTATCAGATTTGATCTTCCGGAGAACATCGTGCGAGAACGTAAGCGGTGCCTTTGTTCCAGTCCTCAATATCCTCGGGACACCAGCCCAATTCTCCTCTTGCTGCTTGGCTAGGAGTCCGAGGTAGGTAGCCTCGCCGTCGACAAGAAGGTTCCGTGCGAACAGAAGTAAGTCAAAGCAGTTTGTCTGCCGGAACTCAAGAGCCTTGAACAATCGAGGAATTCTTTTGTGAAGTAGGTATCTGTAAAGCGCGAGCAGAGACATGCTAGTAAACAAGGACTCCGCTTTGCGGGTTGCGATTGCTTGGTCGTGTTCATCCTGGAACAGCGCTTTGACGTCGGCGAGCTCCGGTCGGTCGAGGAGGCCTTCGAGTGGTGGGCCATTGTAGTCTAGGATATACGGCTCGATGGTGTGATGGTATAGCGGGGCGAGTTCTGTCGATTGCCAATCAATGAAGGCGCATATCTCTGATGGATCCTCTGGATTGACAAAGACATTCTCGATATGCAAGTCGTCATGCCAGATACAGGACGCTGATATGTCGTCGTCCTCGGGTAGTAAGAGATTGACCACTTTGAGGTAGCTCTCGATCGCGAAAAGCTTTGTCTCGCGCGACGGCTGGTACGTCCCCGAATAGTGAATAGCAATGGGCGATCGTGGTAATTGCTCCATACTTTTGATACAATAAGCTTCGCGCTCTCCAGTCGCTCGTTCATAAGCGTCTACGGTATCCCAGGGGCCTCGGTCAAAATCAAGCTTTGCCCTGCCATCATCGATATTCTGCCGACTCACCGAAGGCCCAACACCGAACCTCTCATCGACGGCGTGATTCCCATCTTTATCGGTGTACCGGAGGTTGGGACTTGACTGGTCGAGGTCACTTCGGTAGTACAGACTCCCATACTGCGAAAAGCAAACCTGGGACCAGAGCTTCTGGTAGGAGGCGACTTTTTCAAGAACCTTGAACTTGACCGGCGCGCCAAGTTTGTCCCACAGGCTACTCAGTGGTACGCCGCGTGCATTCTCCATGAGGATGTACTCCGCCGCAACAGGATTGTCGGTCGAAGAACTCCACGAAAGAACTTTTGGAACTGGCGTACCGAGGACGTTGCTCATCTATCTAATGTTAACCCTTCGTGAATAGCCACGGCAAAGAAGGGAAGATATGCATACGAAGTCCATCGTAGCGACTTCAGAGGCAGTGGTGAAGTGCGGAAGCCCAGCATTCGGATTCGGAACTTTGCCCACTGCTTGAAACCCGTTGTCCATTGTGAAGCGTATAGCCTTATTGTGCATTCCGTCTGCCATTTTTTCAATGCTGATGCACGTTCGCGGCCCATTACTTGCCGCCTCTGCAGCCCGAACAGCTAGGCGGGCGAGCTCATCAACGTCAAAACGGACGTGTCTCTTCGCCAATTCACTGGCTTCGTCAGTGAGGAATCGGCCGCGAGTGAATCGAAAAAGGGTTTCATCGTGTGCTGTACGCTCACATGGTGAAGGGGGTTTAATGGTCGTAAGCTGGCGGACTTGGGCGGGCCGCCTGATGGGGACGCAGAGCCAATATGCATCACACAGGTGCGCGGACCTTAAGAGTGGGTTCCATCTCAATCTGAGAATCTTTGGGCCAACCATCTAGTCTGAATAGGGACAGATTTGAGACCAAGACTCTCGAGTTGAGACTTCCACAAGATTGCTCAGCAACCTGGCGTTACTCCTTGATTCATGATTTGCCCAATGGGATCACTGCTTTTTCCTGACTCATGTCTAGAATGGCTTAACTAGCTATAATCTAACTTAGCCAGTCTCGGATGAATTAAAATATAAAATTCCTTAACTAATATAGATATAATTGAATTAAAATCAATTAATCTTTTAACGATAGTTAACTATACACTAAAATAACCTAACCTGGCCAAACACCAGTCTAATGCCCACTCTAATCTGACATTTGGATACTGATGGATGCTCGCTGGTATCGCCCAAAGGGGAATAGTTGGATCCAACGAGTGAGAGGAATAATCCAGCAGTGTTCGCCGAAAGAAAGATACATGTGTATTGTGGAGAGCTGAATGACGAGTAAATTAACGTGTCTCGGCTTTCGATCGCGAAATACACGTAAGGCTGAGCTATGTTTATGATCTAACTACAACTGAAGCCATTGGTCCGTCTCTGCAGACTCCAATACTCCAAACCCTACCAATCTCCCCAGACGAGCTAGCTGAGCCTTGAACCAGGCCTTCGGCTGAGAATCCACATACTTAAGGCCTGACACAATGGTGAGCGGCCAGACAACCAGACTAGCGTCCGCTGGTTTAATTTCTTCCTTTAGATTCAGTGTGATGGATACACCAGGAGATGCTGATGAAAGCGTGTTCTCGACTAATTTGAATCTTTGAAGCGCAAAGGGTACAATTGCCGCCAGAGCTTCAGATACAGACTGTATATCGGAAAGAAGCTTTTCCTTCAGGGATGAATTATCTGGATTATGGAGGGCGAGGATTCTTAACCGCGTACTCTTGATAAGCATTCTTGTAGCATTGTATTGACCCCAAAAAGCTGCATATGCTGGACTGGGATAGCTGTATAGTGTGGGGGCATAGAAATTTGCAGATGGCCAAGACGGCAGGTCCGCGTTTGATAGCGTATGTTCTTGAACCTGGTGCCATGCATCAGGGACATGGGAAATGCACGTCTCTAAGTCTAGATCGAGGGTGCGCGACTCTTCATCAAGCTGTTCGAGTATGGAAATTAACTCGGTTTTTTGACATGCACCCCGAGCGGTAATCTCGTTGATGAGAGTGAACAACCGATGGCGGAGGTTCAGGAGGCCTGTGATAATTCGGTCGTATTCAAGTTCAAGGCCATGCTCAGTGAAGAAAGTACCATCATGCACCCAACGTGGCAGTGCTAGATTTCGCATGAGGGCCGATCTGAGTAGACCCCGTCTAGTATGCTTAATAACATTCGTCGCGGGCCGATCGGCGCTTAACTGGTCATTCCACACCTTCAAGATTGCCCACGCTCCATCATGATGTGAGAAGCTCGGTGAGGCATGTATAAATGGGTACTTGGTCGGTGGGTGGTATACCGAGTCCTCGTAGCGACCCATAAAGAAGACCGCAAGCAGACACGAGTCAACATTCTCGGGTGTCAGATAATGTATCGCAGTTTGCGCTACCTGCAGAAGTCGATGATACGTGGCAGACGCCACTACAGTAGCGCGAGGGTAATTTTGGGTCCTCGAAAATATAGCTAGAGCCAAAGAGGATACCGCTAGGTCGAGGATTGAACACCACGGTGCTGACGGAAGCACGGCTATACATCCTCTAGTGACATCCTTGACAATATCGGGAACATTATGCGGCGCCTGCAGATAGTTATGCATAAAGTATGCAACTGCGTATGTTTTTAGATCGGCAGGCTTGTAAGACACAGTTAGATTCATTTTCATCGAGCGAGGCCCTCTAGGGCGCTTCTCCTGGCGGCTTGCATAAGCATTCTCCGTATGCCAGACTTGGTGATCCCGCATGCCATAGCATGTTCGCCGGGATTTTATGCATCGTTGACAGATTGGTTGGGCCTTATCACACTATGAGCAGCGTCAGCTGAAGCCCTGGCGGAGTGGATGGCCTCCATGCTAGCAGTACGTATTTACCTTGATTCGTCGATCTCTACATGTTTGGCATCCGCCACCGGGAAACGGCATTGTGCTGGGATGTAACTGGTCTGGACGGGGAAGATCTGGATACACAGGCGTTAACTTTGAAGACCTGTATCTCAAGTTCAATAAATGCTCGATACGCTCTGACCACACTAGTAAGTAAGTTAGAGTGTCATCTATTCTGGATTGCCCCAGCTGGATGTCAGCACTGCTCGCGGGTTTCGCCCGATACGGTTTAGCTCCGAGGGCTATCACCATCGCTTATAAACATCGATGTCAGATCTACAAGCCAAATATCACAGATAGATTTGTAACCACTCAATCAATATTACAAATGTAAACCTTCTTCCTGATTCTACCTTCCCATCCCAAAGCTATATATCACTACCCAAGCACCCCCATCATCCCAGCCCACCAACACAAATACCCTCAAACACCAGACACCAGACACCAAACACCAAACAAGCCTCCATCCCACCACATAAGCAACCTCCCACACCCAAACCAAACCAAGATGTCCACCTTCCTACCCCTAAAGCTCTACGGAGACCGCCCAGGCCCCAACCCCGTAAAAGTGCTCATCCTCCTCAACGAGCTCTCACTCCCCTACACAATTGAAACCGTCCCCTTCAGCGAAGTCAAATCCCCGCCCTACCTATCCGTCAACCCCAACGGCCGCCTCCCAACCCTCCACGACCCGAACACAGGCCTCACGATCTGGGAATCCGGCGCCATAATCGAGTACCTCGTCGACCGGTACGACACCTCGCGCCGCCTCAGCTTCGAGCCGGGGACGCACGACTTCTACCTCGCGAAGCAGTGGCTGCATTTCCAGATGTCCGGGCAGGGCCCGTACTACGGGCAGATGGTGTGGTTTAAGAAGTACCATGCGGAGCAGCTTCCCAGTGCCGTGGAGCGGTATGTCAAGGAGGTGAATCGCGTTACGGGGGTTCTGGAGGGGTGGTTGGAGAAGCAGGCTGGGAGTGAGAGTGAAGGGGATGGACCGTGGCTTGTTGGGGGAAAGTTGTCGTATGTGGATTTGGCGTTTGTGCCGTGGCAGAGGATCCCTGGTGCGGTTGTTGGTGTGGAGGATTTTGATCTGGAGAAGTTTCCGTTTGTGAAGGGGTGGTTGGGCAGGATGTTGGAGAGGGAGGCGGTTAGGGTTGCGGTGGAGGACGAGAAGAAGTGAGTTGACTTGCTTGGGGTGTGGATACAGGTAGTTCTTCTCTGTCGTGTTATGCATGTTATGAATCATCATATCTTCCTGCTTGTTAACTCGTTGGCCGGGCGGTCTACGTAGAATTCTAGTAATGTTGCTATAGGAGCATGCGAGATACACTCTTATGTATCAGCTAGTAGCCTCATTTGGCGGAGCTCAAATATGCGGGCAACCATGGCGGGGAAATCAATGCTGTCGGAAGAATTTACGGGAGTAAGATACACCATAAGGAACAGGGAATTCTAAGGATCCCAAACTTCTATATAAAGGAAGTATACAATCGTAAGGTGTGGGTGGTACTCACCCAGGTCCGCTCAATCTGGCCTGGGCGTTTTCCAGGGAGCTTCAGGTTACCTTGTATTTGAATATATGCTACAGGACACAGCAAGCATCTTGGTGACAAGGAAGGTTCCTGAAATAGAATGTCTTACAAGCACTACATCTAGGTGATATAACACCTTCCTTCATATTTCTGTACTCCAGGTAGAATCGCGACTTTGAGTCTTGTTATATCGAATATAATATGCGCACAAGCTATATATCCCATCTTAAATCAGTTTAATTCGCTCAGGGTCTCGATGGAAAGGATAATGGCCACTGTAATTTTGCTCTCCGCGGCTTATCTTTGAATAGCAATTGATCCCAATCCGTTGGAATACTCCTTCCCTCCCAGCCACTTTTCTCATAACCAAGAAGCCAGCTATACAGTCTTTCCTGAACAGTTCTCCCAGCCAAACTTTTTGGCCCTCTAGTTCTTTCGTGTCATCCTCGACATCGATAACGGCACAGCAATCACCCGCCTGGCCAGGCTTAGAATGGTATAGGAGCTCTACCTTTTTCGGATTAGACCCACTCAATATGAGTTCAGCTTCACAAATTCGCAGTCGCAGGTAAATGAAGCCTTCTTGAATTGGCCCCATGGGTCGTGAGTTGCAGGGACAGTTCCTGCGTCAAGTGCGCAAGCCTTATGCTCAGCGCCTTTGAAATACCTCCCCCGGTCTATCATGACAGCACCACCATGAATAGATGCCCACGAAAAGCTCGGAGCAACGTATTGCTGATATCGAAAGTACCTACCGAACTCGCCCGTCGACCAGGCCAGCTCGGAAATCAGATTTTTCGACCATAAGCCGGCCAGGTAATCGCCAAATATCTGCCGCGGCATTCGTTGAACCAGACTGGACAACGCTGCTAGTCGGTCCGTTGGGACTGTGAGATCGGCTGTACAGTAAATATTGACAATGCTGTCCCAAGCGTACCGATAATCGTTCCCATTTAACTCCTGCCCATGCGCTGATATATGGAAAGCATCGCCCAGAAGACTCTTAGGTTCATGCATGTTCCCTCCATCAGTAATCCCTAAAGACAGTTTTTGACACTCACAGTGCCTGCGGGTAAAGCATTCAAAGCTAACCTCCCATGGCCGAAAATGGAGGATGCGGGGCGAAAGAAGACGCTCTTGTACACACCATCCCCTTCTCATCAAGGATGGGCCGTTATCCAAATCATGAAGATCGCTTCCCCGGTACCCCCTGTATATAATAAACGCGGAAAACTGGTCTCCATTGCCATCAGGCAGGCCCACTTCGCGGACACTCTTTCTCTCGAGAAAGCAGCCATCGGTTGGCGAGCTATCTAGGCCACTATGGGCAGCAATAGTGATATATGCCCCTTCAAATATATCACCCATTTGGGATGCTTGCTGTGCCCAATCGTCAGGGTCATCTTGGATGATACAGAAGGTGTCGATCCATAGATACCGCACCCCGAGCCATCGGGTAACCTTGATTGTATCATGGAAAGTTTGAGAAAGCCCCTGCTGCGGTATAAACCGCTTTCGAGATTCATAGTTTTCCTTGAGTGTCATGGATTTCCTAGCTTCCGAGAAATGCCAGTTATGACTAAGGGCAATATATGGAGCTATCTGATTTACATCGTCCCGGAGGCACATGACTGCTTTATCATCTTCCCCGAGGTCAATCAGCCGTGTAGGCATGGCAGACGGTCTCTGGCATTTCGGGTGATTCTCAAGGCACTCCTGCACCCACGAAAGATACCAATCTCGATGTTCATCAGTGAGAACATATCTAGGAGATGACGATATTTTCGCTATCATTTTCCAAGGGTTTCGGTGGTCTTGGATCCATCAGAAATGGCACATATAAAAGAAATACATTCTGAACAGGCAAGTATCACGGGCTTACCATCAACAGCGAGTATCTGGAAATCCCCCCAATTTCGAGCACAACGTGGTCGTGCGAGTGGCGCACGTAAGGAACAATTCATCGCTTGCCCTGGAGCGGATCTCACTATAATATACATCCGGTTTTCGTCCTTCAATGCATTGGGCGTGAATTCCAGACACTGAAGATATCCTTGATATAGTAGCATACACCCATTACAGCCGTTGGATGCTTGGTTGCGGGCCTCAGTGACTTTTACCTCAATTGAAAAGCCAGCCTCACCCGCTGCATTGATTGGTATCTTCCTATGATAGCCGACATTCCATAGACGGCTGTGAGAGTCGCGCTTGGTATTTTCTTCCAGTTCTGGCTGAAAGTTATGGCAGACAGGACAGTCTTCCAACACGCTAGGATTCATGATTTGATCGTTGAGGTGGTGGAGGATATGGGTTTCTGATTTCCTCTCTTGATATTCGATGCATTGTTCGTATCGACTAGGGTGAGGGGCGCAAGGTGTGGCACTAAATGATTGGTTCAACTCCAAACGAGGCTGAATCTGAAGGGTTTAAGATGTTGGCTTGTATGCATGCTTCTGTCCAGCTTTGATGTATATTCTAACATGTCTCCAAATAATGGACCCGCTACATAGCTCAATACCGCTCTCAGTTTGACCTGGCCTGGGAACTTCTTTGTTTATTTTAATTAATCAAGAATATTGGTACGATTATCAAGATTCTCATAAAAAGATAGGACGGTACGGTGAACGAGCTCTGTGCAACTAAGTCCGTATCCTATAAACACATCAAACACCCCTTACTGAGTTATCTTCAGGATTATGCAAAATGGATGGAGATCTGGAAGGATTTTATAACGCATGAGGATATGATTGGAGGTCACCTGCAGGGTCCAGGCACCGAGGCCAGCCATGCTCGGTTATCCGCGGAGGCGGCGCGGAAGGAATCCCCGCATGATGACATTCTGGGGAATGGAATATAAATCAAGGGGAACGACAAAGATCCCTTCTGCGAGCATTTCCGTGACCGACTTCTATTACCTACACTCTCCGCTCCTCTACCCTACCCTCCTCAACCCACACAATGGCGTCCCTCCGCTTACCCCGACTAATACGCCCGTCCGGTCGTCGACTATACTCGGCTGCGGCGTCGCCATCGTCACGACTGAACCTGCCCATTGACTACAAATCCACTCCGCTCCTCCATCACACATCGTCCACGATCTCCGAAAGCCTCGAACTCCCCGGCTCGGCAACCTCGAAATCCATGAACCTCTACCAAGCCATCAATTCCGCCCTACGCACAGCACTCAGCAAGTCCGAGAAGGTGATGCTTTTCGGCGAAGATGTCGCCTTCGGAGGTGTCTTTCGCTGCTCGATGGATCTACAAACAGAATTCGGGTCGGAACGTGTATTCAACACCCCATTGACCGAGCAAGGAATCGTCGGATTTGCCATTGGCGCCGCAGCGCAGGGCATGAAGCCGGTGGCGGAGATCCAGTTCGCGGATTATGTCTTCCCAGCTTTCGATCAGATTGTCAACGAAGCCGCGAAATTCAGATACCGTGAAGGTGCCACGGGGGTCCATGCTGGTGGCATGGTGGTGCGGATGCCATGTGGTGCGGTTGGACACGGCGCTTTGTATGGCCCCACCCAATGAGTGCACTTGAATCGCTATACTGACCTTAGCCCCAACCAGATATCACTCACAGTCGCCCGAGGCGCTTTTCGCACACGTCCCGGGTGTCCAGGTTGTTGTTCCACGTTCGCCATCGCAAGCGAAGGGCCTTCTCTTGTCTTCCATTTTTGAGAGTAATAACCCCGTCATCTTCATGGAGCCGAAGTGTTTGTACCGGGCGGCGGTCGAGCATGTTCCGAACGAGTACTACACGATCCCGCTCAGTAAGGCGGAGATTCTGAAGCCAGGAAACGATGTCACGCTTATCTCCTACGGCCAGCCGCTGTATCTGTGCTCCGCAGCCATTGCTGCCGCGGAGAAGGCCCTTGGTGTCAGTGTGGAGCTGATTGATCTACGCACTATCTACCCGTGGGATCGGCAGACGGTCCTCGATAGTGTGAAGAAGACCGGCAGAGCAATTGTGGTCCACGAGAGCATGATCAACTATGGAGTCGGTGCTGAGGTGGCTGCTACTATCCAGGACCAGGCATTCTTGCGGTTGGAGGCACCCGTCAAGCGGGTTGCGGGATGGAGTACACATACAGGACTTCAATATGAGAAGTTCATCCTGCCTGACGTTGCTCGTAAGTGGTGCCATCATCGTATCCTGAATCGCTATACTAATCCTCCCCAGGGATATACGACGCCATTAAGCAGAGCATTGAGTACTAAGTTGGTCGGATCATATGTTCAAACAGTTCGGTTATATTGCATGGATGGCGATAGCTATGCATCTTCCCTTATGTATCTAGACATTGTACGATCGGAAAATAATGAACCACATAGCATTGACATAGTCTGGGCACCTTCGCTACTTATGTAGACTCCTGGGGATATTTATTAAATCATAGCTCAGGACCTTACCACAATGATCTACAGAATACTAGTATCCACATCAATCGTACACCAGACAAAAAAAGTCCGCATTAAGCTACCTACTGATCACGAACTCAATTAATTCACTGTAGACACCAAAAACAAAAGCGGAGCCCTCATAGGAAGGCGGTCGACGGCATATGCGACTCGCAACCCCCGACCGTAGAAAGGATGTTCAATCTTTCAAACTACGATATATATATCCCACCCAGAAGAGCTTCCCTAAACCTAAAATCCAACCAAGATAATAAAAATCTAACAAGAAATCCAGCACAATTTTCTCCGGCATAAAAAATCGCTTTCCATGGAGATATGGTGTAGAAATCCATGCACAGCAAAACTATACACAAACCAAGCAGGCAAATCAGAAAGTGTTGAAATGATTCTGCCGGATTGGGGATCTGGAGAAAATGCACCAGTCCTGATCAGGCAAGGTGGCCCCCGTGCTTTTTCTTACCCCGTGATTTGGGGCGTCTCCACCGCCTGACCCCAATTGGTGCGGGATTGCCAGAGACCCTTCCTTAGTAGGTAAGAATAGCCACGGTTGCCGTCGGGGTATATCTTTGTCCGTGTGGAGTTTTTGTTTGGATGCTTTCCCGTTGCTCGGCGTTGGGGACATCACTTGTCGGGATATATGTATTATGGACCGATAGTGCTTTGAAGGGCACACGTTCATGATTGAGACGACGCAGATATGGTGAGAAACACTGAGGAACCGACTTTGGTAAAATATAGAGATCATGTCTGGCTGCTTCAATGAGATGCTTGGGATATACTAATTAGGCTGGCCACTGCTGCTTATATCACGATGTTGTAGATCTAAAGCAATGGAAGAGCACAACGGATGCTAACATCAAACCCACAAATCGCACTTTCATAGATTGATCGTCACATCTCCACCTCGGCTTTGCGGCTTCAAGTGGCCCAGCATAATCTGCCGCGACCTCCAAGCCGCCCACTCATTCATTGGGCGCGTCTCCTCCTGCCCCTTCGGCCAAGGGAGGAATCTTGCCGCCCCGAATGCGTCGCATAGGATGCCGTCTGAGCAGGTCGAACCACATAGGCCACACCTTGGCGCTGTACCGATCGGCTGAGCAGTGTCAAATAAACGCTTGGAGTTGTGGACGCTTGGGCTCGCTTGGACCGGCATTGGTCCGTGGAGGATAATTTCCTGGAATGTTATCTTGATTGATAGAGTACAGATGCATGTGGTCTGTTTTGCCATCGTCGGTCTCCAATCGGCCCATGCTTTTATACCCATCATCCGATATCAGTTGATGATCTACTCCGAGTAGATTCTATGTGGACATACCCAGTGAGATCCCTCGGCGCATCGTACGCATATCGATCCAGGGTCGCTGGTCCAGAGCGAAGGGTTCCGTAGTGAGATCGAACATCCTCTCCGCATTTTGTAACAATGTCGTTCGGCCATGGGAATCTCTCAGGCCTATCGGAAAGAATCCCCATTCTCTATATGCGTCGAACAATTTCTGCCCATCGGTGGAGCTTTAAATCAGTAGACCCTGAAAAGAGGTAGACGGCAAACTAGCGACTGGAGTCTTGGTATGGAAGACCGGGGTTTGCGCGAAATACCGAGGTGTCAGCATTGTTCATGCTACGCGAGTTCGATTACCGGGAACAGGCACTAGGAGATGTGGACAACAAGGGTACATCCAAATATCTACTACAGCAAATTGTGTTTATACATGTGCGAGAAAACGAGTGATTTTAGAAGAAAAATGTAGTCCTTTGCTCAGAGGCCTATTAGCTGACAAAGAACATCGTATGCGTCAACTGGGACCAAAAGGGCTTAGTTATTAGAGTGCTCTTGTCTGGCTAACTATCATGCATGCATTAATACTTGCTTGGCTGTTCATATTCATAATTTTCTAATTAGAGAAGTATGACTTGGCTGTTATCCTCTCACACTCATTGATTATCTCCTTAGCCTAGAGCCTATCAATGGCGATCAACATCTTCATAGCCCTCGCATTCGAATCAATGGCATCACCGTAAAGAGGAACTATACTCCTAGTGTGCGTATTGGAAGGTGGCTAGTTATTGAACTAGGTATGTATCACGACCCCAGGCTTCGTTGCCAAAGAGAACTGGGAAAGTGTTGCAAGCCGTTGGTCAGCAGCATAAAAGATATTCACACATTATGAACCTAACACGCACTATTAAAACGATTCAACAGCTGAAGTCGTTACATTCCACACTGCTATATGATAATGAAGCTGCCTGTTGTCTATCGACGCAGCCACCTAAGATTAACACAATACCCAGAAATCCTACATGTCAGCATCATGAATCACCAGATTCGGCAAGGGTATTCACTTCTGAGACCGCTAGCCAGCACTAGACCAAACCAGAGGATCAGCATTGCAGCGGCTCGGATCGGACCGTATAGTAGTTAGCTTTACCCAAATGACTATAGTATCGTGCGTAATTTACCAAAGGAGTACTAGTAAAACTCCCTGGTCAGGGCACGGCCCATGCCTTGCCCTAGTATCTCATTTATCCGTATCAAGAGAAATACCTCAGAAAGGAAGGATAGACGAGGCTCAGCTTTGACGAATACACACACAAACCCACCAATGACCTCTACCTTATTACATGGTATATTAATGGTTACGTGACTGGGCACCGTCCCACTTGGCCTGGATTGTCAGGTTGGTAGTGGCATCTGACTATATTAGTTAACCCTAACTTTTGAAGTATTAGAGTATTCCAGGCTAAATTGGCATTGCTCAACCCTAACTACCTGGTATTGATTAGGGATGCTAGTATCAGGGAAAGTATTATCGCTTTTGTAAGGATATGGAGGTATATTTGTCTATAGTACCCATGAATCACGGCAGGAATGTCAGCCGGAAGGTGAACACGCTTATTGGGAGAAATCAGGAATATTACTTCTGTGAATCACATCTAAGAATCCTTTGTGCCATTCTGATAAACTGAACTGGCTCAGAAGGATAATGGTAGAATCATTGGCCCACAACTTCCATGCTTAGATCTTTACCTTGGGAAAGTGACCATTATTTTTATGTGTAAACTGCAAAGTGTGCCATTCAAACTGTTCGTGAAATTGTGAATTCATTTGCAAGCCAAATAGCCTTCGTAACTATTCCTAATATCGAATTGTTACACACTTCGCGCTCTATCATCAACGCCAGAACAAATTTAAGCAAATCAATCCCCGCAAATATAACACTACAATGTTGCTTCCACCTCGTCCACAACCAAGACCTTTATACTCGGGTTCATTGGGTTAGCGCACAGTTGCAACGCCCCCTCAGCCTGCTCTAATGGGAATGTATGGGTAACAAGTTTCTTGAGATCGAGAATTCCGCCACTCATGCACTGGATAGCTGGGGCCCAAGTGTCGCGGTAGCGGTTGATGAAGCGCAAGTCAATCTATAGCGAGAACGTTAATAGAAAGTCAATAAAATATGGATAAGTAACATACCTCAGCCAGCGAGATATGCATAAACGGCAAGTTGTTCATCACAGCTTTACCCACGCCAATAACCACGACCGTACCACCTCGTCGGGCTGTAAACGCAGCAGTGCATACACTGCTTTCCACACCTGTGCATTCGAGAACTGTCTCCGGGGCAAAGTATTCTTCGGAACCGAACAGCGCTCGGATTGCCTTGGCATTACCTTGGGCATCTAGATCGCGGTTCACCTGGTATGTGATGCAGCTCGGGACGAACTCCTTGGCGAACGCCAACCGACTAGGCTCCAAGTCTGTAACAACGATAGGATGAGCACCTGACGCCCGTGCCGCAGCCAATGCGATGAGTCCAATGGGACCGGCACCGCAGACGACGGCCCCACGACCAAGCTGCAGACCAGCGACTGACATTCCACGCATAACAACCGAGAGGGGCTCGAGGAGGGCACCTTCGGCGTAAGTGAGGTTATCAGGTAGCCTACATTTTCGGTTAGACACGAATAGTGTATGATAACGGCTAAGACTTACTTGTGGACCCATTTTGCTGGGTGCGTCTTGTATCGTTGAATTGTCCCGGCGTAAGGGTATACACCTGCGAACTGGACATCTTCGCACAGGTTATACCGGCCATCAAGGCAGAGGAAACAATCTCCGCAAGGTACGCCTGGCTCCACAGCCACTCTGTCGCCTATTCTTCCGCATCAACACTGTTCAGTCGAAGGGGTCAAATGAGATGAAACCAACCAGGACGGAGGTGAGTGACTCCTTCGCCGCATTTCAAGACAACGCCTGCAGCTTCATGTCCAATAATGCAATCGCCCTTGAAGATCAATTCTCCAATGCAGCCAGTTTTCCAAAAGTGAAGATCAGAACTTTTGTTCAAGTGTTAGTAAAGCTGGCGCATGGAATCGATACGATATCCTTACCCGCAGATTCCAGATGCCTTGATTTGGAGCAGAACTTCGCCGTGCTTTGGGGCATACACCGGTGCATCAATGGCTTTGAGCTTGTGATCGGCTGTAACTTGGAGAGAAGGGTTTGGGAAAGGTGTGATAAGGGTCTCTGTAGAATGTTTGGCCAGGGTTGCGGCTGTGGGGGGATTGAGACTGGGATCGAGGAGAGAAGGCGCCATGGTGAACCAAAATTAGTAGTATCAGATTATTCCTTGATCAGGATATGAAAAGCGAAAGACAGAGGAAAACATTGTGGGGGGAAATTCGTGGATATTATATTGAGGGACTCTGGATTGCAGGGCGATGCTTAGTGATATGGGGTGTTGTGGGGTATTCTTGCATGAATGTGAGCAGGGCAACTGCAACCACTGGAATCACGGGACCCGCTCCCAATGTGGATCGTCTTATCGATAAAGCAGGAATGTGGGGCGCTTCATGCATTGCCTCTTTCGGCCAGAAGTGCCTCGACTTGCCAGATCGGGCAAAAGGGCTCACCCTACCGTATCTGACATGCTCATCAAAGTCCCCGTCGCGCTTCGAGTTATAAATATAAGTCTGATCGGCTCCTGATCATGAGCTGTGAAAGACACAGTCATACTATACTTTTTAGCGAACACATACATACAACATGGCTGTCGGTCTGGCTACCGTTAACGGTAGCGGCAAATCTGCCCTGCCGCTGGTCCAGCAAATGTCCAAAGACCACGATATTGTGTTAAAGACATTCCGTATGCTCATTTCGGACTTGTGCCAGCAATTCGGAGGAGGTCATCCAGGGTATGTTAACCAGCAGACTGTTGTCACTGAGAATACTGACATCAAACCTCCAGTGGCGCCATTGGTATGGCCGCTATCGGTGTCGCGCTCTGGCGATATGTGATGCGCTATGCTCCACACACCCCCGACTTCTTCAATCGCGATCGTTTCGTTCTGTCTAATGGCCACACCTGCCTGTTCCAATACTCCTTCCTGCACTTGACCGGATACAAGGCTATGACCTTTGACCAACTCAAATCCTACCACTCGGATCGCATCGACGCACTTTGCCCTGGCCACCCTGAGATTGAGCATGAGGGTATTGAAGTCACCACAGGACCCCTCGGTCAGGGTGTTGCCAATGCTGTCGGATTGGCGATGGCGACCAAGAACTTGGCTGCGAAGTTCAACCAGCCAGGATACGATGTTGTTAACAACCACACCTGGTGTATGATTGGAGATGCCTGTCTGCAGGAGGGTGTTGGATTGGAAGCCATTTCCTATGCTGGTCATCTGAAGCTCAACAACCTGACGATCATCTACGATAACAACCAAATCACCTGTGATGGATCGGTCGATCTGACCAACACGGAAGACATTAACGGCAAGATGCGCGCCTCCGGGTGGGAAGTGATCGACGTCGAAGACGGTTGCTACGATGTTGAGGGCCTCGTGCGGGCGCTGGAACAGGCTCGCGCCTCCACAGAGAAGCCAACTTTCATCAACGTCCGCACTGTCATTGGCCTCGGTAGCAATGTTGCCGGCCAGGCCGCAGCCCATGGTGCTGCATTCGGAGCTCCCAATGTGGCGCAGATGAAGCAGGACAACGGCTTCAACCCAGAGGAGCACTTTGTTATTGGAGAAACGGTACGGAAGTTTTTCGAAGATCTTCCTGCCCGTGGTGAATCTCTCGTCCGGGAATGGAACGACCTTGTGAAGCAGTATACTGCTCAGTACCCTGAGCTCGGTGCAGAGTTCCAGCGCCGTATGAGCGGAGAGCTGCCATCTAACTGGAAGGACCTGATCCCCGCCAGTTTCCCAGAAAAGCCTACCGCTTCACGAGCCTCGTCGGGCTTGGTCTTCAACCCCATTGCTAAGGAGATCGAGAACTTCATGGTCGGTACTGCTGACCTCTCGCCATCCGTCAACATGATCTGGCCTGGCAAGGTAGACTTCCAGCATGTAAGTTACCCCAACCCTAATCATTGAGTCGAACAACTCTGACTTTTATAGCCTGATCTGCGCACCACTTGCGGCATCAACGGCAACTACGGCGGTCGTTACATCCACTATGGTGTGCGTGAACACGCCATGTGCGCCATCTCTAACGGCCTGGCCGCCTATGCCCCCAACACCTTCATCCCCATCACCTCGTCCTTCTTCATGTTCTACCTCTATGCTGCTCCCGCCGTGCGCATGGGCGCATTGCAGCACCTCCAGATCATCCACGCCGCCACACACGACTCCATTGGTATGGGTGAAGACGGCCCTACTCATCAGCCCATCGAATTGGCCGCATTATACCGTGCCATGCCGAACCTTCTCTACATCCGTCCTGGTGATAGCGAAGAAACCGCCGGTGCCTGGATCGCCGCCATCGAAGCCAAGAAGACACCCACCATTATCTCTACCTCCCGTCACACTCTGCCCCAACTGAAGCAAACCCGTCGCGACGGCGTCGCACGCGGTGCATACGTCCTTGAGGAGGCTGAGAACGCAGCTGTTACCCTCATCGGTGTGGGCGCTGAGTTGTCCTTTGCTCTGGAGGTCGCTGAGAAGCTCAAGGAAAAGGGCATCGTTGCGCGGGTAATCAGTTTCCCCTGCCAACGTTTGTTCGAACAGCAATCCCTCGAATACAAGCGCTCTGTTCTGCAGAGGCACCGTGGTATTCCTGCTGTCGTTATCGAGCCTTATGCGCCTAACGGCTGGGAGCGGTATGCGGACGCTGGCGTTTGCATTAAGCGCTTCGGTCACAGTTTGCCAGGCAAGGTGGCGTACAAGTACTTCGGTTATGACATTGATGCCTTGACCGAGAAGGTTCACGGCTATCTGGGACAGGTTGAGAAGGATGAGCTTCTGAAGCGGGAGTTTGTTGAACTGTGATGACTTAGTTATGATGTATATACAAGGCGTTCCAAAATGAATATAGATTAATTGTTTCGTTTCACATGGTTTTATGAGTCAAGCATGGCCAGGGATATTGTGTAGCAAAGTCTTCAAATCCGTGCTTTGTCGAATTTGTATTGCTGCAACTCCAGACCTCTTTTCTACAAGAGAGAGGAGGAGGAGGAAGGTTCCCCAGTAGTGAAACCTGGGTTTATGTTTATGGCATAGCGTCCACATGACCTGAATCATACGAGAGACTTGCAGCCCCTTTTCTGCTGGGCTATAGTGATCCAACCTTTATGCTAAGTGCGGTTTCTTTGAGGCCTACGATGTAGTACAAGGCTGAGCAAGCCATTCCTCCTAGCCTGTCAACACATGAGACCTATTGATCAGGGATACATCACACCTATTATCACACATGGATCGATATCGGCCAGGCAGCACCTCGTGCCCAACCATCCATGTATGTTTGCTGATTTTCCAGGAGGTATGGATGTATGTATCACGATTTCCGATTCGGGATACAGCTATATGAGTCGACAAAGGTTCCAGCCCCAGGGCCCTGTATTGCGGGCCACTTGAGTAACCATCATGGAGCGACTCGGAGAGATTTGAGTTGCTACACAGGTCCAGACTACGAGTATAATCCCAGCAATGCCTGCCTCAAATGTAACCCAGTACTAACGCCCATTAGAACTTCACCAAGTAGTACAATTAGAACACTATGCAGAGACATCAGGGATTGCTATGCGAGACAAACGAGAGTAAATGACACACATCAATGAGGAGGAATCATACGATTTATAGAGATTAACCTCTGCGATCCAGGCAATGTAGCTAGGCAGCGGGAACCAGCCTATAGTAGCAATGGCCTTTGGGTGCCTACGAGTTGGCAAGACCTCAACTCTATCAGAGATACCTTAGGTAGTTTCACGATGAAAGCCCAGTAACATGCTTCTTGTTAGTAGAATCAGCTTATCAAGGGATTATTTAAGAAACTACACCTGGGCAATCCATCCAGGGCACTAGAACCTTGCGCATTCCTATACCTGGACTTTATTTTGCAATCCAGCCGGAAACACCCTCTTTCTTATCCGCATAATCGCAGACCGTACCCCAATGAGGAATTAGCCAATAATTCAAATGAAACCCTGATTTGCCTCCTGGCCGCTTGACGCGATGTACGGAATGCTTGATATCATTAACAAGACTTCTCAAGACATGGCCTGCCAAGAGCACGAATTCGCCCGGCTGGCAGTTCGTCGGCGTAAAGTTTGGACTTTCAGGGCTTGTATGAGCTGTATAGTGGCCGGATATCTTGTCTCGGTGTCATCATGTAAAAGCTCAGTGTAGCTAATTGACGGAATCAGGCTCCAATTTTGGCACGATATTCATTAATTTGTATGCAACCAGGAATACTTCGACCTTATAATATACTAGATGTCTCACCAAGCCACAATGCTGTACATAACAGCTCAAAAGTGCTGCATTGCCACGCCTTTTTGTCGGTTTAGCCAGCGGGAACCAATACGTCTCCATGCAATCCTTCCGCTTTTTCTGATATATCATTAACTACATTCATGTAGGGCAGTGATCTGGCCACAGTCTGACTTTCCAAGCTGTACTCCAGAGCATTCTCAAACAATTGCTCGCAGAAGAAAATGGGCTTGTGCAGCGCAGCGGCTCAGTTCCTGAGATAAGGGAAGACCACCATACATCTAACTGCTCTCTCCAGAATCTTTCTTTCGCAACCGCTCCTCCAGCTGCTCCTTCGGTGACTTCAGCTTCACCTCAGGAAACCTCGCATCCTTGGTCCACGGCAGAAAGTCCGACGACTCGACCAACCATCTCAACACCTCCGCCTCCAACATCCTAGCCACAGGCACATACTTCGGCACCGCAGCCAAATTATGCATTTCCTCCGGATCATGCTGCCGATGATACAGCTCGGCAGGCTCATACAACCGATAAACAAACGTCCACTCTACCGAACGAATACTAACCGCCTTGCCAACGAGCGTCGTATCCTCGTGCTGCAACGCAGCCTTGATATCATACGGATACGGCGCCTGTTCCAGCAACGGCTCCTCAGCAGTCAAGAACCCGCCCTCACTAAACGCATACTGCTTGTGTGCCAGAGTCGGATCCCGCAGCACAGGCACTAACGACCGCCCGTTATGCGGGAACTGCTCGGGGATACCACAAAACTCCAGCACAGTGGGCACGAGATCCACCATCTCGGCCATCCCAGTGTAAACCTGGCCCTGGGGCAGTCCTCCACCGGCGATGATTAATGGCTCATGCACAAGCGAGTCCGATAGACCTGACGGCCACTTCTCAATCAACCCATGGTCCCCGAGATACTCACCATGATCGGTGAAAAACATCGTAATCGTATCCTCCCACAGCCCTAACTCATCCAACCTCCCCACCACCCGTCCAAACTGATCGTCCAGTCTCGATATCATCCCGTAATACGTCGCCTTCAGCTCCCGCCACATCGCCCCCGTCGCCCGCCCAGTCCCGTACCGCTCCCGAATCACCCGCATATACCGCGGCTCATACCCGGTCTTCTCCCCTGGGGCAGCCCCAGGCTCCGGGATGACGTCCCGGTCATAGAGCGAGAAATACGGTTCCTCGACCTGGAACGGACAATGCGGGAAAATCAGCGGCATGAAGAGCACCCAGGGCTTATCCTGCGGCGGACACTCGAGCCACCGCAGTGCAGACCGCACAACGGCATCATCATAATCGCTCGCCTCGGCTGCGTTCCTCAGCCCCTTGTAGAACAGTCGGCCCCAGATACTCTCATCCTTGGGGGTGTTGGACCGATCGCCCGTGAACCGGGGCACGAATTCGGGAGTCTCGAGGAACCCGTATTCGTCTACGGAGAGCTCGGTCACGGTGGGCGCGAAGGTGTCTCCGCGGGGCGCCAGACAAGCAACGTGGTAGCCGTTTTCCTTTAGGCTGCGGAAGAGGTTCGGCTCCCAGGGTTTGATGAGGTTTTCGAGGCTGCGGTGGCCGCTGACGTGCGGGTAGGTTCCGGTGAACATGCTGCACCGGGATTGAGAGCAGACGGAGGCTTGCGTGAAGCAGTTTGTGAATAGTGTGCCTCGGGCTGCGAAGGAGGCGATGTTGGGGGGTTTTGAGGAAGGTGGTTTGGGGGTTCGAGGTGCAGGAAAGGCTGTCGTAGCGGAGTTGGTCGGGCATGAAGATTACAAGGTTGGGCTTTTTGGAGGGCATTTTGGTTGTTGCTGTTGTTGTTACTGTCATTTCTGTGGTGTAGCTTACTGTGATTATTTATCTGTCTACCTAATGTATGCGGCGGGTGGCTTTCTTGAGCATATATGTAGACAGGGTTGCTGGAAGCATGCATAGGATATCGGCTGTCGGTGCCGACTGTCGGTTGTCGGGGTGGAGACAAGTACAGCGTCAAACATGCACCAGATGACACCATCCACAGTATATTAAAGCTAGTGGGGCAGTCAATCAGCATTAAGCTCGCATCTTCCTGCATGAAAGAGATTAAAGTAAAGTGGACGGAGTTTGGCGGAGCGCAGGGCCGCTGTCCCGGTTGACGAGATACTCGAAGTCCAGGCGGTTGGTAGTTTGGAGATTGACATTGGCAAAAAAAGAAAAGGATATTAAAAAAGTCTTGAGAAGATATACGGAAGCCCATCGTCAGAAATTATATAATGTCTCTTTGCAATGTAGTATCTATATAGAAGCATCGGATATTTATACAGATCTGAGCAAGCCAAGTTTTACAAGTCTCGCGGAGCGCTGAAACAATTTGGCATCATTACTCATAACTCTGAAATATAGTAATAAACTGCGAATGTAATGCACATATGATCATGAAGCATGGCTTTCCTTAAAGGACTGATAATGGCAATTACTATGAAATATTGAGCTTGCACGATATCAGAATGCCGAATATCAACCAAAGTATCCCATACCATCCCATTGCATCTGCCGAATCAAATCAAACCCTATACCGGGCTCATCCCATGCTCCCTCAAATGCATTGCCACCCTGTAGCCACATTTGGCTTGCCACAGTTGAGCCTGGTGTCATATGCTCTACAGTGTCGAAACTGGGCAACGGGGATGGCAGCTCCAACGTGCTTAGTGGTCCGCCGTATTCATGGTTATGCTTCTCATAAGCAGAGGGGTTGTCACTAGCATGAACCTCCTGAAGTGCTAGTTCGTCGCTGTCATCAACGAATTCCGATCTAGCAATCAAGCTATGGATTGATAGGATTTGGCGAGGACCCTGCTGTTGGATGTGTCTAGGGCGGTTCTCTGGATGGGCGTTCTGGTCCTGGGTTTCATCGATCAGACTTTTCAGGTCATGTTCCTAAATCGGTCAGTTACTCATGTTGCCTGCCTGTCAGCAACTGACTTACAATTGTCTCAACTGAGGGAGAAGTCCGAGCTACAGTCTGTATAATTTGCAAACATGAGTGTTGATACTGCTTGACCCTCTCGCGCGATACCGATATCTTATGCCCATATGTCCTCTGCCCATGGACGAGGAGACGTATGCACTGGTATGCACAAACAGCCATGTCCAGTGGAAGGATTGGGAACTCCAACCTGAGATCCATGAGCGAGGTAAGAATCCCTGCGATCTGTGCTGCATGGTGTGTGCACTGTTCCCGACACCTGAGAACAAAGGCATTATCAAACTCATTCAATGTGGCTGCAGGGATAGATTCGATTAGCCCACTAGTAATACAGCGATACAGATCACAGTAGCACTGGTGCCACAGGACATGTAGAACAATAAACCGAGGCAGCCAGGGCGAATGAGCACGAAGTCTAAGATTTCTCTCTGAATAGGCACTGGATGGGGGCAATCGGAGATAGAAATTCTCTAACTCGGTTTCCAGTTCTCGTATCCCATACATTATCTCAATGGCACTGCAATTCCCCGCGCAAATCGCTTTGCATGACTGAACATCTTAGCATATCCTATAAGCTCACATAGTAATATTTACCACCGAAACGTACCGTAAAATCTTGTCTCTTAGATAGGACACGCAGACATCTGCTGCTAGTAACCCAGGAAGCTTAGTTTGTGACTTGAGCTGTACTTCCGTCTCTGGGCAAACATCCAATTCCCAAGTCTCTTCGGGGCACGGAAGGCCAACATAAATAGCATCTACTGGACAGGTGGTGAATTCTAGTAGGCCCGCAGCCCAGGTTTGGTCAAGCATATAGATGGCCCACATAAGACGGCGACGAGCCTCCCGAGCCAGAAAGCAAACTCTCTGGTCGTCGTAATTCAATCGTAGACTAAAGGCGAACCGAGAAAGTAGCGACACAAGTGGAAATGCAGAGGAATACTCCCCAAGGCACATCTTACACCTTACTATCAAAAGTAAAGCCTGAGTTCGGATGATGGATGGTTGTGATAGGTTATTGATGATGAGCTGTTCTGCCTTTTTCAGGCATTGAGCGGCGTACTCACGCTTTGCGGAGTCTACCTCTGTTAAACAAGTCGAAATAGCAATGATAGCGAGAAGAAGGCACTGGTCAGTCTGTCCTCGGTGAAACCGGTCATACAGTGAGGCGCGGTGCAGGAAGGCATATCCCGGAATGGGATAGATGCGCATAAAGAAAGTGTCCAGAGCTACTTGAATCTGTACATTGTCCGGATTCCTGAAGGCATCCGTACTGAATCCGTCAGCGACATTAGATGAAAAGAGGAAGCATATAAGATCTACACACGGAATGGTTGTCGGAGGTTCAGCATTTGTTTGCGCCTCTTGTTCCGAGGATCGCTGTGGTGCGTCCTTCGGACCGTTTCTCTCATCTGTGTTCCCAGTCTTCAGTGGACTAGAGCTATACACGCAACCCCTTCCTCGTTTTTGACAACGGAGACATGCAGGGAGATGTCCACTACAACGGACTTTCAAAGAATGGCAACGAAAACATGCTTGTCGAGCTCGAAGGCGCTCCGGCCTTTCTAGTGTAAGCGATGATGAGTCCAGGTTTTGGAAAGAGCAGGCAAACTGAAGGCGATCACAGTTGCCACAGATGCTTCGGCGTCCATCGCAGCGGACCTATATCAAAATGAGCTTTAGTGTACACGGACATTCAGTTATCTGAGCACCTTTCTTAGTCTACACTGCTGGCAGGTCTTGAGTCTCTGATTCGGTGCGGCTGTCGTGGATGTAGCCATGTGGTACCAATTCTAGAGGGGACAGTTTGTAACTCAATGATGGATGGTAGAGGAACATTCCGCTATTTAGAGCCGGTTGCAGAGATGTATTAGCAGTCTATACATAGTTTAATTGGTCCAGCACTAGTTGTGATTGCGGGGGTGGGCCACTAAATTGCGTGATCTGCTGCTGATCCACAATGCGAAGAGACGAGGGTATACAGGAGAATCTTCTACTCGAGTTCCAAATCCACCCACCAATGGCGGAAAGGCTATTTAGCTAGATATGAAACCAGTTCAAACCTCGCTCGTATTGCACGAATATCTGGAAGAGAGACAATATATGTCAGTACACATGACACTGAGCATTGAAGAGAGACCCCAGATACCACCGTCAGAAAGAGTTCGGGGCAACTTTTCGTCGAAGTTCTTCTGAACTAGCCCCAACTTTCTTATTTAGGGTTATCAATCCCCGCAACGTCGGCCCCGACAGCCGACATCCCTTAGCTACGAGATATCACCCTGAAATTTGACCGAATACAGATGATGCCAATGACACGAGATATTGTCTCATCCGACGCTATAGCAAGATGGCTATGACTTGGTGTGCACATAAGTATACTTATATATACCATCTATACACAAATTCCGTCTCGAGACGACCATGGTGGCCTCTATCCTCTACAGATGCCCAATATGAGACGCCCACAGTTCTTCGCATACTTCAACACCAGACTAGCCCTAGCCTGCTTGCTCATAGCCATCTCCTCTTTCAATTATGGCTTCGATAACCAAGGCTTTGCCACCACGCAGGCTATGGACGCCTTCGACAAACGGTTTGGCAACTATAACCCTGGAACGAAAGAGTATGCGTTGGACCCAGCCTGGCTGTCGCTGTTCAACAGTCTAAACTATATCGGATTTGCTGCTGGTATGTACCTCCCTTCTCCAACGACGCGCACCGTCTGTACTCACTAGTCAGGCGTGCTCATCGGCAGCCGAATATCCGCCCGGTTCGGTCGACGGTGGTGCATGTTCTCGATGAGTTGCTACGCCCTCATCACAGCCACGATCACAGTTACCTCTGCGAACCGTGATCAGATTCTCGCTGCTCGAATCCTGAACTACGTCTATGTTGGGATGGAGTTGGCTGTTGTCCCAACGTTCCAATCCGAAATAGGTGAGCCCCATAAACCTTGTACTACTACGTTCTGTTCTCCAACACTAAATCGCGACGGTACAGTCCCTGCCCAAGTGCGAGGCCTCGCCGTAGGCACATACCAGTTCAGCATTATCCTAGGTGGTCTAATAATCAACTCCATCTGCCGGGGCACAAGCAAAATCCAAGACGACCGAGCCTGGCGCATCCCGCTTGGCCTATTCTACATCGTTCCAACAATAGTCCTATCATTGATATGGTTCGTCCCTGAGAGCCCACGCTGGCTCCTCCAACAAGGCCGCGTGGAAGAATCCCAAGCTAGTCTCCAGAAACTACGCCAGGGGTGTTTCACTCCCGAACAAATCAGCAACGAATTCCATGAGCTCCAGACCGTGCTCGAACAGGAGGTTGAGAAAGGCCACTGGATTGACCTAGTCAAGGGCGTTAATCTAAAAAGAACGGCACTCGTTTTCATGGTCAATTTCTTTCAGCAGGGTACTGGGCAGGCATTTTCGTCTCAATATGGAGCGGTCTATGTCAAGCAGTTGGGGACCGTAAACCCGTTCGATATGACGGTTGTGCTTTCACTTTTGAATTTGGTGTCGATCATTGGCTCGTTGGCGTATACTGATCGGGTTGGGAGGAGGTATGGTTCACCTTTTTCTTCCTTATTTCTCTCTATCCTTGTAACACTATTTGAGAGGCTATGCTGACAGGTTTCCAACATAGACCCATGCTCCTAGCCAGCTCTGCAGTAATGGCAGCTGGCTTATTGACGATGGGAGGACTAGGGACTCCAAATCCCATGACAATTGATTTAAAGAAAGGCGTAGTGGGTATGTACGTGGTCATGGCACTTGGATTCTCTCTCGGATGGGGACCGCAAACGTACGTAGTAGCCACCGAGCTACCTGCGCTGCGGTTGAGAGACATGACGCTGCAGTTGGGGTTTGTGGTCAATGTCATCTCGAAGTATGTCGCTCTCTTCCCTGTCTTCGTTCTATCCCGTATTCATCTATTATCCCGAAGGCTAATATGCATCTTCCAGCTTTGTCGTCAATTTCACTATCCCCTACCTTGTAGATGCGGAATATGCAGGTCTGAACTCCAAGGTCGGGTTTATATTTGGTGCCATTGCCGTTGTCGCGTTTGCTTGTACTTTCCTTTTCGTGCCGGAGTGTCGGGGTAAGACTCTTGAACAGATTGATCTCATGTTTCATCTGGGGGTCAAATTGCGGGATTTTGGATCCTTTGATGCTAGCACCTTGGTTGCTGAGCAGGAGTCCAAGGGAGACGAAGTTCCTAGTGACACTGGTAAAGTTGGAGAGGATGGGGTGAAACAGTAGACTGTTCTATACGGTTGGATGTTACATGGGACTTGAGCAGTACAATATGAATCAATCCATTCTAGGCGCAGATTCTATATTCGTGTCATGGTGAGTGGGGACGTACAATAATACCGACGTCAAAAAGGTCAGCTTAGAAATCTATGTAACATTTGCACATTAGCTATATTCGTGGTTGGTACTTTTATCCTCCCGAAGATCGTATATTCGTTGGACAGACGTCAAATCAGTAGGTATACCGAAAATGGGCCTGCGCAGATTAGCAATTAAGTCATGCAATATTGACTCTAACTGGGGAAGAGCGTACTCTGTTCTGGATGACTAGTTGCCCCCTCTTCTGCTGACGGTTGCAAATGTAAAAGGCGAGGGTAAATACACCCACAATGGCAATCATGAGAATATGGGACCTGCTTCAATTAGCCACAGCTCCAGGCTCTCAACATAATTGACGTATCAATACGTACCCCACCGATACCCACACAGCAGTCTGATACTGCGGGGCCTCCTGCTGCCGGACAATGTAGCTACCCGCCACTCCTCCCAGCCCGTTACAAGCAGATACTGCAGCCGCGGTGGTGGCGCGCTTCCACTGCCCCACTATATTGTTTGCCATAAACGCGTTCAGTGCCGCCCAATTGGAGACGTATGCCCCAGTGGCCAAGAATGTCCCGATATACCGCACAGTAACTTGAGTGGAGGAAGGGAGGCCGAACATCAAGAAGCCCGCTATGAGACAGAGGGCGTTGAACGTGATCAGTGGCCCGCGTAGCCGATACGTGTCTCCAACAAGAGAAGTGAAAAGAACAGGTACAACCGACCAATAGTATGGCTGCTCAAGTTAGTATACACATAGCCACTTGCAAAGAAAGAACGCGGCGTTGAAGATGGGACATACTGGAGTGGAAAGGATAATAGCTGCGTTGCTAGAAAACCCCATTCCCGATTGCAGAATGATCGGGAGAAAATAGGACAATGCGGTGGAAACCAAATTGAGAATGAAAAACATGCATGCAAATCCGTATAGCTTCGGGTCCGAAAAGTTCATGGCGATTTTGCTCCATGAAAAAGGCTCGGGCACCACATCATCACGATCGGTCTGGATACGCTGTACAGCTAACTGTGCCTCCGCCTCCGATAGGAAGTAGAAGCTTCGGTGTGCTGATTCGGGGAAATCGACCATCCACCAATACGTGACGATACCAATGACGCAGGTGATAAGTCCTTGGACAAGGAACATCCAGCGCCAGCCGCTTAACCCCGCCCGTCCATCCAAGTGATTCAGGCCGTAATTGACGATCGTGCCTGTCGCCATCACGGTGACCTCTCCCGATTGGAGAAATGCGAATCGGAGCTGTTGTTCCCGCCGGGTGTACCAGGTGCTGATGAGGTATGTCAACCCTGGGTAAATACCGGACATAGCCATGCCTAGAAGCACACGAAGAGCAATAAGCTGTTTCCACGTTTGAACAAATGCCGTGCATAAAGTAAGCAGGCCGAAACAGAATGTGATAGATGCAAACCAGATCCGCGGACCAACCCAGCGCACCGCAATTGTGCAGGGGAGTTGAAAGACCACGGAGGCTATGGTAAAGATGAATATCGATACCGAATATCGAGTACCTTCAAGGTCAAGATCGCTGAGCATACTAGTCACCGAGGCCGACGAGAGGATGCCGGAGTCGAGCAGATTGAGACTGCAGAGAATGCCGGCAATGGTGCAGAGGCGCCAGTCCACTTTCCAGCGAAGTCTCCTCTCCAACTCTTTCAATTCCTCCGGAAGGGCTGCCTCCACGACTTCACGGCCGTTCGACTGCAGACCATCGGGCGTCAATGGCGAGGAGGCCATGGCTGTCTCGGGAACTTTTTCTTCGATCATAATAGTGGCCTTTTCCTCTTCTTATATTTAATATCGTTTTCCCTTGAATGGCTCCCACATTTGACCTTATTGTTCCATGGTCATCCAACGCCGAGCAAAGGTAAAGAAGAAATTCGATCCAGAGTCGAATTTTAGCTGGGTGGCAGCTTATCGGAAATGTTTCGTGCAGTTATCCGCAGACTAATGCAGTCCCCGACGGCAAGCACCCAATAGCGCCATTCAGCCACGGGAGTATTGAGGATTGACCATGCTAACATACCTAACATGGTACCGAGGTCGCTTTAAATTGAATGGCCACTTCAGCCCCAATTGTGCCCTCAGCTGACAATAATTTCAGTGGCTTCTAGGATAGCACATCTGGCCAGAGTTGTCCCTCCGAACTCATTGGCAATGTTGGGGTGTGGAACAAGAATCCCTTGCATTATGCTTGAAGCCATCGTCACTCATGAGGCACCAGTAAGACTTGCCAATGTTTGTGGAATGTTCATTGGGATTTGTTTGACCACAAACACAAACAGAGTTGGTCGGGAAGATCACATGGTCAGCCTGTCCAAGATAAGCATCAAGTCGATCAATTAATTCGTTGCAATTAAAATAGTTTTTAATTTAATTGAAACTACTGACTATAATTCACTCAATAATTTCTATGATTTATTTGTTCTCTTTGAATCCCATGATTAATTTTTTCAAGGTTCTATCATTCAATTTCCTCCGACATATTCACCTATTGTGTTTGTAAAGAGGGTCGACCGTGGAATATATATTGTACAGGTAGACTTCAAGATTCTAGTCCACCACGTCCGCCGATCCGAGTTCCATGACCGCCCAAATGGAGGGAAAATGGTTCAAAAGGGGCATATCCCTAAAATCTCACACTGGTCTGATCTGTCAACATTCCCAGAGTCAATCTAATTCACTACCACGGTGGCTCCCAACCCCGCAAATGGGACCCCACTCTCTCTCTCTTGCGCTCTCTTCGGGCGAAGGGAGACCAAGCGATTCGAGACCATGCGAAGCTTCTCCCCTTCCCCCGACTGGTGGTGGCACAGCTAGTAAGTACGGAGTAGTGGTTGGTTTAAGGCGATCGCTAACACGTTGCTTTCCTTTTCTTGACTATAAACCCTCTCTCTCCCTCTCTTGTCTTTCTCTCCTTTCTCTCATCCAGTTTATGTACGTATAGTTTACTCACCGCCAACGAGGAAACCTTCCGCAGTAAATACAGAAATTAAAGAACCAATTTACTCCGAACGCCCGTTACACGTCAGAGCTCTCCTCTTCCCTACGACCAATCTGACCTTACGAAATACCGTCAGTCGCAATGGTTGACCTCATCTCCCCTCCTGATCCTCGCACCCTACTCCCGCCTCTGCTGGCTTGTCTCCCTACGGCTTTTGTATCGCCATTGCCCCCGCCTGCACTTTTGCCTCTCCTATCGCCCGTGCTACGCCAGCGTGTTCAGGTTCTGAGTTCCCTCGCCGCTTCTCCGAGCGAATCATGGCTGCGACTACTTTGTTGGGACTCCGGAAAAGCTGAGCGTCTTCAAACGGTGGTGAATGAGAGCAGCTTTGAACCACACCCAGTGTCGGGCGAGATTGAACTACCCGATGAGGTTCCCGTGGAATATAAGCGCGTGGACGAGGAGACACTACAGTCCCGCGTTTTGCTCTCGGACTATCGTTTAAAGGCTATCTATCTGTGGTGCCCCAACGACAAGGATGGTGGCGGACCCGGGTGGCGAGTCGCAGAACTTTTGCCCTACGAAAGCAGTAGGGCAGATGGTGATGTCTGGTCGGCATCGATAGGGGAAGCCAATTCACACTCCAAGGAGCGGTTGATGGAGGATGCTTTAAGAGCGGCGGAGAAGGAGGAGGAAGCTGCTAAAGACGAAGAAGATGACGACGACGATTACTGGGCTCAGTATGACGCTACACCGGGGAGGACCCCATCGGTGAAACCCCCCGCTCCTAATGGACGATCTGCCCTTCAGCACCAGGACATGTCTGAAGCGTCCTACTTCTCGCGATATGCCGATGTGCAGCCGGCGATGGACAACCATGATCCATCGGAAGAACAGCCAGAACTCGGTCCATCTTCCCTGGGCGGAGATTTGCTAGCCAATCTCCTCAAACCTCATGCTGATACTCAAGCATCTGAGAACCCACTGCACCTCAATGGTCATGGAGACGCTGATAGTGCACTGAACCATCCACGACCATCATCTGCCTCGTCTAACAGCTCGGAGGCTGTTGCCAAGCTCGAGTTGGAGGCCGAAAATCAGTCAGCATGCGAGGTAGGCGTCAAGCAGCATATTGGCTCTAACATCAAGAGTCTGTTCCGGCTCGCTAGAGCCACAGGGATCACACGCGCCGAGTTTCAGTCGCTCGTCAGAACAGAGCTGGAGTTGTTAAATATGTCCGATGATGATTAGTTTTGGCCGTCTATGAGGCGCTTTGTTTTACTTATGGAAATCCGCAGGGTCGATTTGTACATAATGTTTCATTCGGTCATGATGATGTTTGAGCGTTGGAGTGCGATTATTATGTTGCATTGGATATCCCACTGTTGTGATTTTTTTTCCTTTCTTTTTTTTTTTCATATATATTTTGTATTTTTTTGTTCAAGATTCAAATTTATATATTTATTTTGATTTTTGAATTATATTTTATTTTTCTATTGCATAGGACACGCAACCAAGGAAAACCAAATATATCCACAGGTGAAACCCGAGGTTAAATATAGAAGAGCAAGCAAACGGAAATTCTGGGTCAAAGGAAATAAAGTTCGGATGAGCTCCTTGTTCCGTTCCGGCGTGTTGTGTATGGGGATGAAGACACGCAATCAGTGCGCAGCTCCCCTCTTCATTCTCCGTACGACAACAAGCCTCTCTCTTTCCCTTTTCTTTTATTTCTCTATATGATGTCCTTTTCCTGATTACTTTCTGTAGGTCATCGCATGAAGAATATTCCTCACTATCTATTCTCCTTGCTCTAACTAACCAATTGCTCCGTGCTCCCCGTCGAAGCTCATTAGGTGATCTTTTTTCTACTATCAATTCTCGTCGTCGATTACAGCCACTGAGCATGTCTCAATCCCCTTCACCGTCTCTCCGGAAGAGAGGCGGAAAGAAGGAGGCATCCCCTGGACCCTCAGATGTCTCTTCTCCTTATCCCAACAACCAGGGTGCAACCCCCAAGCCTCAGTCAGAATGGGATTATAGGCTGGCCATAACGGTTCTGACTGTGCTGGCATTCATCACCCGGTTCTATAGGATTTCTTACCCCGATGAAGTTGTCTTTGAGAGGTGCACTTTGGAAAAGTAGGTCATACATATTTCTATACCCGAAAAATGACCGGACGTTTCTAACACGATCATGTGCTTCAGTTCGCCTCGTACTACCTTCAACGCACGTACTTCTTCGATGTTCACCCTCCATTTGGCAAGCTTCTCTTTGCGGCGATGGGCTGGCTCGTCGGCTATGATGGTCACTTCTTGTTTGAAAACATCGGCGACTCGTACATCGAGAACAAAGTTCCCTATGTCGCTCTTCGCGCCTTACCCGCCACCCTCGGCGCACTGACGGTCCCCGTGGTTTTCTTGATCATGTGGGAGTCGGGATACTCGCTGCCGGCTTGCGTTCTGGCCGCTGGCCTTGTGTTGTTTGACAATGCGCACATTGCTGAGGACAGGTTGATCCTTCTGGATGCCACCTTGGTCATCACAATGGCTCTGAGCATTCTGTGCTACGTTCGCTTCTACAAGCTGCGCCACGAACCCTTCGGACGGAAGTGGTGGAAGTGGCTGCTACTGACGGGTGTGTGTCTCAGCTGCGTCATTTCTACCAAGTATGTCGGTGTTTTCACTTTCGTGACCATCGGCGCTGCCGTCATGGTCGACCTGTGGAATCTGTTGGATATTCGCCGTCCCGCCGGCGCTCTCAGCATGTTGGAGTGGACCAAGCACTTCGCAGCGCGTGCTTTTGGCCTTATCGTCGTGCCCTTCTTCTTCTATCTGTTCTGGTTCCAGGTCCATTTCGCGATTCTGACCCGCTCCGGCCCTGGTGATGACTTTATGACCCCCGAATTCCAGGAAACCCTCAGCGATAATGCCCTGGCGGCCGAGTCCATCGGAATCCAATACTATGACGCGATCACCATTCGGCATAAGGACACTAAGGTGTTCCTCCACAGTCACTGGGAACGGTACCCGCTTCGCTATGACGATGGACGTATTTCCAGCCAGGGCCAGCAGGTGACGGGATACCCGTTCAATGATACCAACAACCAATGGCAGATCCTTCCCACGGTAGCTCTGGAAGACAATGATGGCCAGGGCCACAGTGTGAAGAACGGCGACCTCGTCCAGCTGCTTCACTTGGGTACCGACTCGATCCTACTGACCCATGATGTTGCCTCCCCCTTTTATCCGACCAACCAGGAGTTCACGACTGTGACCAAGGATGTGGCCAGTGGCGAGAGACATAACGAGACCTTGTTCGAGATTAAGATTGAGAATGGCAAGGCCGGCCAGGAGTTCAGAACTCTGTCCAGCCATTTCAAATTGATTCATTTCCCCACCCGAGTGGCCATGTGGACACACACAACTCCTTTGCCTGAGTGGGGCTTTAAGCAAGCCGAGATCAACGGTAACAAGAACGTCCTTCAAACCAGCAACCTGTGGTACGCGGAGTCCATCGAGTCGCTGGAGGAAGACAGCCCTCGCAAGCAGAAGGAAGAACGCAAAGTGAAACAGCTGCCCTTCCTTCGGAAGTACCTGGAGCTCCAGCGCGCCATGTTCTTCCACAACAATGCCTTGACCAGCAGCCACCCATACGCGAGTGAGCCTTTCCAGTGGCCATTCCTTTTGCGAGGTGTCAGCTTCTGGACCAAGAATGATACCCGTGAACAGATTTATTTCCTAGGTAACCGATCGGTGGTGGATTGCCAGTAGTCTGCTGGCTGTTTTCGCTGGTGTGATTGGTGCCGATCAGTTGTCTCTCCGCCGTGGAGTTGATGCCGTGGAAGAAAGTAAGTAAACCTGGAGGATAGCAAATGCGGAGAGGCAAAGACTGACTGAGTGCGCTATAGTTTGGGGACTCGGTGCCCGTTCTCGCCTGTACAACAGCACCGGTTTCCTATTCCTCTGCTGGGGAGCCCACTACTTCCCCTTCTGGTTGATGGGCCGTCAGCGTTTCTTGCATCACTACCTTCCTGCTCACCTTGCCTCCTGTCTAGTGACGGGCGCTCTGATTGAGTTCATTTTCAACCTCCAGCCGGTCCAAGCCGTTGTCGATAGCGAGGTTGATCCATCGGGCAAGTCCAAGTCTGTCCGTCCCCGTCATTTCGTAACGGCCAAGGAACGGATGAGCCGCAAGTCTCTTGTTGCGGGCTGGATCGCCACCCTTTCTATTCTGGCCATCACTGTCTGGGGATTTTGGTTCTATGCACCCCTGACTTATGGTACCCCGGGCTTGGACGTTGCTGGTGTAAACGCACGTCGGTGGCTGGGCTATGACCTCCACTTCGCCAAATAAGGCGATTAAGTCGGGGTATGTCAACAGCTTCCGACAGCATGTAAGCGCCCCGAAATCATGTAACCTGTGTCTGAGGATGGTGTAAACATGGCATGTAAGATAGTGAATGAGTGTGCATCACGATGGTCTGAGTAAGCTTCGGGAGCGCCGCGAAAGCAAGTGGCTTGAAGCCCAACGCGGCTACATTGCGAGACGGTGCTCTTTTGGGGCTCGTTTGAGTCATTGTATTTCTTTCTCATTGGGGCCGGAACCATTCTTTTTCATCTTTTAATCTCGCATCTCCTTGAGTTGTTTTCTCTGCTCCTTTTGGTTTTTGCGCCTGTGATATCAACTCAATAAAACGTTATGAATAGAAAACAAGACCGCACTCGAGATGTATACCTACGGTTCCCATTTCTGCATGAGGCTACTACATACATAGTCTACTGGGTACAAAGGAGGTATCCACCATGAAAATGCTCTATTGAAATAGGACCTCAGAAACATTATATCTATGCGCACAAAAGGCAACAGGAAAGAAACGCCACGTTGAGTATCATCAAACAGTACAAAGTCCACACATCAGGAACGCATATGCAACCTCTTATCTAAAACGCCATTCTCTTGCCGATTTCACTCTCCCACCCACGGACTCTCTCGAATCCGTTCGACGCAGTCTGATAATCAACCATCGCCTGGTAAACCTCTTCCTGGCTGGTCAAGACAAACGGACCGTACTGCACAACCTTCTGGTCTAGCGGCTGACCAGCCACCAGAATGAACCTGGACTCCGATTCGGCATTGTCCGGCACCGAGGCCTCCACATAATCTCCGCCCTGGTCGAAGACCACGTTGTGGAATTCCTTCACCAACTTTGTAGAATCGTTCGACCCAAAGACTGTTGTTCCAGAAAGGGTATAGGCAAATGCATTCCACCCCTTCGGTAGGGACTGTGCGATGCGTCCACCCGGCCCCGGCACCCTCGGCTTGTTCGATGGCCAGAACGATTTGGCGGATTGCGCGGGGAAGGGCCATTTTGCTCGTTGGAGGAGTTATTGTCACTGGGAAAGAGTCTGCGTTGATTTGGTTGGGAGTAATCGTGTTGGCTGTGTTCGTGGTGATGTTGAGGCGAGTTGACACTTCTTGTTGTATGAAGGAAACTAGCGCTTTGAGATGGCTAAAATATAGCGATAGGAAGATAGCTGTGATTGCGATTGAAAACGAGAGAAGTAGTTTCATCGGCGCTGGAAGGGAATATTTATATGGATTGGACAATTAACGAGAAGGGAGTAGAAATGTCTGGAGCCATTGGGACATGGCCATTTAGTCAATTCTTATAATCGGCTAATAAGCATCTGCATATCAGTTAGTGTCTGTAGATCGGCGATGAGATGGGGCTTACAAAGATCAAGGTCAGCAGCCGCTAGTCCGCTTTTGGGCGTCCCCTGGATTTCCAATCGCTGATTCAGTGGGTCGGTGGACTCTTTTCCGGCCGTTGATTGGTAACTGACTCAGACTTCACTCAGCAACCTGGAAATTCGTTCCTCAGGTGCGTGTTGCTCATGTACACTGTAGTACATCTACCGTGATTTTAGGTAATGCTCAGTCATGGCTGAGTTCTTCCTTGACTCCTGTATAGTGTCATCTCTTAGTAACTGCTCACTTGAATATATTCTATTTCGCCCTGTAGTTCGTTGTATTTATCTGGTTTATGTACAAACAACTTTGCGCTACCTACACATACAGCTACTAGGTAGAGCCTGGGGGGATGCAGGTACTACAAACTGGAAGGTCAGCCACCAATCAAACAGATGTCAAATCTATAGCAAAACCATCCAATCGCTCTTCAATATTCATTCAAAGTGCATGAATCTATGACCTCCATTGATCTGGTTGGTCATTCCCTTCTGGCTCTAGTGCACAAGGCACGTGGTGATAAGCCGAAACCCCCAACGCAACCGTTCAATCGGATGTTCTTCACAGCTGTCATGTTGCTCTGCTTCCAACTGCAGCGAGGGCTTTCCCTCCAGCACATATCTTCCCATATAGTACCATGATGACCAATTGAACTATCTCTACCTTTCTTGTTCATATTCTAATTAATAGAATTTCCTTCCATTAAGTGACGTGGGCCTCAGAGTTCCACCAGGAAAGCTCTCATCAGGCCAGATCGTTGCAAGTCCGTAACGCCCCAGCCAAGCAGCGCCCAACGCTATCGACATTTATCGTTACAACTCGCCGCCATGGGCCGGCGCAACCAAATCGTAGCGTCCTTGCTAACTTTAGCATGCGCGACTTCTACCGCCCTTGCGAACAAGAAAGTCTTCAATATTCACGACGATCTACTCGCGTTTCCTCAAGTACATCCCACTCCCAGTCGTTGCGCTAACACCGACATTCTCGCTAATCTGAAAGCTAAACTTAGTACCAAGTCCTTTTCCCTGACGAATATGTTCTTGACTCTCACGCGAAAGAATTACTACGGACGCAAAGTAGCCCTCCCGTTTCCGATGACCAACAGGGAAACTCTCTACAAAAGCCGCAGATCCCGCTAAAGCCTCGCACAGATGAGTCGCAAGAGCACAGCCCGCAACAGGAAGGAGGACTGCAGCTCACATACGAGGAGCTAACCCTCCAAGGCCAACGATTCCTCTGTCAAATCCCGCAAGTCGAGAAAGACGAAAGGGTCCGACGAATAAGACCAAGGAGGCCAGTGAGACGGACGAGAAGCAGGAGCTGGCTCGGGCGACGGACCGCGGCTTGGAACTTCTTAGCGAGATGGAAGGGAAATGCATGTACTATGTTTCGGGCTGGTGGTCGTACTCGTTCTGCTACAAGAAGCAGATCAAGCAGTTCCATGCGCTGCCTTCTGGCAGTGGGATCCCTAACTATCCTCCCATGGAGGATCCGGCAACGCATTCGTTTATCCTGGGCCGGTTTCCCCGGGCCAATGAAGAGGAGGATGGTGAAGCTGAGCGCAAAAGGCCGGCCGAGGCGACAACAACAGCAACAACGACGGACGTGGCCGAGCTCCAGACGAAGGGGGGATCGCGGTATCTGGTGCAGCGGTTGGAGGGCGGGACTAAGTGCGATTTGACGGGGAAGAACCGGAAGATTGAGGTTCAGTTCCATTGTCATCCCCAGTCGACGGATCGCATTGGCTGGATCAAAGAGCTGACGACTTGCTCCTACTTGATGGTCATTTACACCCCGCGCTTGTGCAATGATGTCGCCTTCCTACCCCCACAGCAGGAGGAGCTCCATTCAATTGAGTGTCGCGAGGTTCTCTTACCTGACCAGGTTCCCGACTGGGAGGCGATGCGGCAGTATCACCTGGCCCAGAGACTTGTCGAATCGTCTGCTACTACGTCAGAATTTCCTATCGTCGGTGACATTGAGGTCGGTGCCAAGAAGCTCGTGGGCACCGAAGGCAAGGAAATCGAGAAAGGCCGCGTAGCTTCCGCCGGAGAAGAGAAGGTGGAAGTGGTGGCCAAACGCGAGAATGGTGAGGTGTTGCAGCTGTCCAAAGTCGACCTAGAAAAGCTTGGGCTTGACCCGGAGAAGATCGAAACCCTGAGACCCGACTCGAAGAGCTCGCTCAGGGTAAGGACTGGACATTGGAACACGTCACGGCCAATGGCGAGCGTGGATTGAGAGGCATCGTGGACACCGATGAAGATGAAGAGGAGGAAGAAACGGGAGCCAAGTCTGGAACAGAGTCGGAGGACCATGGCACAACGGAAAAGCCGCAGGAGAAGGCTCCCGCCGAGAAGAAAGTTCCAGAGAAGGAGGTCCTAGAGGCTAAACCGAAGGACGAGCCAAAGGGGGAGGAGCTGCCTGCGGACAACGCGGAAGAGGGCAGTGAGGAAATCTTCAAAGATGAACTGTAACTACCCTTAGACTATGTCATATTTGTACTTGACGATTTGTAGATCTGTGTCTATTCTTGGTTATCATTTTTCATCCCAACAAAGTACCTGCAATCTCAACTTCTGGGTACCTTGACACATATACAAAGCAAAAGATTCTATCATACAGAGCAATAGGCCATCCCTCAAGTCCATAACCTACGGGGCAACTCGTGAATCATAGCCATAGTCAACGCATAAACACTGAGGAACTCCATCCCATGAATATATCAAGGAACGCCCAAGCACCTAGCAAACAAATCCATCCCACCCGACAGCCCGGCACATCAACAAACCGGCCTCGACCTCAAAAGACACACAGTATCATCCAGATCACGACCGATCAAAGCCCTAGTATACCATCAGTACCCAACCAACCAACTAAGTAAAAACAGACACATATATATATGTAGAACATACGGCCCATATCTACTGTACGGCGTCCGCCCGAAACACCGCCCAAAACACCGTCCACAGTCACACCGTCCATAGTCCTCATCGATAGGAATAGCCCTAACCACACCGCCAATCTCTTCCAGGAACTCGATCACTGCTCTCCTAATCTCTTTTACGCTTTTGCGTCGGGTTATGGGCTTAACAGTCTGTGATTCAGCTTCTGAGACTTCTGAAGAAGAAACTGTGATGGTTGTGCTGGGTGATTTGGGCTTGGAGTGTCTGGATAGACGCCTGCGGAGGGATTTGAGGGAGATCGGGTGGAACTGTGTCATTCTTATCTCTGGCTGGTGGTAGTGGTAATGAGTTGTGTATGCGTGGTGGTTTGTGAGGGTTGTGTGGATAGTGAGGTTGAGGGATAGTTTAGCTTACAAGGGATGTGGAATGTTACTAGGAATGTTGTCAGGTGGTGGGGGGTGGAGTCACTGTCACTATGATGGTGGTGATTATTACTGCCTGCTGTGTAGATTTGGATGGTGATGTTGAGCCATGGATGGGTAGAGGGAAGACGTGTGTGTGACTCTATCTGCCTTATTTAGGGTTGTGCTTTGTGTAGGTAGCACTGTAGATGGATATATGTATGAGTCTGTCGGAGAGGTGCGAATAAACTTGTAGCGTGGATCTCTCATCTGAGGGTTATTAGGATCTATATCGTGCTCCAGGCTTTTGGTATGATGTATAGAGATAATAGAGCTTAGCCGTAATACTTGAGCAACAAGCAGCCCTATCTCTTTAGTACATGGTGTCACTTCTTCTTCGGCCATTTTACGGTCTTTGGGGTACCATTGAAGATCAATCAGGTTGTAGGAATACCATCGCCTATTGTCTGACTGTCTGAGCACGCAGTATACAAGAAGGAAGTTCGGATAACAGACTCACTCGTCAGCAGTGGTTAATAAGGCAGTGCAGAAAACGTGACCGGGCGCTTCTGATGCCTAAGGCTGCACCCCCTCACAGCCTCCACAGGAGTAAACCAAACCACGAACGGATCGGCCAACTTCCTCCATTCCCTCCCTCGTGTGTCTGTCTCTCCCTGAAACTCTTCCGACTCGACCCTTTCTCTCCCACATTTCTCTCGTTTCCCTATCCCACCCCGCCCGGTCAACGGCTCACACGGGAGTTCTCTCCGTTTCGCCCTCTCCTCATCCTTCCCCGTCCTATCCGACAGTTGCGGTGCTGCGGCCTCGGGCTCGATATCGGTACCTGAAGTACTGCCACTGCGTAATTGCCAAGCCCACCACCACGAACTAACTAACCCCCCCGACCGACCCATCGACCGTCGCCCGACCTTTGAGTCTACTCTCCGCTATCTCCCTCAGGGCCCAAGCGGGAGCACCATTTGGTTACACGACCATTTAGAACCGCTGCTCTTGGGAGCAGCAGCTGCAATAATACAACAACTCCTTCTACGATAGCCGGAATTCTATCCCGGTTTGCCAGCTGACGGCGCCCACCATGGGTTTCCTCGGTGTGTACACGGCCCTTTATGACTATCACCCTCAGGCGCAAGGTGAATTAGAGCTTCGCGAGGGTGACCTATTATACCTCCTGGAGAGCAACGACGAAGACGATTGGTGGAAGGCCAAGAAGAAGGCGGAACACGATGATGAGGACGAGCCCGAAGGTCTTGTGCCTAATAACTACATAGAGGAGGTAAGGATGTATCCTATCGCACTTTGCTGTGCAACCTGGAATTCACATGAGGCATTGCTGTTGTCCTCCGGGCCTCCCGTTCTCTGACCGGAGCTGGTGGTTGTTCGTTCCCACCCTCAGGGGTAGAGAGTGGATCACCGTTGAATCGGACATTTACTGACTGTGGAACCGAATTGAATATACAGGCCCAGCCAATTCACTCTGCCAAAGCGCTATTTGATTACACACGCCAAACAGACGAAGAGGTATCCTTCTCCGAAGATGCAGAACTGGTGGTGTACGACATATCGGACCCGGACTGGACCCTAGTTGGGGTCAGCGGGGATTTCGGTTTCGCCCCGGCAAATTATATCGAGATTGTTGAACAGGCTGCCCACGCTCCCGCAGCATCATCTGTTCCTGCTCCTCCCGCCGAAGCCGCACCTCCGACACTCCCGCAGCGCCCAACGGCGGCACCGACAGAAGAGGCCAGCAGCCCTGTCTCAAGCTCGCCCATCGGCACCGTTCAGAACCCAGCCGCCGCAGCGATTGCTGATATAATTCACAAACAGCATGCAGAGCCCGAAGCCACCAGGGCAGTGCCGCCACCCCCGCAGCCCCAGCCATCGTATGAGCCCGAACCAAGCTATCAGCGGGAGCCTTCGCCGCCGCCGCCGGCCCTCCCACAACGTCCCCCGTCCCAGCAGATATCTCCGCGTGTAGAGTCTCCCCGGTCCCCGGGTCTCCCGACACGCCCTCCTCAGATCACCTTGGTGCAGGAGCAGGATAGTAAAGGACATGTGAAAGAGTCCCCGCCGTACAACAGAGTCGGCCCTGCACCCCGTTCTCCTTCCGGCTATCACATCTACAATGTCAATGAAATGGTTGAGGTGATGGGCAAAAGGAAGAAGATGCCGACAACCCTGGGTATCAACATTGCTACTGGGACGATCTTCATCTCGCCGGAAGACGATGGGGAAGAGCAGGAATGGACAGCTGACAAGCTGTCTCATTACTCCATTGAAGGGAAGCACGTTTTTGTCGACCTGGTTCGCCCCAGCAAAAGCATTGATTTCCATGCCGGCGCAAAAGACACCGCCAGAGAGATTGTCGCGGCACTTGGTGAAATCTCCGGAGCCTACCGCGCAGAGGGCTTGAGGGAAGTCATTGCGGCTGGCTCCGGTGGGGGAGGACAGAAGAAGGGTCAGATTCTCTATGACTTCATGGCACAGCAAGACGACGAAGTGGGTGTAAGTGTTGGCGATGAAGTCATCGTCCTTGATGACACCAAGTCTGAGGAATGGTGGATGGTCCGGCGCGTGAAGAATGGCAAGGAGGGCGTAGTCCCAAGTAGCTATGTCGAGATCACCGGCTATGCCTCCAGCAGTCAGCCATCAGGCGTTGACTCGGGCTTGTCGGCAGTGGAGCGAAACCGTCTCGAAGAATCAAGGTTGGCCAAGGAGGCTTTGCGCAAGTCACGAACCGATTCAATTGATTCGCCCCGCGGAGAGGTAGGCGCTGTCCGTTGGCTATTTGGCCGATATATAATGGTGTTATTAGAAACGCTAACGGTTATCTTTTTCATTATAGCATCACAAGCGTGACAGCCGTAGCAGCCAGAAGTCGAGTAAGTTCCCTTTTCCCCCTTCACTGTGTCAGGAGATTGGTCATACTAACGAACCCCAAGAGCCAGACCCAACCAAGACGAGACAATGGACCGATCGTACCAAAACTTTCACTGTGGAGGCTCAATTCATCGGCCTGCAAGACGGTAAGATCCATCTGCACAAGATGAACGGGGTCAAGATCGCGGTCCCTATCCCGAAAATGTCTATTCAGGACCTGGAATACGTTGAGAAGGTGACGGGAGTGTCACTGGACGAGGACAAGCCACTCTCCGACATCAAGCGTCGTTCAACACAGCGAGAACCTGAAAGATCCCGACCTTCGGCTGAGAACAAACGCTCCGAGTCTGCTGGAGCTTCGTTCCAGCAGTCCGATTATGATTGGTTCGATTTCTTCCTGAAAGCAGGAGTCGGTCCACACCAATGTGAGAGGTATGCGCAGAATTTCACCAAGGATTCGATGGACGAGAGCATTCTTCCGGATATTACGCCAGAAGTACTTCGCACGCTTGGCTTGAAGGAAGGCGATATCTTACGAGTGATGCGCCACCTAGATACCATGTTCAGTCGTACCGGAGCCAAGTCTAAGTTGCGCAACGTAAGCTTCGGCGGAGAGGAAGTCATCAGCAATGGTGAGGACGGCGGTAGCCTCTTCGCGGGTCCGGGAGGCGTTCTGCGCAACAATACGCGTAAGGGCAGGCCAGCGCCGGCTGTGCAGACCGGAGATGTGGTCGATCCCAAGGCTTTCGCGCAGAAGGAAGACTCTAACCACGCGGAGCCAAAGGAAGCCTCTCCAACTTCTGCGGCTCCGGAAAAGCCTGTCCAGCGTGGTTTTGATGACGATGCATGGGAGGTCAAACAGCCTAAGCAGACTGCTCCCGCGCCAGCTCCAGCAGCTCCAGCAGCTCCAGCGGCTGCAACGCCGGCTTCCCCTGCTGCAGCCTCGCCCGTGACAACGCAGCCACCACAACAGCAACTTACAGGGGCAATGGCAGACTTATCCGTGCTTCACCCTCCGCTACAGCCAACTCCTACCCAACCGACTCCCGCTTCACAACCTCCGTCACAGGCACCTCCAGTCATTCAGCCTCAGCCAACTGCTGTACCCGCGCCTGCCCCCCAACAGCCACAACAAACGGGTGCTACTCCCGGTTTCTTCTCTCAATTGGGTCAGCCGGCACAGCAGCCGCTCCAGCAGCCACTCCAGAACCCCACGCAGGGATTCAGTCCCCAAGCCACTGGGTTCCAACAAGCTTCCAGACCACGCCCGCACGCTCCTCAGACTATGGGTCAAAATTCGCTGCTTCCCCCTCCGCCTCAGCGACCACTTTCTGCACCCCAGAACTTCCCTCAACAGCAAAGCTCTTTTGGCCTCCCTCCACTGCAGCCTCAGCTGACAGGGCTACCTCAAGCTGGACCGCCACTCGCTGCTCCAGGTCAGAGTCTGGCCGAACTAAACCAGCAGCGGTTCCAGCAACCACTCCAACCACAGCCAACTGCGTTCATGCCCCAAAATCAGTTCCAAAATGGCTTGATGCCACAACCCACTGGTTTCCAACCGCAATCTCAATTTGGAATCCAGCAGCAACAGCAACAGCAAGTGGGCTTCCAGGGACTTGCCCCGCAACCCACTGGCTTCGGTTTCCAGGCACAGCCGCAACAGCCAATGCAAACCGGCATCAACTCCGTCCTTCCCCAACCCCTGCAGCCTCAACCCACCGGTATGAATGGCGTTGGCAGCATGCCTTACAACACTACGTCGCCACCGCCAATCCCACCAATTCCTCAGCAGCCAACGGCTGCACCTCTGACCCCACAGAAGACTGGGCCCGCACCCCCAATCAGGTTTGGTGTCAAGCATGACGCTCCAAAGAAGCTCGCTCCCCAGCCGACAGGTCTCCGGGCTAATCTTGCACAAGCCAGTAAGTTCCACCAGCAATGCATACATCTCTTAGGCGGCTACTAACTATCTCCCACAGCGCCCACAAATCCGTTCGGTTTTTAATCTGAACATGTATATAATCGTTTTTGCTTTCGCGGCACATGACACATATCTTATACATTATTTACTCTTCACATCGGCGATTTCCCGCGCTAACCATAAATAACTCGCGTCTTCCTACCTCTGACGCCGTAATGCGTACTAAACGTCTTGGCCCACAATCTCGATCTACGCAGTCATGTTTGGAGCAATGTCTCGCATGTGACCCCTGACGCAGCTTCAGCCAGCTAGATTTGCCGTTCTTATTTCTTCTTTCTTTCTGTTCTTGGTTATCATTGTCCAGGCAATGCGTGATCCTAAAGATATGACTTGACCTCTGTTCTGTTTCTTTTGTTCCTGATTGGTACTTGATACTCCCAATTACCTGTCTCAGATTGACTGTCTCGATACAACGTTTTCTTATGTTACATTAATGTATGTTTGGGGACTCTGGAAAAATATCCTTTTGGTTGGATGAGCTGCTGAAATGTGCCTTTATACCTCTCTCTCTCTCTACTCCGGAGTAGGGTGCCGGGCCGATAGTAGAAGTGCTTATATTCTTGTTACCTCCTTCTTTCTGCTTTTCTTAGTCATATTGTACGATACATAGAGGGGTACTCTAATAATACTTTGACAGGGTCGTTGGCAAGTGGAGCCAACTATCAGAAGCAGAGCACTGCCAGCCACGGCTGCAGCTCCCCCATCCCAATTGTATAGAAGCGTACCATATTAAGTAGCGTGGTGGGGCCATTAGTACTTCCATGAAGCCATAAACTTTTCACATCTCACTGGCAGTTTGGTTGCATCCCCCTTAAGAATATAGAACTAGCACAGCATTGTAACAGATTAAGCACCAAGTGCATTCGCTTCGATAAATCTTGCAGCACCGTGCAGTACAGACCCGAAAAGCGCACGCTGTCTCTCCATGTTCAGAGAGCTTCGGTCATGGTTCCTTGGGTTTCACGTTGAGAGACGAAATAAGGTCAACAATGACATCAGCCCGGATGGTCTAGTGGTATGATTCTCGCTTGTAAGGAGACCTCGTCGCCATTCCATCAATATCCTCGATACTAATAAATACTCTTAGTGGGCTATATAGTACCAATCTGCGAGAGGCCCCGCGTTCGAACCGCGGTTCGGGCCCTTCTTTTTTTTGCACTTTTTCCTTCTTTACTTTATTTATTGTATATCATAACAGCTCCTCTCTCGCCACCTAATTGATGTACGCACAACAGTTACTGTCAGAGCCAGTAGAGCCAAAGACCAATTCCCCAAAGGGGAAACAGGACCCTGATCCCTCACGGAGTAGTAGGCCGTCGGGGTGATAACTAATCATCATACAAAACCTGCTGCATCCTCGTATCTGCAAGCCCATTGCCATATCACACCGCGCTATAGAGGATCAAAAGCCGGGAAAAGTGTTTCGTGGCCTTACAGAGGAAAGGGGCTGTAGAACCTCAGCCTTACAAAGCAGAAGAATGCCGCCGGCGATAGCTGCAGAAGGCGAGGGAACCTTGAGGGTTCCTGGCTAGTCTACATGAAGAGTATCTTCGTCGTATGACTCGGGATTTGACTCGTGTGGGGTTACGGAGATGGCCTGGATCCGGCCCGGCTCGGCTCCCGTTTCCCTGTTTTTATGAGGCTAAATGGCTTGCGGGGATTCCGAGCCTCAGCCTTCAGCATTGCGGTTAGCGCCTTTTAGGCGTCCTACTCTCAGCCTCATTGGGAAAGTGATTGCCCAGCCTGCTACGGAGTGCTTCGCGCATAGCCCATGATCTTCAGGGACCTCGGCTGAGATGCTTTCGCCCTAAGCTTATTCGACTGCTCGTGTACTAGTTTGATCGGCGCTAATGCCTCGCCTTGATAGCACGTTTGTGAACCCTCTGGCTTTTCTTCAAAAGCTTGCAACGTCGGGAGTTGGATCTGTGGAGCTACTATTCAGAAGCATAAAGGATTTTTCTGAATATTAATCCGCTCACTCCGATCACCTTATCTACGAGTCAGTACCCAAAGTGTAAGTGTGGCATCATGACCGATTACTGATCCATCGGAGTAGAGCTGAAAAAGATGTCAAGCCAATGGCATCTCATCGATCATTCAGTAGGGCTCCACAAGGGGACCTACTTCTGGTTTTTTGGTTAGCCAAGATTGGGGGCCGTTCTATACCATTCAACAAGTTTCAGGGTCCATTTAGCGCCGCATAAACAAGCCATACACTAAGGTTCTTGGTACGACAACTGTGGGGTGTAGGAACCCTGCAGTAGTCGCCTTCACCATTCCTGTGCCCTAGACATGAGGCCAGACGCATTTGTGGGTACTACCTGTACAGCCACGAGATACTGGGAAGCCGGGGAAGCCGGATAAAGGGCAACAGCCGCTGACTCAGATGCAAGGAGGTTTTTTTTCCGGTCACTGCTATACCTGATCGCCACTCATGTCTGCTGCTTCGCTGTGGATGTTGACTAGGCCTCTGTAGACCTTCCACCGGCCTTACCTTTGCGGACATCTCTCCGCGGCCCTCATGGAGACACTGCTTCCAGTTCTGGCTCCGCCGGCGGAAGGTGGACATCCGTGAAGAGCATTACTTGTTCCACCAGTGATCATCACTACTATTGACTGGCGATGTGGGGTCTTCTATACAGTGCTCCTTCGATTGGTGATTGTCACTAGTTGTTGTTGGACACTGTAAGATTACCATTGGACGGACGTCGAACTGTTCCTGTTTAGGAATCTGGTATCAGGCACAGGTCAGCATATCCTTACAGGGACCCACGGAGGCTACAAGTCCAGCATCAAGAAAGAATCCCTGCAGGACAACCATGTGATGTAACGCTCTCGAGGCTGAGTGATCCGGTCGTCTAAACATTAGGCCGAATGGTGGCCTTGAAGGATCACACCGGACCAGTCCACCATCGCAGAATCCGAATCCGAATCCCCGATTACAAAAGCAGCCCTCAAAGAAAGGTATAAAAGGGCCCCTCCCCATCCCTCCAAACCAAACTTTCATCATCACAGCAAACAGCTTCATTCACTCATCACAAGAAACCAAAAACAACAAACCAAGTTCATCCAACGGATCAAATATGCAGCTCAAAAACCTCCTCTCCACCCTCCCATTCATCACGGCCGTTCTGGCCTCCCCAGCCCCCGTGCCAGCCCCCGTGCCCGGCACCGTCGCCGTCGGATACGGCCAGCAGCTCCAGAACAACGACCAGGCCAACCACTGGGTCGTCTGGATCGAGGGTGAAAGCGCCTGCCCGAACACCCGCGTCCTAGCCAGGCTCACCGACAGCCCCTGCGACCAGACCTTCTATTTCAACAACAAGGCCTACCATCTCGCCGACTGCGGTAGCGACAACGAGCCCCGTCGTGTGGTTCAGCCCGGTGGTGGCTCTGCTGGCTGCTCGCGCGATAACCGCAAGATTACCTGCCACGGTAGCACCCATGACATTGTCAAGCATGGAAAGTGCGGTTAAGTGGATTGATTGAGTTTGGATATGACGCGTGGGAAGGGGGATTGTGGAAGTGTGGATTCGGGTCCTGGGTGATGCGCGGAGACAGAGATTGACGGGGATGGTGGAACTAGTCGTGGCTATAGTCTTGTGCTACATGTCAGTAACTCTACATTTGATGTCATGGCCTATATAGGTTTAGCTAGGTTGAATGAGATGGAAGTTAGTTGTGTTTGAGTGGTGGTATGATACATAAGCAAGACTATCCCGGGACTTCCTACATGGAAACTCCAGATAGGAATAGTATCTGCAATATCTGCACTAATATACGCCATCATGCTCTATCCTAGTCAGGTATGATGATAATGAATGAACTACCGGATCCCTTAGCGCCGGGAGGGACCGCCGGAACCAACAAACCGATTGGCATAAACCCTCCCGGAATGGTTCATGACTACTAAGGGCTCGCACAGACTCTGTTCGTTGGACGGAGATGATTACATTACTGTAACACCGCTCGGAGGCTGCCCTTCAGTTAGTAGCTTATGAAAAAATATAGGAAATATCAGGTAGCGTGCTATCTTTCCAGAATTGTATTATTGTCGTTCTGTGCAGTTGTAACAGTCTGTATCTTAGAGGTACGATTTCTGGCTTTTGTGTGAGGGTACTATCATGCAAGGTCATGCTACGGAGTCTTCGAGATCGGCTTTTGAAGTGGGATTATCTTGCAACGCACTAAGTAAACTGTCTATAGAGTTACATGGTTGTATGTCTCTACACTTGTTTTAAACGGCTTATGTAGCAATCGTGATGAGAGTACGGGTACCAACATAGTATACTAAATTAGGCTATACTGCTAGAGATACAATCTACTATATATAACACACAGAAAATCATGATCAGCCAACCACGATCTCAAACTTATATCATATCTTCCATCTCAGTGCTTTAGCTGCGACAGTCCAAACTTGACGGAAGAATACAATTAAAGTATAGCAATACATCGTGACACCCGTATCATATCCCTACTCAACTACAGCTCAACTCATGGACCCCAGCCCCTTCCCCAATATCCATCTTCCCAGCCCTCGCCTGCCTCAGCCCAGCCAGCTCATACGCCAACACAGCGCGACAACAGACAACCGACGCGAGGAACCGCCCGGCGTTAGCGAGCGCATCTTGAACTGAAATAAACAATAGACTGGATAGCACCATCGTGCCATACAGGATATGAACTACTGCTCCAGTGGAGACACACCAAGAAAACAACAGGAATAGATACGATTCTTCGATCTCGTCGACGTCCGGGACAGGAGTAGCGTATAACGATGGGGTGATCTCACGAACGAGATATCTCCGAAACCGATTCAGCCGGGTATTACGTAGTTCTACTACAGGGTGTCGGATGACGCGGTAGCGGAGTGATAGAGCGATCATTCCCCCGATATGAATCAGTGCGATGATGAACGCCCAGATAAGTGGCTGCGCAGTGACTTCCGTCGCGTAGTTGCATATGCACCGGATGCCTAGCTGGTAGCAGACGGTTGCGACGTTCGCGACGGCGCCTAACGCGACGATATACTCCAGCGCCGAGATGAGGATCCATGTCCTCCCGCCCGGTTTCGCGATAGCAATCCTTTTCTTTACCCCGTCGGCGCCGAGGAGTGCTTTCACGTTCGGGTATTCGAAGGGTCGGTCCGGGAGAACGGCCGGTGATCCTAGGGCTAAACACAGCGAGAGGAATGGTCGGCCTGCGACCCGTGCCAGGATGGCAGTGTCGACCGTGTTGGAACCCAGCATGGAGAGCATGGTCGGCAAGAGGCCGAGGATGACGCCTGCGTTGGCCATGTTGGCTTTCACATTTTCCGGGAGGTTGCTTAGCATACAAGAGACCAGAGGCGCGGTCAAGGCGCTGCCCTTTGTCGGGTCATACCAGAGCTGGTATTCTGGGTCGAAGCCCGGGGTTTGGTTGAGGTAGTTGTGGTATTGCTCGGAGCAGTTGTTGTTGAGGACGAATTCAATCTGCAAGCGGAATTGTTTGTACCAGTGCTGGAATTGATCGGGCGCTGCTGCTGCCACGGCAGCCTGTATCAGGAGTAGAAGCAGTATTCGCATGGTGGGATGAGGCTTTGTGGTGCGACGAGGAATTGAAGCAGTGGTTATCAGGAACTCTTCGAGCGAAGCTGATTCCTTCCCTGATTTAATTCAAGGCGCTAAAACCGCCCCTCCGGATGATTACGAGTCATTGTTGCACTGTCATCGTATCAGTTCCTGCATACCTGATCCGTGTGGCGGCTTAGCGTATCCTTCACGTCGATGATGAACCTATCTTGGATAGCTCGACATAGTGTGACTGAGAGAGCCTATCAGGCTGTTCTCTTGGGGCTAGCGGAGATTGAGCGCAAGGATCGCACCGACCTAGGACAGCTGGAGCTTTGACACCTTTTCTTTAGTTAAGGCAACCGTGACTTTACAAATGCCGATGCCAAGGTCCCTAACTTATCACGCGCTTGACAATCTATTAGGGTTTAGCAGCCCTATCTTGGGGTTTCTGACCTCATGCGTAACTCCTGAGGGCCCGACAGAAATTGTACGACTGCCCTAGTCCCACTGAACTCAGACTACCAGAGCATTCCAGATGGAATAAATAACTAGGGCTTTGTATGTAACATCTCGTCTAACGCTAATACAACGCCCAGCTGCTAATTCAAAGGGGTCAAATAGTCATAAAGTTGGTCATAAATACAGAGGATAAATGTACAACTCATCTTGCTCCAGGGGTATATGCAGATACTGTGGGGATCGAAGAGGGCCAAATAGAGAAAGGCCAGTCTCGGAAGAGGTGCAGCAAAGGTTGAAGTGAAATTTGTACGGAGAGGTGAGATGAAATCAAGTCTCTCCCCAAAGCCCGAACACAGGAAGATCCTCCGCCATATAGAGGAGTCCATTATCTGAAAGGATCATATCAGAGAGAGGTGTTTGGCCTTCGTTGTCCGGCATTCCATGTGGGCCAGTAGGGATTGTACCTCCTGGTGAGCAACCGATGGGAATGCCTGTCGTCGTCAAAGTGGAAATGGCTGTGTCGTATGGGAAGGGTCCTTCAGTGGCACATAAGGCATCCCAGATACCGTCATCAGGGTGGGATGTAGCAGTTGTTTGGTCTATAGATTGGGAGGGGAGGGGCCCGTCGGCAAATTTGTCTGGGGATAGAGGAGACGGGACTGTTGCTTGATCCCCGCGGTTGGTTGAAATGGTGTGGTGGTTACTACTAGTGCTTGAAGCTTCGTTGGACGGGCCTACTTCGCCAAAAAGCTGGTCGACTTGTTTGCTACGACGTTCCATCCATTGACGATTCCGGCGGCGGACGTATTCACCAACTGCACCTCGGAGGTATTTGATGATTTGGAAAAAGCGGCAGGCATGAGGATCATGCGGAACGAACAAACCAAGGAACTTTTCGGCCTTGTTCAAGCCCTCTTCCAGTGGGAGCAGATTGTCATAGTCAGCAAAGAATGCGGCCCCTAAGACAACAGCCGAGTTGAAAACGGAATTGATTAAGAATGGAAGCCTTCGCGGAAGGGACGAGTAGAGAGAGAGATCGTCAACGACGTTGAGACTGCGCAATGCGGAATAAACGCATGCATCGGCAAAAAGCGAGAGTCGCGAGTTGTTGACTTTACTCTCGGAAAGTCCTGACGACTCGCTTTTATTTTTCACATACTGAGAGACTCGGAAGACCAGGAATGGCCGGGTCAACAGAATAATCGACCAGTAATACGAGCCGAATATATGGGCTGCAGCCAAGGTGTCCTCGAGAGTTTTGGCAGCATCAAGTCGTTCTGTCTGCATTCGTAGGAAGGTTGGCAGGTTTCGGACCCACGCGCGATGTTGATTCGAGATGCTGTCCGCAACACTAATCGACACCACCTGCCTCATGTAAACTTCCGTCAGGATCCGCTCGAAAATACGACATAGCGAAACAACCGTCAGGGAAAGTTGCTCTTCCGGCTGCAGGCGCTGTTGTGCCCCTGGCGTGTTGCCATCGTGTGGGTCGTAGTCAAAGTCCGTCGTGGCTGGAGGGCGACCCAGAGAGGCGCTGAGGAAGAGATCCATCATGCGCAGGCTTTTCCACACACGTTCCCGGGCACGCCGCTCTCGCGTGCAGAAGAGCGTGTTCGCATCTTTCCTGTGGATGCCGACCGCATACGCGGCACGAAGAGCAATTCCCAGATTCATGAAAGCGCCGTTGCGACGGCAAGCACCCAGCATATACATTGAAATGAGGACATATGACTGTATAGTGGAGATGCTGGGGGTCTCCGTAAAAGCCGAAAATGCCAGCTGACGCCCACTGATAAAGTATTTCTCCGCCAGGGTGTGGTTGGTATCCGATACTTGGGCCCCAATGGCGAGCACTAGATAAAATATTGAGCTCACGGTGTCTTCGTCGCCCGTTGGGTTCTCAATCCAATTGGCCAGTCGCGGATGGAATTCCTCAAGGTCAAAGAGATTCAATAGGGGACTAGTTGCAAGAACATATTGGCGAGCCAATTGTTGAGCTTCTTCATTGCTTGGGGGCGGTATCAATGGTCCTGTCTGTGTAGTGGAGCTACTTTGAAAAGCCTCAAGCATTGAATGGCGTGAATTATCTTCCGTGAATTCGCAACGGCCAATTGACGAGGATACTATGCGACGGACACTTTGGAGAAAGGACAAACTCGCGGAGTCGCCAATATACATAAATTTACCTTGTCCATCGCGAAGAAGCCTGGCCACCTTCGGAACCGGAGCCGTCCCGTCTTTATCATCCACCACCTGTTGTTCTAGATTTGCGCTACGATCTTCGAGGGAGTTCAGCAGTCGGTCCATGGCGGTTTGTCTTTGCGGAGTAGGCACAAGGCGTTCGCTGAGCAACATTGTATCTTTCGAGCTCTCGCTGGGCTTCAGCAAGCGGGCCGGCTTGTCCGAAAAATGGCATTCTGATTCTTTGTGGCGTTGAACACAGATTGTGCATGGTTGCTCTCCATTGCATTTCTGCTTCCTCCGCTTACAGCTATCGCACGCTCGTCGGCATCGTAGCCGGCCACCCGGAGGCGCGGTGACCTTCGGCATGACACAAATGGGGCACCTGATGGATATAGACTCCGGATCTCAGGTTAAATTGAAGTTCGTAACCGGCCGAGCGAAGTTGCCGCGAATAGAGTAAATGCCGAAGTGCCAAGTCGCGGGGTCCGGTGGTTATTTGATATTCGATCGTGATGAGGGTCGCCTACTCCGGCCGACTGAAGGCCACTCAAGACATGACTCCTCGGTCTATACCAGGCGATCGATAATCACGGCTAGTCACCCTGCCGACGTGGTTAGTTGTGTCTAGCGAGAGAAATTGCATTGCGAAGAGGATTAAGCCGGGATGGTTTGCTTTCCCCGGAATAAAATGCGGAGCACATCCACGCCGGATTATTAAGCATCGCCCAGACCGCCTGGCCACACTCATTCAATTGTCGTCATCAATCCATACCACTATGTAGCTGGAAAATACATGAGACTCGCAAAAACAGAGCCATCTACTCAGGGCGGAAAGAGACAATCTTCCCCCATGTATCAGCCGTGCCCCAGATACCATGTCGCAAGCACGACAGCTGCACAATCTGACTATGGTCGACAAAAAGGTTGACATCAATACCAAACTCCCGTATATACCAATTGTAGACCTTTGGATCTGCAGCCTCAAACATTACGCGCTCCGACGGCAATTCCTTCATGATCGTGGACACCACATCCGTGCGCCAGGACTGTACATTCTCCGTGATGCCCTCGGACTCGATCATCAGGCGCTCTACCCCCGCGTGAGGAACTTATGGCCTAAGCTGACCAGCTTTCCAGGATCCGAGGTGCCGATCGCCTCTAGGCCGGCGGCCGGGGTGTCGCCGCCTGCGCCGAATTGAATACCCAGCTCGGGCTTCGCTTTTAACTTGTATGCGTGGACTTTGTCGACGAGGCGCAGCCAGTCGTCTTCGGGGAGTGATAGGAAGCCGGATGAGAGCTCGATTACGTCAAAGCTGTAGTACTGGTGTGTCAGTATGGTGTATGTGGCGCACAACTAGGTCAAATGGCGACAAACCCTAGGTCCCTGCACTTCTGGAGGTATTTGTCAAAGACGGCATTTGTATCTGGATGAGTGAGGAGGTGCTCGGCCCATCCACCCTACACATCTAAATTAGACAATATGCCCCCTTAAACCCAATCATTGTACAGGGCAAACCCACCGTCGAAACATAAACGCCATGCTCATGAGCCAGATCAATCAGCTCCCTCAAGGGCTTCTCCTGAAACAGTGAAAAAGAGCCTATAACCGGGGTCAGATCGTTAGTTCGACAAGACTCGACGCTGCGCCTACCTCCCGCAAACTTGAGACCATCCACGTGAGTCCCCATTCTGTAAGCCGTACGTTAGCAACACTATGTTATTATCGTTGCTGCTGAACATACGTTTCAAGCACATCGGCCAGGTATCTCTTGCCCATCACCTATAGTGCATCGCATAACATCAGCCCAACTGCAATCGACAGTACATTTGCAAAATGATATAGTGCATACCGTGTAGTACGGGCCCCTGATCTCGGTGACACCCTTGCTCCTCGGCTTTGGCGGCCTAGGGTTGGACCGTGCGAACCCGAATCCATTCTTCTTATCCTGGAGCAGGGTTACATTCTTCTCTGCGGGTGTTGTCGCAGTTAGATATCTGCAAGGTCCCATCGAACATACGACTTTCGGGACCTGTTGGAAGGCAGATTTCAGGATGGGTTTGGAGGAAACGGGGGAGAGGCGTGGCATATTCGACAACATGGTGACTTTTATATAGTTGTACTTCTCGTGCAGCGGATGAGCGGAGATGCCGAAGGACAGAACAACTAATTCAACTACTAGAAAATAGGTTTATACGCGTAGGATCAGTTGATTGACCTCAGAAATATATATAGTTGCTCTATATCTATGTGTTTGGTGTGAGATTCCCCTGACGTAAGGTGTGTGTCACCCCGGTGGAGAAGCAAAGAGCGGATTATGGACCGCCATGCATAAATCAGAGGTATTAATCTGTGAGTGTATCCTGCTATTCGCCCTTTGATTGCCTCTTCTGTACCATGTATTTCTCTACATCATTCTAAGGACGATGGGGTCATCATGTCCACGTGATCGATATCAAATTCTATACATGTGGACTCAGGAGTATGTTGTAAGACTATAGAGTTTCCCCGGCAACTCTAAGGAGAAAACTGGCTACTATTCAGATGCTCGTATGCATTTCCCGGAGTCCAATCCTAATACCAAGACTTGTGGTCATAGGCCAGTAGTACTCGATCTTACAGGCTAGTATACTACGTCCATACAATGGTCCACAAGCTATCTACTGCCAACGGTTAATGATAATCTCCGCCGCTTTTTCAGCGATCCCATATACAGCTGTCTGTGGATGGCCGGATAACAAAACTGGAATGACACTGGCGTCGACCACCCGAAGATTCTCCGTGCCATACACGGTCAGATTTCCATTGACCACCCCATGGAGTTCCTGCGGTAACATCGCACATGTGCCGACAGAATGCCATATTGTTGAAGCACTGTTGATTACATACTCCATCCACTGTTTATCACTATCGGGCCCATCACCAACCACCGAAAGGCCTGGTTCGTATTCTTCGGTCCAGGCGTGCCGGAGAGGGGCTGTTGATGCCAACTTACGCATGTACTTCGCGGCAGATATGAGAGCCTGGATATCATATTCATGGGAGAAGTAGTTTGGTTGTATCTGCGGAGCTGTCGAGATCGAGGATGACGTCACATGTATCGACCCCGTACTGAAGGGGTGCAGCATGACTGCGATCAACGTGAAGAAGTTTGAACCGTAGAGTGGAGATGTCTTTGGTGGGTACCCTTTTGTTCCGAGATATCCATCTCCGGAGATTATCTCAACCTGTGGAACATTCTCTTCTTCATGTTGTATTTGATGAAGCTGAATATGAGCTCTGATGCGCTCGATGGGCGACGATGAGAGGGGTTTATCAGCGGCTTTGCTAAAGATTCCATGCGCGTAGGCTCGTCAGCCACGCCAGTCCAGTTAAGAAAAGCGTAGCTACCCCCTGTATAGTCGTATATGGACTTTTTACCTGCATTATAAGCTTTCAGTTGCTCTTTCGCGAAAGTGGTATTTGTCTGAAGCATATCGAGCGAGGTGTAGTTGGGGAGAAGTCGATAGGAGCTCTCAATTCGCAGATGATCCTGCAGATTCTCTCCAACACCAGGGAGATCAACTAGCTGTTGGATATTGGCAGCACGCAGCACATCTTTCTGACCGATTCCGGAGAGCTCCAACAGGCCGGGGCTTTGCAGGGTGCCAGCAGCAACAATGACTTCCTTCTTTGACCAGACAGTTGTGTTATCTTCCAGAGTGACGCCTGTTGCTACCTGATCTCCTCGATCCATACTCACCAAATCAATCTTGCGCACCCTAGTCTCTACCCGTATATGAAGATTGGGTCCTGCAAGCGAGGGATATCCTGGGTGGTGGGCACTATACGACCTTTTCCGATCGCTATACCGGACGTTTGAAGGCTGGAACACGCGGCCAAGCACGTTTCCTCCCAGTGAATTGCGGTTCTCTGTCACATCCAGGGTTTTCAGCGCTTCCATGAAGAACTCCTGGTGTTCTGGCACCCAATCACCGATCATCGTCTGGACAGGACCACCAAAATCTACGCCTTGGTCACCGTACTTGTCTGACAAAGTGAAATTCTCAGCTTTGAGCATAGAGCGGATCATCTCTGACCAGTCCCATCCATCATTTCCTAACTTTTTCCATGTGTCGTACTCGACCTTACTAGCTCTGTTCCACGCCATGAAGTTAAGTGCGGAACTTCCGCCTAGGACCTTTCCTCGGCCTTGAGCCAGGGAACGGTTGCCCGCATGCTGTTGTGGGACAGTAGTGAAATTCCAGTCGTACGATGATGCGATGGCCGAGCCCCTCATAGCCGGGATATTGATGCGAGGCTCGTTCGCGGCATCAGGGCCAGCTTCCAGCACAAGGATAGAACTCTCCGGCAGTCCATGACTTAGTCGTGAGGCCAGGGCAAGACCGGCTGTGCCGCCCCCGACAATAACCTATTGAGAGTATTAGAAGATGATGGTGGGAGCGGAAAAATGATCCCCAGTGGCCCTACAAAGTCATACTCAAGGTCGGCTTGACAAGTCGCGGCAGCAATCGCTGTCAAAAACAGCCTGAGTAGCATCCTCAACCGGAGTTGCTTTGGTTGCGATTGAGCCGTGTAGAATCTCTTAGTCGTAGGACCGTTGCTGAATTGCAACATGGGCGAAGAGCCCTCTTATATGTAATATCACATGGTTCCTTCCATTTTCGAGGTCAATCCCTTGCCTTGGTATTTGTGAATGGACTGTGGCTGACCTCCGGGATGCGACTGCCAACTTAGATGCCCCTGGGGCCGTCGTGAGTGCAGTACACAAGTTAATTGACGTAGCGCTAGTGCATGACTGGAAACAGTTTCCCACATCATTAAGACACGTCGGACGGAGTACCTCGTACTTCACTCAACAATGGAGCTGTCTTGAGTTTAGCATCAATCAATTCTTCTCCATCTCTACAGAGTATTCCCGTACGTGTATATATTAAAACCAACCAGGCGTAGAGCAAATGACTGTGGAGAGATCACGTTTCCAGCTGATCGTCGACAAAGCTGACCTTTTTTAGTGGCATGTCAAAGTCTCCCAAGACTTTGTTATGGAATGAGAGCTCTGGTTTCCATGTCCCGTAGGATCCAGATGGATGTGAGCATTCTCTTAAATTTGAGCCGATATCACAGTGACTTTTTCGATGGCCTAAGTGCAAATGACACCTCCTGAATCAGAGTGAGACAGGTTCCATCAATTCATCTTAGTCTAACAAAGGAGAAAAGATGAAGACGAGCACTAAATTGATAATTACCAGCTATGGCATCCTCTTCCTGCACGAGGAACATATATACAAAGGAGGTAAAGCCACGCTTTTAACCGAAGTCAGGTCATCACTGCTTGAAGTACTCTTCCTATGGTGTTATATGCAACGCTCTGAAACTATAAATACTAATAATGTAGCTTCAACGCACTTGTTGTGGGCGCACCAATATATCGCTATATATAGTTCATGATAATCATACTGTCGCTCAGCGTCAGATATTAGTTGACAAGCTAGCAGTTAGTGCGAGTGACCTATCTTTTGTAAACAGCACAGCTCTAGAGATAGCCCTATCAAAGCCTATACATTATTCAAGATCAATTTAGAATGAATCCTTCTAATCACGCTAACGCTCAATCCGCATCTATGCCAGCATATTCCCACGTATCAGTGGTATTTCAGCGGCCCTTGCCACCAGAGATATCCTGTCCCAGGCGGTATCCTCCGACCTTCTCCCATTCCACCTTCTGCCGTGTGATGGGGAGCTGTCTGCGCAAGCCCTTGAATGCGCCCTCAGCCATCTGCACGAACGCGCGGTTCAGGTCCTCCTGGTAGTCGCGCTCCGCAGTTGCAATGCGGGAAATGATGCTCTCGGCGGAAGTGGATGGGACGGAAAGCTTGATGGGTTTATTCGTGTTGAGCGCCACGTTGCCATCTTCGTAGTAGTGGACGTCAACCTGGATCTTGCCAGTCACGGTCGTGGGCTCAGAAACAGGGAACTGGTAGGTAGCGCGGAAGCGCCCGTTCCTTAACGAATAACCCATTAGCACCATTATATGCGACAAACCGACTGATATGGACTCACCAGAAGTTGTTAGGTGAGTAGCGGTTCGAAACCAGCAAAATTGCCACCGCAGAGTCGTTTTCAATGGGGTATACACCATAGGCGCAGTTAGGGTAGTGCTCCCGGGCATGAGCACCGAGCGACTTGAGTAGCGATTTGCTGCAATTGTTATCAGCAGCAGCCTTCCAACCCGGTATCCACCAACTCACATCAAGTCCGCATTTTGCGAATCCAATACATACGACTGCGCCGCGGAGGCTTCCTGAAGCCAATGTCAGCTTAGTCCCCGCCGAGACTCCACCAAAGAGCGGCCATACTTGTGTGACATGATCGACTTCGAAGGACGTCTGGCTCTCGACGTCAAAGTAGCGGTTACCCTCTAGTTTATTGTATTCGCTGATAAGGACCTTTGCAATTGCCTTGTCAGACATTGACTCTCCACAGCGATTATAAGGATCACTCCACCTCCTGACTCGCCCCGGGGAGCTTCACGGTCGCCAGTTGCGTCTCATTGTATCGCTCAAATGCGGGAGCAAGGGATGGGATGATATCGGCACCGTCAGAGGTAAGCGTTTTCACATCTGGTCATTCGGTCTTGTTTAGCTATTGAATTTGGATGGTACGGGAGCTCTGGCGGGGGAGCATATGCAGTCTGGAATGCGGGGAGTGGGCAATATGAACGAAGGAAGAAAAATTACCGGCAACAACGTCCGCGAGCTAAAAGGTCAATGTTAGCGACATAGCGAAAATATACCATAGGAGTAGAGCTCGACTTCACGGGCATACCTCGCCTGGCGGGGCACCCTCAATGAACGAGGAAGCGATGTCAACTGTGGATGCCATGTGGACGATCAGTTAAGAACAAGTTGTGAGTAGGTTTGGTGGATCTATTCTCTTAGAGTATGAAAATCTATGTAAACAAATATCCAGTAGACAGGTAAACGACCGTAGATGATGAAAGAGCTCCTGAAACTGCGGTGCTTCCCCAGTGTCAACAGCGGGAGCTTTAGCGCCGTAAGCGCCCGCACCTCGCACGTGGCCATTGGGAACGAGGACCGCGGCTATTCAACTTGTATGATTCAACCCTCTGTTATATGCAATTTTGATTAAAGTATGATATTTTGATTAGGTGCTATCTATGATGTCGATGCATCAGAAGCAGATAGAGCTATACTAGCAAAGTACTATTGTTACCCAACCACAAGGCCCCCACTTAACGCCATGTACGAAATAATCAAAGGCAATGTCCAACCAGCCCAAAATATAAAACAGCTCCACGCTAAATTAAACACAGAAAGGAAAGGCATGCAGAAGTAAAACTATTATGGTACTGATAACAAGAAACGAGCCCGGCTCGTGCAGAAGAACGCCTGGATGTCAAGAGCGTCGACTATCACTCGATGCTCATATTCATGAGTCCATCGTTCGTTTCAGTCATCCCTTGCAGGCCCACTCGCTTCAGATGGCCTGTATGCTTGGGTGTAGATGGATTCCGGGTACCGCTTTCAGTGCTCGGCTGGTCAGGGAAGAGAGAGCCGATGTTGGCTTTGGGTGGACCCCAAATGCTGCTGCCCGTATCCCTCACGGCAGGTGAATTAGGCATCACCGGACTACTCTGGACGCTCATACTCGGAGATACCGCCCTTCGCTTGAACAGGTTCGGATCGAAATCGTCCTCACGGCGCCGTTTCCTTTTGAATTCCAATATCGAGATTGGTTGAGTTGCGATTGGAGTCGAACAGCGTGAGCTGGGCCTCTCGCTCGGTTTCGCAAACTCAGATGTCGATCCCACGGTAGTTGAGGGCGTGATATCCATGGAGAGGTCGTCCTCAGATACCGAAGTTCCCATCTGACGTAAAGGCGGCGGCGGTGGCGTACGATACCGTTCATCAAAAGAATTCCAAAACTCAGCACCAGCAGAATTTCGGTGGGCTTCCTCGCTAAAGCTAGGTTCATCGGGGACAGAGGTCCCAGTTTTCGCCGGCACGTCATCCAGATTCCGGTGCAGATCAGTTGGCTGGAAGAGATTACTTGACGAGAGGGCATCCAAACTGGGGGACGTCTGCGGAATTTCTGGCTCGCTCTCCCGGACCTGCCGAATGACCTCAGCTTCCCGCTTTGCCTCACAGTCGATAGGGGCCGATTCCTCCATCAGTGCGGCTCGTATACGTGCGAAGGTCTTCGTCTTTGGCTAGATGAGGTGTAAGCGGAGGCTCAGACGATCATGGAATGGAAGAACTCACCAATAAACTACTTCTACGTGTAACAGCTCGTCGAATAACACCCAAGGGCCCGCCTTCGGAGTTCGAGGTACCTGGGCTGTTACCTCGGTTTTCCCCTTCATCACTCAAATCTGAGAGACGAAGATCGCGAGTACCCAAACTCAAGCTTTCACGCCGTGCACTCAAGCTAGACCGTGAGCCAAAGTAACCATTCTGATTCTCGATGCTCTTCATCACCGGTGGAGACAGCGGGCCAGGGCTGGGTTTCGAACTGTTTCCGCTGGCACTGCTAGAGCTATGTCTACTGCGTCCTTTGCGAAACCTAGCCCGTTGAAAGCTCATGAGACTTGCTGCTGCCTGCGAATACCCACCATCCAATCGTTACCCGGACTGGGCACATTGCCCACTGCAAAATGATTCATCTTGTTGGCTTGGGGTGTATTCATTATCATGTCGTCCCTATCGCCAATCATCGGTTCGTCATCTTCCTCACTGCTGCTGGTATCTGATTCCATCATGTTCACACTTGATACAGAGCTTGAAATGGCCGTTCTATCCGCTGGCCCGGATGTAGAAAACGGAGGTACCGAAGTCGATCCCATAGAACCACGACGTTGGGGGATTGTCATTCCCCGCCCACCAATCGTTGGTGAAGAATCGGGCGATGATTCGGCAAGCGTAGAATGATGAAGGTTAGTACAAGCTCGAGAAAAGTCGAGGCCACGGGAGCGTCGAGGGAGGACAGAGCCTGGGGAGCCGTAGATCTGGGACGAATCAAGCTTCGGGGAGAGTGGAGCACGGCTAGATAAGGACGAGGATCCGGATGGTTTTGAAGGCAAGTTTAGAGGTAAGCCATGCATGAAAGGCCGATGAGGTGTTTCTGGTGTAGATGAAAGAGAGTTATCATCTTTACTCGACGGCCGGTGTTCTTCGGAGGTGGAACGTGCAGATATCGGTTTTGGCGCGTCGGACAACGACCGTGACTTCGGTGAAGGGCGCAATGGTGGTCCAAGTGAAGCAGATTTTCCTGAAGTTTCTGTATCGGTTGCAGATTCACCTTGTTCCTTCCGTTGCGATAACTGTTCACTTAGTTTACTTGCGAATGGCAGGGACGGCACGCTGTGCGATACGGTGGATGAAGTAGTCGACGACGTCATTTTGCGATTGAATACTCGGCTTCAACACGTGTCAATGCTTTGGAACAGTGAAATTAAAACATGATGAAGTCTTCCAGTGCGACGATCTGGCGGCGGTTAAGTACTTGGGAGGTCAGTGTCACAATGAGTATACGACGGCGCGCGATCAATAAGCAGCACAAAGAAGATCTTTCTCGCGTAGTTCTTGATATTTCCCACAGAAACAATAGTTGAGTAGAGGCAAAACAAGAAGATAAACAAGGTATGGATATAGTCGAGAGGTTTCCAAGAAGGAAAGATGGGACGGACGCCTAGGAATGTCGGACCTTGGGTCTGCTACTGAAATCGGTACTGACGTCCTTTGCCGCTGGATTTGGCGAATCACGCTCTGTGTAGCCCCTCCTCCTCGTTTGGCGATGCTGATTGGTCCGGCAGCCATGGCACCACTTTCGATAAGCATCGTGAGATCTGAGTACCCGTCATGCTTTACACATTCTAACACTAGAGGTCTCGTTCAGAGAAAATGGATATTTTACATGCATAAAACACAGAAGAATAGAAATTGCCCAAGGAAAATGTCCCATGATTCCAAAGAAACTCGTCTCATCGTGATGGTTGTGTCCAAGTCACGCCAAGCTCATGGCAGTACTGATTGGCGCAACATACCATTCCCAATCGTTACAGCTCGTCGCGTGATCCAACGAATCAACAGAGGATCCTTTCAGCATGTCACTGTCCCTGGCTTGCCATACCTTGACGATGACTGCTCTGGTGCGCGCAACATTCGAGACACTCGATTCCGCCATCGCAGCCAACGCACGTAGCACAAGCGGTCGGCCGTACACAACGGTCTCGCCATCGGACCACACCTCGTCATGAAGAGGGTCTAATTCCACAGCAGCCACAAAGACAGGCCACGTCATACTGACTGGTGATCCAGAATCAAGTAAATCTGAAACGAGTCGTAGAACCTTCCGAACGTATTTAACAACCAACGGGGTAGATGGCGACGCCCCGTATAAGGCGCAATGCAAATACAACACCGCAGCCAACCGCTTTAGCTCTGCGGCAGTCTGGAGTGTTGGGTCGTCATCATCATCACCATCGATTTCCTGGACCAAGTTCTCAAGTTTTTGTCCCAGAGAAGCTGATCGTAGAGAGAAAGCCGCCCGGGCGGAATCAGAAGTAAGCTGTCGTCTTGTCCGGCTCAATTCTGTAATAGAAGACAGTATAGAGACGAGTTCCGGACTGCAGCCCATCCACAAATCGATGTTACGCTCATTTTCTTGCCAATAGTCACTTCCAAATAACACTTCCTCGCCGCATGCCGTGCGGCCCATGACATCTTGAAATGCAAAGAATAACTCGGCAAAAGTTGTAATAGGGTCTTGGACACCACGGGACTTAGAAAGCATTGTCTGCTGTCTTCTAAGGCGGATAAGGTCCTTGGCTCCCTTCAGATGAATCGTCCAGCGCTCATCACAATTATCCACGATTTCATACAGGCACAGCATCATCATGATAGCCAGCACTTCAGGGTCGGCCGAGCAGCTCAAGGTCCCTTCTGTTGCAAGTCGGTGGCGGAGGCCCCTCAACGCTTCGGACTTGAGATGAAGTCCTATGACCCCGTAGGTCGGATCAAATCGAGACCAGTGACATGCCCCCAGTGCCTGGATCGATTTGAACAGTATTGGCGATGCAGATAGACAGAATGGAAGAATGATTGATGCAAATGGCGATGATAGCTTTGAGCTGGCAGTTGTACGGGGACACACTTGCTGAAGGTAATACTCGAAGAGGTGTCCCTGGTTTTGTCCAGCAACGTGGGGAAACAACGGTAAGGAGGCCATAGGCTGCGGCAGCTGTTGTAGAATTAGCCCATACTCTGAGATATCTACTAGCGCAGGCCAGTTTGACCTGACTGCCAGTCTTTCTTTTCCTTTGTCGCGAACCACCACCGCATTTAATTCATCACAAGCAACGTTGACTTGGTCCGGTTGCTCAAAAGTCGAGACCCCGCTATTGACAAACCCCCAAGACTCAATGAAAGGGATATCGCACCACTCTTGGTCATCATCCAGAAGCGAAGATGAGGGCGGCGATGCCTTGGATTGAGACCCGGACTTACTCCAAACGCCAGCTCGACCGAAGGCAAGCCCTCGACTCACAAACTCCGACTCCCATTTCAGGACCAGTTGCGTTGAGCAAACTAGACCCCTTTCCCGACACCTGGTACAGATCGGCTTTTGTGTGTCACAACGGACTCGACTCGCGCGGCATTCCTTGCAGCCGCTACGGCTTCGGGTCTTGACCGGACCCACGCGGTCTGCAGCCTTTTTACGCGGCATCCGATAGGAGGAAACTTTACATGGCCAGTCTTCCGGACAAGATCAATTTCCTAGCGCCATCAATACGTTGATGAGCAGGAGCAGTCTCACAGTAAATAGAACCAGGCTTTGACTCAGTTAGCCAGAGATACTCGTGGCAGAAGAGGCCCAAAGCTGGGACAAACGAATGACTGCCTGTCAGAGGCTATGATACGTGGGCCAGTGCAGTGAGGAGATAAGGACGATCTTGACTGGGTCTATTATAATTAATGATGGGGGAACAACGCTTATCGAGGCAAATCAGAGAGAGTTTTTGTGGAGCGGACTTGCAATTGATTGATAGTAAAGCCAAGAGTGGAATCATGTGGGATCCGCTCTGCTCATGCAGCCTTCCACCAATAGAAACTCTTTCTACCACCCGGCGGGGAACCAATGTTGATTGGATCACTTTTGCCTGCCCATTGCAGCCTGAGGCTGTGATCTATACTCTACAATACAAGAAGCATAGATGGCTATCTCAGAAAACCACCGAATTCGTTTCCCACATGAATAAGGATCAATAATATTGGTCATCTCTTGCACAGTTTTCATGACCAAGTGCTCTCGCCAAATGTCTCGTTCGCCTTCAACTCTAACCACGGAGTGCCTTTACTATCAACCGTTCCGCCATTGACATTGTTTCCCCACCAGCTAAGCTAACGCCAGGAAGTACCAATGAAAAGAAAATCAGAATAGCAGAGACAGCAACACCGGAGTCTAGGGCTGCGGACAGGACATAGTTGTACTTGGCCCACCAGTTTGGTCGACGACCTTTAATGATCTATGGATTGTTAATGGCCAGCAAGGCAACACGGTGCTATGCTCAGTAGGCTTACCTTGTTGAAGATCAAGCTGACTACAAACGCTGTGGAGTAGTTGATGCCAGTCTATAGGTCATATGTTAGTTAAGAGTAATCTAACATCGTTTTGGGCACCACATACCGCCGGTGGTAGATTTCCCGTCCCAGCAAAGAAAATTGGCCAATGGATCGCATTCAAGATGCGGTTATTGGGATACTTCTTTCGAAGAAAGAATGTAATGATGGGAAGTAGTGCACCGATCCAGAACATGTGAAGAAGTCCGGAATACCTCTGCCCAATATTGTAAAGTCGTGCGGGCCCAATGGCTGTAACAGGTATCAGTCACTCGTACTTGTTAGAATGGAAGTGTACTTGCTCACCTCCCCAGAATACAGCACTGTTATAGTTGACTCGACCTTGGGGGCAGGTGAAATTGTTTGGCTGGTCGTTTGCGCATACGTCCTTGACATGCCCAAGCATCCACAGCAGGACACCATCTGGTGCAATCATCAGCAGGGCCCTTTTAGGACATGTACCCCTTCCACTACTTACTCTGTGTCAGAGTGCCGAGGATACAGGCAATCAACTGAGCGACGAACAGTGTTCGCCGTGGTACCTTCATGTACAAACCAAGCTGGTGGGTGCACCGAAAGTTATCAGCGCATGTCATATATGAAAAAGATTCAGAGCTACTGTACCTTCATGTCAGCACCGTAGTACATTGCTTGACTAAGACCAGTGTATGCATAAAACTAGTCGGCTGGTCAGCGCCAGATTTATGCCAATGGTAGGTGTGAATCGGACCTTAAAGATTAGAAGGACAAGCGGCTTTCCCTTGAGCAAATAACCAGACACAATTTCTCCCAAAACAGTTAGAACATTGGCGTTGAGGTTTGCTACAGCATACACAGTTCCGACCGGAATCACATAGAGCGTAGCCAGAGCTAGGGTGATGAATAGACCCCAGAAAGGAAGCCCGGTGTTCCAGACATATTGGACCATGATGGCAACAGCCACAACGATGACCTTTCCACGTTAATCATACGATGTAGAATAATTGCATGACCAGGACTTACTGTCAAGATCGCATACCACCACCATGCGACATCAGGATAGCGTGAAAGCAAACGAGCATGTATGTCCTTCTTGTTTTGACCCCTGAAGGTATCAAGGATATCTTTGGTATGATGGAGGACCACGTGAGTCAAAAGACAACTCAGAACGGCAAACCCAACGCCATAGCTTAGCGCAAATGTGATGGGTAAGAAAATAGGGCTGTAGTCCCGATACTTAGCATCATCAATTATACCTTCGTCATTCAGAATCCGGGTCGAGTTGTAGAGATTTCCGGTGTTGTCGTAAGCGTCAGAGCCGGTCAGAGGTAGGTGGGCAGTGTACCAGGTATTGGTATAGTACAAGATTGGCGCAATGACAGCATAAATACAAAACCAACCAGCAAAGACATTTGCCTGTGCCCAAAATGGGATTGTCAAGGGAGAAGAGTTGTAGGCAATTTGGCTCCAGTCGAATGTGGTGGGCATGTATCCGAGGCCAGTTGTCATTCCAAACAAATTGTTTACCACTTTGTTGTCTGGGCATAGTGTTAGTGAGTTTACTATGCGATTCATTGGTAAGAAGCGTACTTGGAGCTGCCCAGCAGATAAAAGCAAATGTACTTAGCCCGGTGAATATATATCCAGGAAGCCAGTACCAGCAAAAGCTGCCAATGAAGACGTACAAGAAGAACCGATACCGGGAAATTCTCCAGCCATCGGCTATAGGGTTTGCACCACTGTGCAAAGTCTGGAATAGAGCTGCATTCGCCAAAGTAGAAGGCCAAATCTAGTGGGGTGT